GCTGACCCAGTTTGAGTAACCTGCACTTGGAATCTGCTTTCGCAGTCTGAGTCGGACCAACCTGCATTTGGAATCTGCCTTCGCAGTTTGAGTCGAACCAACCTGCATTTCGAGTCCTCGCCCATGTTGCCGGCTTTGCGACAGTAAGTGCCCATGTCTTGATCAAGATGGCTCTGGGGCCCCACGTCGCCTTGCTCGTTTTCGGTAAATTCGCTGTGGGCTTGGACTGGCAACTTGCTCAGTCAAGGTCTTTTTGAGGGTACCCCACAAGGAAATGTTTGTATGTTTGTGCAGGGGACAAAAACATATGGAGGGTTTATATCCTGAAGTATCCTGGCAGTTTGGCAGTGCGCATGTGTTATTGGAAATTGTATTGCATCGCCCCTTGCGCATTCTATTTCTGACGATCCAAAGCACGACACACAGATGTTGACGAAGGGTTGCGCGCAGGCGGCCTAGCGGCTGGTTGCAGAACCCCTAGCAAACCCTCATAGACAAAAAGAACAAGCTCAGCATACTACCATATCGACCCAAGTTACGGAATGCCTTACGACGGATTACAGCCTTGTTTGTCCTTTGGTCCATGTGTTTCAGTGGATTGTGTGCGATTGCAACATTGGAGATTGACCCCACCAGGCAGCCAACTAGCCAACCTTCCACCAAAGAAACCAGCCAAGCTGCCGAGCTCCCAGCCAAGCAACCCACCAACCAGCCGACCTACCAGCCTACCAACCTAACAGCTAGGCAGCCAGCCAGATCCAACTCACCGCAGGTGATGGCCAAAGAGTCCGACTTCGAGCTGGCAGATCCCAGTGTGGTGTGTGTCCTAGCTTCGGTGACAACGAATATAAACATAAAAGCAAAGAGAACGATAACCGTGACAAGGGCCTCTGGAGCGAGCTTGATGCTCCTTTGACGTGACCTTCCTTTGGGTTCCATATATCAATTTGCAGAGTAGGATTGTGAAACCATGTGATGGGGGATTGCAGCTTAGTGAGGCAACAGGGGCGCTAAACAACTTGTGGCAACTGGATGGCGTATTGAAGTTGCGCCATCCGATCATGGTTCACTCGTTGGCCAAAGTCTAGTTTGCCTCCGGCAGCTGTCGGGAATACCAGGAAGCTAAGTGCTGTGCCGTTGCGGCGTTGCCGCTTCTGGACAATCCCGGGCTGGGATTTCAAAAGTGTTAAACCAAAATGCGGAGATACATTTTTAGGGCCTCTCCAAACCTATTTGTTTTTTTAGCGTAGACCGCATTTCTCTTCCTGAGTTCCTGGAAGTTCCTAGACTTTATTCTTTGTGGGGAAGACCGGCCAGTTTAGTGGCAAACAACAAGTCCAGGTTTTTGTTTGGCCCATCCCCTCAGAAGGGAGATATGAATATGAAACAGAATCAGAGCATTTCGATTTGACCCGATGGGCCCAGAGCAGACCTCACCTTTCTCAGGCCAAGCGAAAGGCGAACCCGCCCCCGGCCCGCCGCGTGCGCGCGCGGGGCCGGGGCAAAGCGGAGGCACAGGGGCGTGGGTGGGAGGCAACCTCTGAAAAGATCATGAGTGTGTTTTTGCTTTGGTGGGGATGTTCAATCGAAAACAACAGGGGAGCCACACATCTTCGGGCTTCCCTCGTGCTAGTTTATACATTTAGCCCACTAAAAGTGAAATCTGTTCGCGCGGGATCTGAAAACGGGCAGCCCAGTTTCACAAAGCGGGCAGGTGGCTCCGAGTCAGCCAGGACCTCAGATTGAAGCATCTTGCGCCTGCCAACAGGCGAGCTCACCGATTCGGGATAGCCAGCGAAAGCTATGGTAGAGTAAAGGTCCTTTGCTTGGGGATCCGATCCTTTAAAGAAAAGGTTTGGACATGATGGGCTGTTTTTTTTGGGGCAAACCCACAGGAAGTGGGTGGGACGCCCGGAGGAAGTGGGATCCGGCGAAGGCTTTGACATGTTGGGTTCCAATCCTGGCGAAAGGTGGCCTGCTCGCTGGATCGGATGTTTTTATATATACCCTGACAATCCAATGTATGCATATATCGCCTACATTGGCCGACGCCAGCGTTTTTCAACTACATTGACCGATAAACCTGAATGTAGCCAATTTTTGGGGACATTCAAACCGACAACTTCCGACAAGGGTTCCGACAAGCCTTCCGACAACAAGCTCGCCTCAATTTCGACGACTCTATCCGACGACGCCCTCCAACCACCCTTTTCCAACGCCTTTGTGCAGGAAAATACAAAGGCGCGCCGTAAATTGATGTACGGACAAAACTTAAACTGCGAATGACTGGCAACAGCTACAGGGCACAAACAGGGCACAAAATGACGAGAGCCAACCCCGGCTATCATTGTCAGTAAATGTTGGTTGCCTGGCACGCAAAAGAAGGAATCCACCAGCATAGTGTAGCAGATCCCGCTGAGGGCTTCCGATTGTAACGTTAACCTTTTTGATGGGCTGGCTTGCTTGACGAAACAGTGTGACGACGAAACACGTGTGCGATAGTTCAAACTTTTCAGGCCACGCCATGAAGCACATTTCCAGCGCAGGATCACACTAAGGCAACGCCGGTTAGCAAAGATCACTCAACAAACATAATTATTGCGCATGGAGGACAACAACTCCTTGCAAAACACCTCGCAGCAGGAGATCCCGCCAGTCACTCTCAACAAAACCTATCCAAACGCTCATGGGGGTTGATGCCCCCCAAACTAACGATGAAGCAGAATGATGCTACATCGTTGTTGTCCACAGGAACACAATTTCGTCAACTTGCCCGTGTGTAGCTTAAATGCGTGTTGCTTCCTGATTGCTTGCAAGCTGCAACCTCTGCCTGTGCGAGCTTAGTTGCTATTATGTTTGATGCGTGCCTACGCAGGGGCGATGGGTCATCATGACAAGCTTGTTCGCGGGCCATAAACCGTCAACCGAAGGTAAGGGGTCTAATTTCCAACGATCACATCTCCAACCAAATACTTGCTTAACACCATGCCGCAACCCAGTCCAGAGCGCAGGCCCAACTTAAAAAGCCCTGGTTGTTCAAAGCAGGTGTTTCATTTCTTTCCAGGAGGCTCACTTTAAACGCATGCTAGCCTGCTAGCAGTTCCCAATCACCATTCGAGCGGCAACTGCTTGCCACACTGGTCAGATAGTGATTAAGGCTCTAAGCCTGCCATGCCCCCATGCCGCAATGCAAAATTCACAGACTTAACAAAAAACAAATTGCTGTACTTAACAAACGTGGATGTCAAACGAGATGTGCTGGGAAGGGCTCAAGCGGCGGTCTTGAGGAGAATGGCTGAGACTGGACGCACATGACGCAGTCCAAGCCCCATATGTTGCTTTGCAAGGACTCGGTTTTTTGATGAAACCCAACTATAAAGGACACACGTAACATGTTTGTCTATTGCTCTCCTTGATTAAACATGTCCTTGTCAGCTTTTCTGCGAATGTTTTGGGCTCAGTGCTTTGCCCTCATTGGGCATACGCGCTAGTAAGCCATTTGTTTGACAAGCGTTTCTCCGCTGTTTCTAGGCCAGCTTGCCAGCTGACGCCAACAATCAAGCCACATCACTTCCAACTCACGGCGCCAACAAAAATCGAGCCTCGTCCGACGTGTCATCGCGCGAAATCACGCGTTGCTTCTCGTAAAACGCGTGGACAACACACGAACACAGTCCAGCAAAAAATCACGCTATTTCACGCTATTTCACGGTTTTCCGTTAACGTAAGCAAAAATAAGAAGACAATCCGACAACTTTTCACGCCAAATCACGCCAAATCACGGTTTTTCGTTTGCACAAGCAAAGGACAGGAACAGAATCCGAGAAGAAGCCACGCAAAAACAAACGAAATTTGTTGGGTCGTTTGCTCCAAATCGCTAAGAACCTGGTAGGGACATACTTTGGTCAGCCAGGGGGAATAAACGGACCTTTGCTGAACTGCTTTTGGGGAGCCACATAGCAAAAATAGGTACTTGTTGGGCCTTTAGTAGACGTTCGAACTTCATTGAAGAGTCCTTTGCTGACAGGGAAGTTCATTCTTGCGCGGCAAGCTTTGAATAGGCAAGACTGAGCTTTTTGCATGGTTGATGCGAGCCCAGAGCTGATGCGAGTAGACAATCCGGATGCTGAGTCTCCAGCATGCCAATCAATACTCAAGAGCTCTGAAGACATGCATGCTAAGCTTGGTGGCTCCTTATCCGAGTTTACATAGCACTTAGTATTGGCAACCGAATAATTGACATACATGTCGCGCGTGCAGCATCATATATCCCATGCTCAAGCGGCAAAACGCCAGGTCTGCCCAATCGCAATGCAGTCATTGTAAACCTACAAATAAGAACACTGCTTTATGTTCTGAGCTTAGATATTCATTATGTTGAGCTGCATGTGTACCTAAAGTCTTGTACATGTGTATACACAATAAATTGGCACATACATAAGATATGTGTGTCTATGTTTTGTTTAGCGGAATTAACAACAACGCTTTTTGGTAAGATAAATTGGAGCTTCTTGTTGGTATGCTTGGACATCTTGCTGCGTAGATTGAGCACGCTTGAATGGCCAACAGTTACTGGGCGGCAGTTGGGAGTCGACTCGGTAGGCCAATTTGGTTCGGCGCTCCTCATATCTCAAACGTTCGGCACAGCCAGAAAAATGTCCATACTTGCAATTGCCTGTAGGCTGTAGTGTTGTAACATAAATCCCTTACAGTTGATAGATGGCTGTGCTTTCCAATGCGGCTCAAGGTCGGCAAGTCCGTTCCTTTGGCTCAGAGCATGTTGAATTTGTAGGGTTTTCATTTCAATTACGCATAACTCGAGATCAAAGCACGTTTACATGAGCAATAGAGCTCGAGGGTGGCTTTGCGTTGCACGTCCGACCCCATGTTGGTTGGCAGCGATAGTGCCAGTGGTCGAACAGTTTGCGTACTCAATACTTAGAGCGGCTTTCTCATAAGAGTGCACGAACGCTGCACACACACACAGTCCCATAAGAACTGCCCATATGCACGAACAGAATCAATCTCGCAATTGTGGATTTCGTAGCCTGCTCATCCGGAAAACAACACTTGCAAGAGTCTGATGGCAAGCTCTCAACCATCGCTAGCTACACACATCATCAAATGTCCATGTCAATAACGTGGTGTTTACACTTGCTGAAGCAAGTGCAAATTAATGAAAGCGAAGTTGCTACACAACAGTCCTTTGGCAAATAGAGCAAGTTAGCAAGCAGGATCATTGGGCCCCTGAAAAACAAGTATGCTCAATAAACTCCGTCACACTCGGGTTCAAATTTGACTATCGGACACGAGCTTCGTCAAATCTCCTCAATTTTCAGGCAATATTTCGACATTCGACGGGGATTCGGCGAATGTATCATTTTTTGGCTATATTTCGACAATCCGACAGGGATCCGACGAATGTTGTCGTTTTTTTGCTACATTGCCAATGTACCCCAAAAATGGCTACATTGCAATGTACGCCATATTTGCCTACATGGGTTCTCAGGGATATAAATATATATATATATATATATATATTTGCGAGAGTCGTTTTAACCCCTGTGGCCTGATGTTCATCTCAACACTGAGTTGGACTTGATGCTTCGGGGAAGACGCGTTTAGTGGAAATCATTTGCAGTTTGGCCTTTGTTTGGCCCGTTCGCTCAAGAGGTGAGTTCATGATGTCCATTCGTGCTGCGCTCATGTTTGCAGGATGTCGTTTGCAGGATGTCGCCAGCAATCTTTCCTTTCCCAGGCATGGAGGTTGATTATGTACCGCCGGGCCCCGGTTTTGCAGTTCGCCCAAGTTAAGACTCAACTCATCTCCTTGCACGTCAACACCCTCCGAATCACCTTGTGTTTCCTTCATTTGTCCTTTCGACCGGCTTCGCTGAGCTTTGAACCGGCGCCGCGGTGGCTTGCAAGAATGGGCCAGCTGCTTCCAAATGGGACCCAAATGGTGTTCATCGTCTTTCAGTAGTGCCATTTTACCCTTTTTTGGGGGAGGGTTCCCCTACTAAGATAGACTACAGAAAAAGGGTACCCTTATTCTAACCTCTCCACTGGAGTACCTAGGTGTTCATCAACATTTTTGCATAGCTAATGTCGATCAGAGCTTCAGTGTGAATGTTAGATGTTTTGAGTGTCAAAGGCCTTCCAAGTCCAACTTGTGTTCATGAAGTTCGCAGGAGTCGCTGCAGTTAACCAAGCGCAAACCTTGAAAACTAAGAGCTCCTTCTAAACGCCAGGAGTGGACTCAAACACTCAGCGCATGCAAAGAATTGCCCTGTGCTGTGGCTTGAATGGGGCAGACAGCCTGAACGGGTGCAATCTTTAATACTGGCCTGACATTAGGTTGCCAAAAGCACATGTCGTGTGTGGGGAATGATTCCAGGGGCAAACGCATTTCCAGGAGAGAAGATTTCACGAGCGCAATCTGACTTGTGGTAGTTTCGTCTTGATAAGAGCTTTAAGAGATTTGACAACTGCAATTTTCCATGCGATTTGAAACGTCTTTGATGCTTACAGGAAGAACTTTGGGGGTGGGAGGATGGCAGAATGTTTTGGAACTGACGGGCACAACCATCACGCTCTTCCCAAAATTGACAGCAGGACAAGCGCAATTCACGGAGAGCGCACGCCGGCAAGTGGGAACCGAGTCTGAGTCAAGCCATCTCAGGTTGGGTGAAGATTCTGATTGACTCTGCCAGCCCGCAAAAAGCTGTCGCGACGCTGCGCAGGCATGGCCCCGAAAGGGGCGGGAAAGACAGATGTTTGCATGGGCGTGCCTTTCTTCCGGGAACATGGCTTAAAGTGGCAACCAAAAGCAAGCCGAGCGTTTTGGATGTTCTCCGATTGTATATATGACTTTCGCCACATGTCTCAATGAAGGGTTGCGCGTTTCCGGCTTGATAGGTCGCCCTATACATGGGATCGGATGGATCGGGGCAAGACTAAGAAGTCGTCGTGTTGATCAAAGGTCGACAATACGATGGCGTAAGGATGTCCATGAATAAAAACTAGATTGCCAGAGGGCCATATGGAGCTATGACCACGTCGCAGTTGCGAATCATTCATAGTTGGTCAGACTTGCCACTTGAAGACCTGTCTAGACATAGGATATATTTTACATGTTACCAGTAACTCAAAGTGAGGCAATCAAGAACATATACATTCTATAACGGGGCCTAAGTCTAATCAGGAAGAATGCAGACAGGCAGTTCGCTTTGAGGGAGAGGCTGCTTCCCGATCATCCAGGGCGAATGTGCTTTCATACTCTCTTGTTGGGAACGCGCGCTGTTGCTACTGAGCTGATGGCGTTGACAACATGGTTCTAGAAGCTCGCTGTTGTTGGCGCACGCCCCTTGCCTTTCATTCTGCCCCGTGATTGCCCGATTGCCCATGTTACGTCGTGCTTGCATGTTTTGAAAGCTACAATGCCGACAAGCCAAACACTTTGCCAAGAAGCGTTGTGGAAGCGTCACAAAAAAGGCTGCGGACCGCAGAGAAGAGACCAATGGAGAAACGCGTCCATCAAGAATGCTTCGTAAGCCGCTTCGGCTCACTTCGGTACCGTACCATGACGCGGATAGCTCGCTTGGTTCTACTACTGGCCGCCAGCCACCCAGCAGAATGCGCGTGGACAGTGAGGTCCCCCGCAAGTGCCTCAGGGAGATTTGCTTTTTCCAGGGGAAGCATTGGTTTTTCACACCACCCTTGCGCCCTTTAAAGGGAATCCAAGGTGATGGTTTGAACTAAAATTGTTCAAAACTTATTCACCCGTTTTTTGTATTGAAACCTCCGGGTTGTTTTCTTTCTGATCCGGTTTTCTTCCTGATCCGGTTTGCTTTCCAACGTTGCGGTGCCTCAAAGATTAGGCGCTGCACCCATGAAGCTTCATTGTACGTCCATGCCACTTGTTGACATTTGGTTGCTTGATACCTTCTAGAGCCTGAACGGTGATTCGGGCGAGACGAGTTCACAACTGATTGCGCGGATTTTAGTGTTCCACTGGATGTTAGCGCTCGCATGGTGGCTTTGCTCAGGTTACTGCACTCAAACTTAGCACTGGGTTTGTTGATCAAAGTGCATGGAAGCTCTTCCATCCGCAACATGCACGCTTCTTGAAATGTCATGACCCAAACATGTACAGTAGCGCGCTCCCACCGCTTGCCTTATCAGATCTCTTTACTGGCGGAGGAAACCGTCCGCTTTCCCAACGACGGTCTTGCCACGGGCGAGCTTTGAGTGAGTCATCTTGAAGCCGGGGACTGAAATCCCGGCTGTCAGTTGGATCAGAGGCCAGGAGTTGGGTTCCTTGAAGTGGTGAATTTGGGACCCAGTTTCCCTTTAGCGTGCAAGTTGGGCATGTCTGTAAACAAAAAAGAGCGGTCTTCCTTTGGGGGACCTTTCAAGCATTTTCAAACCACACGGAAAAGGGTTCGAAGAAAAACCGCAGGCGCCCTCCCTGGAGGGTGAGTCCTTTGAACCCCAGGTCGCGCCATCTCTCGCGGCGGGCAGCGACTTGAGAGGCGACTCAGCGGGAGAGGAGTTGTCTTGACTGCTATTGGGTTGGATCTTTAGACTTTAACTTTTTGTGAAATAAAGGTGTTTTCCGCCAACCTCCCAAAAAGTTATTTTTTTTGCAGGGGGGCCAAGAGCAACCAAGTTGTGGCCCTCGTTTTTGTTTTTCTCCGATGTTTGGCGGAGATGGTGTTCAACTGGCACCAAAAGGTGCCACAGATACAGTGAGCCCGCGCCAACCACCGATGTTTGGCAAACTAGGGCAGTGCTTCAAAATGGCTCAGCCGCTTTGAAGGTGCTGCACAAGGATACTTCGGGCTTTCTTCGCTGATCCTTCGCGTTTGCCGAAAGTGGACGACTCAAATCCATGTCAGTCGGGCAAGGGAGCAATGCATTCATCAAACGGTCACTCAATGTAGTGGGATTGCGATAGCTGCTTTGCACCAGACTGCCATTTTCAAGCTGACGTGTAGCTGTGTCCACTTTGTTTGTAGGGGATGGTCACGGTCCTTTCTTTGGGTTTGTGTTTTGGAGGGTGCCCTTTTTCTTGTGCTTTCAACAGGGCTCCTTAAAAAGATACATTTGCAAACATTTGAAACAGGTTGCTTTTTCAACACCAAAATAAAGGGAAACCACCATGTACAAGTTGCAATATTCAGTTGTTTTTCATGTAAGGATGCCTGTTCAATGGAGAAGCTACCGGGCACTCGATCCTGCCATTTCGCGGGTCCCGCGCGTTGAGAAGCGATGTTTTGTGCACGTTGCTGACCCGAGGCTCGCATGTGGACGAGGCTGGCAGTTGAGCAATTGCAAGTGCAGGGCTTGCTCCGGAAAATGCAACTGACAACCAGGAGTCTTATCTCCTAAGCTGTTCTGGGGTAGACTTAGGATACATGCTACATTTTACCAGTGACTCCATGTGAAGCAAACAATAAAATATACATTCTATAACTGGGCCTAACTCTATTCATGTGTTGAAGTCATTGCTTGCTAACCTTTGCGAGTCATACATGGCCCAGAATCAGGTCAAGTGCATCCAGTGACCGAAATCACTGCATGCAAGACGTTTCCGTTTGGTCCCAAATCGAGCTTTCATTGAGCTGAGTTTTGGCATGCCAATGCAGTATGGTTTGCCCAGGTCGAAGTGCGCTCCATTCAGTGACATTTTAGCAGTTCTTTCATTTGGTAGGTTGTTGGTTGGAAAAGGTCTGATTTTGATTGAGACCTATTCCAATGATGCGTGTTGTAGCTGCCCGCTTGTGTGGTGCAAGTTCAGAGTTGGAAGCAGCGACGTGCGGCTACACTTTCAGGCTGCCGGTAGTTGGGTTTGCATTTTTCAGGGTACTCCCCTGAAAATTAGGATGGAACCCACAAAGGGGTGTGTGCCTCTTGGTTTGGTTTACATGGCAGCTGAAAGGAAGCCGCGCATGGTCGGGGTTCCCAAATTTTGAGACGACTTCGATGTCTTTGTGCAGTGCTTGCATGTTTGTTTCCACTCAAAAATAAAGCATGGTAAAGTCCTGAATGTAGAATCAGGGTTCATCGGGTGCCACCTGCTGAAACGCAGGAGCCCACATTGATCCAATGGGCAGGCTTTCAACAGGCCTTGGTTTTCCGAGGCCTTGGTTTTGTTGTCCAAACGATTGTGGGGAAGACCAACAAACACTACCATAGGCGTCATTTTCAGGTTAGTTTGGTTAAAAGTAGATGAGTTCCACTGGTTTAGATGGTTTTTGTTCCCATTTTCCGGGGAAACCCATCTATTTTTCCAAAAGGCCCATGAACACGACGCTCAGTTTGGACGGTGTTGGACTGGATCGGCGGAGAGCCAGGCAAAGCCTGGGGCCCGACATGCGGCGCTGCAGACGGAGGGCAGCCGGCACCTCAGCACCTCAGCTGCGGTCCCTATGCCGTGGGGGATATCCGTCCAGAATTGCGAGAGAAAGGGGCGGCTGAGAGGTGTGGTATGTGCCAAAGCCAGCCTCAGGTTTTGGGCCTCGTGTATGGATCTTGTATGACCTTGGTCTTATTGGAGACTCTTTGGTGGACATCTGATTGATGTCCCGCCATGGTTTTGGGTGGACCACTTGAGTCACCATCAAAACCCGGGTAGTTGGAGGACAAGGGGTGCTCCCAACCATAGGTGCGGCTATCCGCCTGGCTAGTTCTTTACATGGTCCTGGGTGCAAAAATGTTAGTTCCGATCAGTTTTGATGACTGGCTTTGGCTTCGGGAATCGGATTGGGGCTATGACTCATGTGAGGATGTGAAGCCAGCGATGCCCTTAGCAGATTAGGCCTGCCTAGGTGTTTCCAAATGCCACACGTGCGCGCCGGCGCTGGTGATTTGATTTGGGCGCTAGATCGGTCTGCAAATCGAGTATGACGCTTTTTTCGGATTCCCAAGTTATCTTCCCCACCCACAACACACCACCCAATCCACCCCCCACCCCACTCCACCCACCCCACCCCGAGACCTCCCCAGCACAAAGCGAAGCCTTTGGGCAGAGCTTTAAGAGGGGCGCGCCCTATGCGGTATCGCATGTGCAGCTAGAGTTGGTTCTGGGCGTCGGTAGGGGTGCCAGAAGCTTAGTTAGTTAGTGTTCCCCCCCCTCGTCTTTGGAAGCATATGAAGAATTGTGCCAACAGAATCGGGAACTCTTTTTTGCAGTTGTGCCATCCACCCCCGAAATATACGTCTGAATTGTGCCATCTATTCTCCGGGTAGTGTATATGGTTTTTGGAACAAAAGGCAACAACGTCCGCTTCCTCCCAATGGTTGCTTTGGATTGGTGGTTTGGAGCTTAGGGGCCGGTTTCCCAGTAACCCTCTACCAGAACCACGGATTCCAATCGCGGAGCCACCATCCAAACCAACTCGGGCGAGACCTGATGGCTAAACAAGTTCGTGTGGCAGCCCGTGTGTTTCAGCTCTCGAAAATTGGGGCACATCATAAGGATTTGTTGGCCACCCTGCTGATGCACACGCAAACATCAGTGTTTCCTTGATACAACAGACTAATGTATCCGAAGCACACAAGGCCAGCGGCCAGGGCGTAGTATGCTTTGGCACGTAAGGATTCAGTATGTCAACTAACCCATTGTTCCAAGAGTGGTGTGATGAGTTTCCGGCCAGGTTGCGTGAGCCGCAAGTTTGTCAGATGTTTTGTTCATGCGGGCTGGGGGGGAGGGAGGGGAGGGGGAGGGAGGCCAAATAAGCTTTAGGCTTAGTACGGCCTTATTTGGGCTCCCTCCCCTCCCCTCCCTCCATGAATTGTGATGCAAGAGGGTCAGGTTGGTACTTCGGGGCCCGAGGCAGAAAGCCGAGCGACTCCGACTGCCACTACATCATGGGCTTGCGTGGGCCTGACACATGAAAACGGGGCGTCAACCCCGCCTTGGCCAGATGAAGGGGGCTTCTACTAGTTGGTTGATTGGAATCACTGCCGAAAATACTCTAGGTCCCCCAGTAGTGCCCTTTTCAACCCCTTTTTTGGGGGAGGGTTCCCCTTATAAAATAGACCACACAAAAAGGGCACCCTTATTCTAACCTCTCTACTGGAGGACCGGGTGCGGCGCACCTGGCTTGAAAGGAAATCTAGTGCCGGCCTTTGCCTAGCGCTCATTTTGCAGGTGCTGGCAGTGGCACGTAAGCAACTCACAGAAGAAAAGAACGTCACTTGTGTAGGGCTGGCTTCGTGGGGCATCCCCAATGAGATGCTTTTGTTCCACGAAGAATTGCTGCCCGCTGATCTCTTCAGAGAAGACATACAAGATCGCGCACCACATTATACGCTCGCAGGAGAAACAGAGAACTTGAGCAATGAGCTTATTGGCTGGGTTTGCAACAAATATAAGTCCGAGGGTTTTTGTATATACACGGTCTTGGCATCGATGTACAGATGCAGAGAGACTAGGTCTCTCAGCTAGGTGCCCTTTTATTTTCTTCGGTGGAGGGTTCCCCAAAAATAGACTACAGAAAACAAATAGTAGCCTTATTCTAACCTCTCCACTGGAGGATTTAGGAGAGCGATTTGTGGCTTTGTTCGTTTCCGGAAACGCGGCTCTGTCCGTTTCTGGTCGCTTGACGCTTGAGGTCCAAAGTCTCCTGGGCCTTCGTTTGCAACCTGCTGGCGCTGGCCGGGGGGAGGGGGGATGTTGGGGGATCCTTTGCCGATTGAGCCCTTGCAATGTGTCTTGGTCAAAGCATGTTTTCTTGGGGTCAGATGGGTTAGATGGGTTAGCAAGTGGCAATGTATTTGCCCAGTTAGAGAACGGAGTTGATTTAGTTCAGTGGAAGCGGTCATTCTCCGTACAAGGTTTGCATTGGCGCCTGATAAACAAGAGGGCCATCTCTGAAGATATCGCTGGATGCCGCGCTGATCAGATTGACCCCTCGCAGCATCAGGCACGTGCACACATTGAACACAACACACACTCACACAAACTCACCCAAGTGGTTGAAGGCAAGTAATCTCAATAGCTGACTTTATCCCCAAGGTTAAAGCAGTGAAAGGAGTTAGTTCCATTTGAACTGGCAAAACACGTATGGCAACTTTTTTTTTGACAATTATAGCAAGCTTTAGGGACGCACGAATTTGATACCTTTCGGATGAACTCGAGCTCGCCCATGAAATGCAAGCATTGCCTGCCTCAGTGTGCGACAGACAAGTTGTTGTGTTTTATTTTTCTCGCGTGTGTTTATCGGTTTTAGATGGCTTTGTCTAGTCCAACTCAGGTCACATGTTCATATGGGTATGAATCTTATTTAGGGACCCTTTGGTGGACAGCATTTGGGTGATTTGTGGTCCACCAACCGTTTTTTGAGAGAAAGTTCCCCAGAGTTCATTGCCATATGACCCCATGAATAACGTTCATTGCCATATTCTGACCCCATGAATAACGCTCATTGCCATATGACCCCAAGTTCCCCGAGTCTCCGTCTCTGCGGAGGTGGTGATCCTGCTTTGCATCCCGCTACTGTTGTCTTGCTCCAAGCGCAGGACCGTCGGTGGCCGTTCGGTTTCTCGCTGGTTGGATGTGGGAATGAGAAATGGAATGAACCCCTCGAAAAGCCATCCCCTATGAGAATGGACCTGAGAAGTCATCCCCAATGGACCCGATAAGTCATCCCCTATGGAGGGAATGAAGGTTATTAACCATCCCCTATGGTTGCCTTTGAGGGGATCCCGAGGTTCATTCCCAACACCTGGAAGGTCATTGCGTACTGAGCACTAGCAAGGTTTTGGTTTGGCCTTTTGGCCCTGTGGGTTTTCTTCAAGTTTCCAACTTTCAGCTGGTGGTCTAAGTTCGGAGTACATGGATCAGGGCGAAGCATCCAGAAGTTGGACAATCGCCGACCATAGGTGGAGGTTCCGGAACGTTCTCCTAAATGTTGGAAGCTGCTTGAGTTGGCCATTCGTGCATTGCTTCCGTGCTGCTGAAAGCTGGAGAAGTGTTCTTCGCTGTTGTTGGCATGTTTTTAGTGGCTTTTGTTTTGTTGGTTCTGTTCGTGTTTAGTAGGGGGCTGCAAACAACAAGCTGTTTTGCTACCGCACCAATGGTTGGAACGTTCACCACATGCTTTCGGGCAATAGACGACAGCAACAATTGGCACAAAGCCAGGTTGGCATACAGGAGCCCCTCACTTGACCAACAAAGATCGAGGACGAGTGTCCAGAGATGTCCACTGCAGAAAGCTGACTGGAGCAACCATGTCAGTCTCTCGCAGGACCTGGTTTAGATTCCCAGCTGGTGAATCTGCGCAAACATGCGCAAACTATAACCACCTCACCAAGAATCTCTGTGCATGTGGGTGTGTGTGACCGATTTTGGGGCTGCCTTCTACCGAGAAAATTGTGTGAACCCAGTTTGGGACGCGTCAAGAAGCTCTTTAATTTTATTTGTTCCTTGATTACATTAGTCTTGGTTTTCAACATGTAAGACAGAGTCGAGATTGACGTGATGCTATCAAAATAATGTATAACTTTGCACATTTTCCCGATGCATGTGGAACTCACAAGAGCCATTTCCGCGCGTGATACTCTGCAAAATACGAATCATAATCACATACATGCCCGACCACATTGCCCGCTTGCACAGCAACGTGGACTCCAAGGCGAGCTTCGGTCCAAACCGCAAGAAGCTTTTGATTTTTAGATGGACGTGTTGAGTTCTGTTCTCTGTTGAACATGTCAGCTTCCGATCAACTCAGCTCAACTTGCAAGTCAGCAGCTCCTTCTCCGGAGCGCTCCTTCCTCTGGGTTTCTTATCTAGGTCCCCCAGTAGTGCCCTTTAACCAACTTTTTTTGGGGAAGGGTTCCCCTACGAAAATAGACTACAGAAAAAGGGTATACCCTTATTCTAACCTCTCTACTGGGGGACCTAGTTGTGACTCGCGCTTCTGTTTTTGGAGGCCTTTGGGCGCTTCCATGTTCGAGTTCGGCAAGTGCGGACCGGAGAATGCGTCCTACAAGGGAGGCTTTTCCTTCTGAGGCAATCCAGGGCGCGATGGCTGCGCTTGATTCCCGACCCCCTGAAAAATGAAACTCGGGAAGGGCGGTGACCCCTGGAATTCCATGTCTGGTTTCATTTTCCCTGTTAACCCCCCGTCTCTGCCCCTTATGGCAGGGGGATACGAGTTGACAACGTACAAGAGAGGGGAGCTGCGGAACTCACGCGTTGCGCACCTCAAACTGGGAGCCATTGCAAAGCTCAATGGCGGCAGCGTGGAAAAGAGGAAAGAAAAGGGGTGACTGCTGAGGCAAGGGGTGTGTCTAAACATACTGTGGATGCACGAAATCCATTTTGCACCACCTAAGCAACCCTGGTTTCTGATGATTCCCATGAAAATACCAACAAATACTGGTTTGCCATGGTGTCAAAGCGGTGCAGGATTTCGTTCATCCACGGTAGGGGACGCCTGAAATTGGTGGTGTTCCTTTTGTTTCCCTGTCAAAACCAAGCCAAAAGGGGTACCAGTACCATCAACAAAAAGGCAGACAAAGGAGGATTCTCCTCAATGGACACCAAGAAGTTAGCCTGTTTGTCACGACATGCAGTTCACCATTTGCCGCAGGCGCTGTGGTGGGGCGGCCGTATAGAGCATCATGAGAGCATCTCAGGCTTTGGCTATGGACTTGTTGGCTATGGCTCAACAGTCCAGGGACCTGAAAAGGGGAAGGACCCAGCAGCCCTAGGTCCCCTGGATAGGTGCCCTTTTTTAACCCCTTTTTACTAAAATAGACGCTACACAAAAAAGGGTATACCCCTTATTCTAACCTCTCTACTGGAGGACCCAGCCCTTCCGACCAGGTTTTATTTCAGCCCCGTGGGGATTCTTCGTCCGCGAAGATGTGAGACATTGGCGTGGATCTTGGCTCGAGGGACCGCCCTTACTCAGCATTCCAACGAAGTATCAGGCGGGCGGGAGTTCACATGGGCGTTTGGGCTCGCTGGGATCGCCAGGGAATGAGAAATGGCATGACTGTGCGGGAAATCCATTTGCATGCTATGGCTTTCTTCAAGGGAATACTCTTCCGGTTCATTCCCCAACCCAGGTTTTTTACCTGCTGAGCACCGGCAAGATTGGGCACTGACCGAATTGCCACTAGGAAATGAAGGCTACTCGCCAAACTCCAATGTCATTGGGGGTCATAATAAAGTTTGGCCGTGGATCAATACGAACCTGTGCTTATGTGTGAGTGCACCCGATCAGGTGAGCGCGCCAATGCATCTATGGTGCAGAAACATCCTTATCGTGTTGCAATCGACTGGAGAAGTTGCTGTTCAACCTCGATCTTGTACTTCAGGTAAGTTTCTCATCCGCTTTCATTAAGCCAATACGGGTCTCGTGCGTGTTGGGTTTCGCCCCAAGTGAATTGTGATTCGTGAGCCATTCCTGGACGAATGATTTCAATGGCTCACGAATCAATTCAATGCCGTTCATGAGTATTGCTTAGCTTCTCAATTCCTGGACGTTGCACTGTGCTTTCGCCCATTCCACAGCGCCGTACTGGCCAGGACCAATTCGTTTCTACTTCATCACTTCATGTCAGGTCCCGGCCATCAGGCCAAAGCTTTTTAGCCTTTTAGCGTGAAGTGCCTGGATTTGCCATTTCACCCACAGCAAGTTATTCTCTTTTAGCGGGGGATCTGAGGACGCTCTTGCCAAAATAGACCTTTGCAACGATTCGTTAGATCCGATTGGCCGAGCTTTTGTTGGACCTGATTTACCTCATGATTTCAAACCATGTAAGATGTTGGCTTGACACCAGTGATTTGTTTGTTACATTCGGACTTAAGCGATTGGATGAGTCCTTCAATCATTACTCGCCATGTGCTGTTTCAGCAAGGTCGCCCGCGTTTCTGACTCTGGGATAGGGGGAGTCGTTCTAAAGGTGCTTGTAAGGAGTTTAGTATTCGGTGACCATCGGTGTTGGTTGAGGTAGCTCCGCGAAAGATTGCGATAGTAACTTGTTTGTTCGCGAAAGTTTTGCGTAGCTGCATCTTGTAAATCAGTAATATGTGCACAGTTTGTTGTTTGTCTCCTGATAAAGCCTGGTGACGCTACAGTTTGATACCCTGCTTTGCTGGTTAGTGCTCCAGGTGTGCGGGTGTTAGTCGGTGGCTACGTGAGTGATGTTTCGCGAAAGTTCCGCGAAAGGTCCGCGAAAGCCCGCGCGAAAGCGCATTCGATTGCAAAGGGAGGTACTTTCTGAGCTCCGCGCTAGTCAGAGTAGCTTGGTACTGAAAAGTTGCAACTTCAAGCTGGGGCTGCGCGGCTTTCCTGCTGGAACTGCGGAAGTGCATTTCGTGTCCTGGTGCTGAAAAGTTGCGACTTTCCAGCTGGATCCGCGGAAGTGCATGTCATTGTCATGTACTACCCTTGTGATAAAAGTTGCGACATTATTTCGCGTACTAAACCGGTACTTAAAAGCTGCGACTTCCGGACTTGAGCAATGAAAAGTGCACGGCGATGAATCCGCGAAAGATTCGCGAAAGTATCTTTTTCATTCGCGAAGAATGGACGTTTCGAGACGAAGGAATTTAGAACAACAACCTGACATATATAATATATGCGGTGTGGATCTTTTTTCATTGCTTGCTTGGCTTCCTGTTGTGTAGCTTCGGCCACCATGAAGCTTAGACAGTGTGTGTGAGTCCATGTGGCTGTGGGTCAATACCAATGGTACCGTTTTGGGGTAGGTGCACCACCCCTTTTAGTCTATTTTAGTTAGGATTGGGATGTTCACTGGGGGTACGATTTGGATTTTGACCCATGGCCATGTCTTTGCCGGCGGAGGTCTTGCTTCTCATCGCGATGGCCTACTTTGCACTGGTGTCTGCATGCCTCGCGCCACCCTGAGCGGTGAGATCCGGTGAGTCACGGTCTGGTCGGTTTGCTGGTCGGTGACCTGAGGGCTGGGGAGTTGGCAGGTGTTTGGGGTTTTAGATGTTGAATGTGTTTTTTGTTTCATGCTAGGTTCCCCAGTAGTGCCCTTTCTCACCAACTTTTTAGGGGAGGGTTCCCCTACGAAAAGAGACTACAGAAAAAAGTTGGTACCTTGATTCTAACCTCTCCACTGGAGGACCTAGGTGTTTCTTTTTCGTGTGAGCCTGGATCCTCAAGCTACCGCTTAAAAGTAGGTTGGCAAATGTTGTTGGACGCATTGTGCCAAATCAGCCCCCTCATGCCCCATCGTGCAACCGTGTCTTGCTTCACGTCAGTCATACACAGAGTGTTGATCACTTGATTGGCAGGAATCGCTGACTCAGTGGAACTTTGCCGAGTGCTTGGGTATCTGATATCCTGTCTTACAGCCTTGTTTGCCAGAGGTGTGTCCGAATCCAACTGTGGTTTTGACAGCTTGCAAGCGACCTCACCATGCTTGTTGTTGGGAAACATTTTACATTTTTGCTTATTGTGGTTTAGTGCGAAATCCCCACTTAACTGCTAAAATTTAGATTGTTGCTCCCCTTTCAACGTCAACCAAGTCACTGATCTTTGCATGTTGGTTCGTGAAGAAAACGAAAAGTCGGTCCCAGCAGGCCACTTGACGAGGAAATGTGTCTTCCACCCTTCATGAGGGTAAATCGCCGATGGCGAGTCACCCAGATGTTGACCTTCCAAGGACCCGAGATAAATGGGTCTTGCTTTTTTGGGGGCTACCTCCTTGGCGGTTTCAAAGGGAAACCACAAGGTACAAAAGCCCAGATATCCCCAACAGCCCCGGAACCCTCCACGAAAGCTGCCCCGAACTACCCCTTATCGCCTATCCGCGCCTGCCGACCAAATGTCCATAGCTTGCAGCTGGGGAAAAACACACAACCTCCTTTTTTGGGGTTTTAAACTAGGTCCCTCAGTAGTGCCCTTTAACCAACTTTTTTGCGGGGAGGGTTCCCCTATTAAAATAGACTACAGAAAAAGAGAATCGGGCACCCTCTTTCTAACCTCTCTACTGGAGGACCTAGGCAAGTGTTGATCTTGCTTGTCCCTGGTTCTAATGGACACCTCCTCTTATTTTTTGGGTTTAAAGGAAAAGCGCCAGGAAAACCCACCCGTTTTGGGGGGGGGGGGGGGGCGTCCTTGTCGAGACGAGGCACCTGGCCTCTTCTCTCGCTTTCTGAGGCCTTGGCGGTCGCAGAGGTGGCCAGCCCTGTGGGCAAGGCGCGCGGACGCCGTCGGACGGCGGGATACGAAGGGCGAGTGCGATTTTTGAAAGGCGGGTCGTTGAAAGGTCTGCTTTTCCAGTAAGTTGCTGGGTCGAAGAATTGTATTTTTGTTATTTGGCCCGGTTGGAGTTTTAGAGGGAATCGAATCGATCTCACTACTGGTGTTTTTCATTTTTTTTTAGGAAAAACAAAACACGTTTGTGGGAATTCCCTGGGCCAGACATTTAACTGGGCAAATGAAAACGCGAGCTGATCCGGGGGGTAAAGCAAGCGCTTTCTTGGGGATGTGTGAATTGTGATATCGTGCCCGGCCCATCTAGGACGCTGGAACAAACACACACCAGACAGAGAGGCAGAGCGGTAGAGAGAGAGAGAGAGAAAGAGGTGGCTAGAGACGAACTGAGCATGCACACATACACATACACATACACAAGCACACCAACACACAAAGACGTAAACACAAACAAACATACAAACACCCAAACACGCAAACACGCAAGCACACAAACAAAAATCACAACTCACCACACTACACCACACTGCACCGCACCACACCGCACCACACCGCACCGCACCACACCAAGCCCAAAAACGACATAGACAACAAACATATACACACACACACACTCACCCAAGTCACTCTTTGTTCCTTTGGGTCACTTGTGGCTCAAGTCACCTTTTTTGGCCCGTCCATGCAGGGCAAACAAAAAGTTTGGTTATTTTCGGCCCCTCCACTCAGGAAGTGAGTGTACTGTTTGGGTCCATAGTACCCCCTTTGACCTGGCGATACCCAGAGGTGATCTCGCTGCTCGAGGGCATGGAGACGAACATCGTGGCGGAGGGCAAGGCTTGTTGCGGTGAGTTGTTTTTTCTCGTTCAGCAGAAAAACAAAGGTTCCTGGACCTTGCCGGTTGTCCTTCCATGAGGGGACTAAAGCAAACGGAGGGTTGTAGGTCACTAGGTATTGGTTGAAGAAGGAGGCACTGCAGTTTTGCTTAAGAATATTTGTCTATTTTCACCAGTTGGTTTTCAAGGGAACTTATCACTATGGGACATATTTTATATATTTCCCGGGGACTCAAGCAAATGGAGGTGTCCCAAGCTGGCAATTGGGACGATTTGCGAAACGTGCCTGACGCTTTGAATTCAGAGAGAGAGAGAGAGAGAGAGAGAGAGAGAGAGAACCATGAGGTGAGAGGGGGACTAGTCGAAGGTTGATGCAGGGAATCCCACTTTCGTATCATGAAGGTGTCACTTGATTTAACCACAGCCATGTTTGCCGGTTTTAAAGCCTTGCCCAAAAGCACCCTTGGAGGAGCAAGCTGAATTGAGCCATAATGGAGCGGCCAGAAGTGAAGTGGCCGTGAAATAAAACAGCTGATGGGCATTCGGAGTATGATATGCAGGCAGAAACAGTTCTATGCCAAAAGAAATGTTGCTGAGCTTGACTAGGCCAATGCTGATTAGGATCTTCGCAGGGCGGATATTGCAAAGCGACACTGCCATACCTTCTGCATAACTCATCACGAGCTCCCAGATTCGGGTGTAAAACGAGCTTTACTTGATCCGATTCTTAATTCAAGTTTTGGAAGCATGGTAGAACTTGCTGAATACTTGTCGACTTGTTGAACTCTTGCCACAGCTAAATGTTCACAGAGTGGCGACTGGGTGTCGAATTAGTTGATGTACACTGCCTGTCGGACTCCCGGGGTCACATGTTTTTGGTTCTTCAACCTTGCAGACACTTGGCTGTGGTGGTCAAAACCGTTTTGGGATCCCATTTTGGGGGTTTTCGGTGCACCACCATCCAATTGGTGGTTTCCTTGAAGGGGCCCTGGGAAATCATTGCTTCATTCCCCGGTTGGCAGTGGGACAAGGCCATTTTGGGATCCCATTTTGGGGGTTTTCGGTGAATTCACCACCAATTTTAGGACCCATTTTAGTGGTTGGGATGCTCACTGATTTGGAGTTTGACCCATACTTCTCTCCCGGGGGCTGGCAGGCAGAGGATAAGAAGATCGCAGAGTACTCGGCGCTGTGCGAGAAGAGGCCGGGAGGTTCTCAGGTCCCCCAGTGCCCTTTCTCACCCCTTTTTTGGGTTGGGAGGGGAACCCCCTGCAATAGACAAACCAGAAAAAATCATCGGGTACCCTCAGTCTAACCTCTCTACTGGAGGACCTAGTCAACAGAATGTCCGGTTTTGGGTCAATTCCCGGAACAGCTATTTCCCAACGAGGGTACCCTCAACAATGAACATGCCCCAACGAAAAAGCATGATACACTGGACAACCACAGTTGCACACCAGAAACCTTGGTTCGTGGTGGTGAGCCGCAATCATTTTGCCAGGAAGGCGGACCTCTCGTACCAGGCGAGTGGGGAAGGGGGCGTTTTGGTGCGCCAGGTACATTACACCTCTGGTGCATGTTGCCAAGGGATGTTAGGACTTGAACTTTTTTCCAACTAATGGGTTTTCCATTAAACCACTAAAAGTTATTCACTTTTAGCAGGGGAGCAGAAAGCAAGCGAGACATCATGAGGGCTTTTTGTGGCAAGTTTGAAAGGGCCAAATGAGGCGAAATGCACCAGTTAGACAAGGCTGGCTTCAGGGGCCGAATTGCTAGTGGCAGCGGCCCAGATGAAGAGACCCCTGTTTCCTTTTTCCAGGAGGTGTCCGTAGGTGAAATGTGAAGATTCACCACTTTCGGAGAAAACCACCCCCAAATGAATGAACAGGGGTTTGTCAATCCGGGGTCATTTTGTTTGTCGTTTGGCTGAGAAGTTGAGACCCAGAGATTCCGAGTCAGTGTTCCTGGTGTGTGCCGTTGGGTGAACGAGCCAGTTGATCGGTATTTGAGGCAGGCATTCCCATATACCTTACCCATTCTTCCTTCCCTTTTCGAGAGGGTTTCGCTTCAAACAGAAATCAAAGGGGGTCCTTTTTGTTTTTCCATATGCACTGGGCTGGGTTGAGGAAATTTGCAGCATGTAGGCGATGCAAGATCCTTGAATGAGGCTGAGCAGAAGTGACTAGATGTGGTTGTTGCAACGATTCTAAGCGGAGCTGACTTTATGATTTGAAGCTTTATCCATGTCCTGCAGCTGAACAATGCTCAGCATGACCCGGCTGAATTTGCCATGCAATGATGACTGTCCACGCTCCTTAAACAACTGATCCTTGCATGATCCTCGAAGCTGCGTTTGTTTGTTCCTTATTGCACAATTACACGAATCGTGAGCATGCTGTTCATTGTACACAATACATCTTGGATAGGGGCTCTTTCAAGTGGCCTTGTTGTTTCTTTTTCCATAGATTTCATGATTTTGCCTTTTAAGTTAAGGTTTGTTGAAGGGTTCCTTTAGTATAGGAGTTGTTGCCACGGACAATCATTTAGCAAGAACATGCAAGCACTGAACATCGTATCCAAACCACAGTTTCTGCTTTCAAGTGTAAACGCAAGCATGCCCATTCCCGGGTAGAGTGGTGGACAGTCAACGTAGATAGTTTTTTTGCAACCTCTACGCTGGCCAGATCAAGACGGCGAAGACCGACATCGATGAGCTCTCTGCAAGGATCAGCAAGGCCGAAAGCAAGGCAGAGGCTGGGAACTGCACGTGATGGTTTTTCATAGACTCCCCCCCCTGATTTTCTCTAGATAATGCCCTACTGGGGTGTTATTCTTGGCAATGCAGGGGGAGGGGGTTAGGGGGGGGTGTGGATCCAATGACTCGCGTGTGGTTTCTTGAGCTGAAAAAGAACAAGTCACGCGCTAACCTATGTCATCGATGCACATGGCACGCTGAGAATAGCGCCCTTGGCTGCTAGATGGGGCCAAGGCAGCGATCTTTTGAGTGATTCAATAGCTGACCCACAATCAGTTCCTGAAAGATTGGGGGAGAGTCCGACCCACAAATGAAAGCGGCTCTCCATTGCAGCACGGTTTTCTGTAGCACAAGTGGATAACTACTTTTAAAGAACCTTACCCGGCTCCGATGGTTTTGTCCCTTTTCGACCCCTATGCCTACGCCCTTGGGTTTTTGTGGGTCGTGACTTGCTTGAAACTGAAAAAGAACGAATCACCCCGTTCCCAGCCCGTTTTTTGCACCTCGACCCCAGCCCGCTGAGCTCGGCTCTGGCGGTAGCGCGAGGCTGCGACCTCCACCATCCAGGAGACCCAGGAAGGAATCGCCACCGATGAGGCTGACCTCAAGGCGCTCGAAGCTGAGCGAAATCTTGCGCCGATCTCGGACACCGCCAGACGTCTCGGGGATGCCAAAGAAGGACCCGAATTGACCACCCACCTGGCCCGCCTAGCACCTTTGGGATTTTTCTTGGCCAAGGTAGCCTTTTCATCCTGGTTGAAAGGGAGGCCCAAAGCACAAGTGCTGTGTCATCTCGTTCTTCTTTTTGCACACATACCCACCTGGGACCTTTTGGATGCCCAAAACATGTTTCAAATTGACGGGAACACTAGGCATCCACGTTTGGTTGACAATAGCACCAAGCGAAAGTGGTGTGCCCAGAACACAAGTTCACACAGGCACAGACACATGCACAAATGGCAATGAGGCGATGTTTCTGAAGGGAGTACTTTGCCATTCACCTCCCACCATCCCACGGCCTTAGTTACCACCCGCCGCAATACCTGAACCATTGCCCCAGAATAATTTGCTATGTCAAAGGGTTGGGTTACAGGAAATTCTACAGGAAACCAGCTTATTTAGTGTTGTGGGGCCATTTCCTGTAGATTTTCCTGCAACCAAACCCTTTCACTATGGCTTACAAAGGCTCAGGGGGATTCGACATTTTAGGAATGGGTACGGGTGAGAGTGATCCCTTTTAGCCGAGGGCATACTGCTGGCCAGGCGCCATGAATGGAAGGTTGATGACCCTTGGTGTCCAAAAAGCGACCCACAAAAGCGGCTTCGATGATTTCTAGGGCTTCGTTTCAAACCTCGTTCTGTTCAAACACCAGCTGTTTTCTTGGGGTGTTTGGTGGTTTCCTAGAAAGAAGGATCCCTGGAAAGAATGGTTGGAAGCTTCCCTAAAACTTTGGATTCCATCCCCTTAGCCTTTCAGCATTTTAGTGTTTTGTGGGCGATTTCCCTTTAACTCACTACATGTTAAACTTCTAGCGGGGGATCTGAGCCCAGCCCACCGCGGTCCCTGTGATTTGGAGGCTCGGGAGCCCAAAGGTTTTTGGGACAGGCGGCCACGGAAGTGCGAGGCAAGGAGAGCGCCGCCCGGGGCCAAGGGCCGTCTTCACTGGTCTCTCAAATGGTGGATCCCTTTGTAGCTATTTGGCTGTGGCTCAAAAAAGCAAAGAGGTGCCCAAAATGGGTTGCCCGCTCGGTAAGTGGAACATGGACCAAAGCCTGCGGTTTGCCCCTCCGATCGCTTAATTTTGAGCCACACCCTTTTGCCGGCGATCTTTGGACTTTGGATTTTTGGTTGAACGTGGGGTTTTCCATTAGCAACTAAGGTTTTCAGTTGGTGTTCGAAGGACAAGAAGGAAGCCAAGCATGTTGGGGGGGCTGTGTAACCCCCATTTGGCTTGGGAGGTCGGACTCCATGTCTCGTTCCGGCACGGAAAATCCTCGGCTCCGAGGACTTCAAGAAGGCGGAGCAGGAGCTGCTGGACGCGCGCCCCAAGTCACCGGCTTGTTGGGCGCGTCTTGGAACGTGGGGAAAACGGACAGAAGAAAGGAAGGGGGGGGCATGGACATGGGGGAAAATTGGGGGAACTTCAAATTTGGGGGAACATGGGGAACATGGGATGAAACATGGCATGGGGTCATGGACAAGAGCCATAATTATAGGTGTGCACGGTGTGTCTTTTCTTTTTTGGTACCCGCGAAAATGGGTGACGTTCTTTTCGTTTTGTTTGCCTTCAAGCCCCAAAAAGTGGTGGCCTCACAAGAGACACACCCGACGTATGTCTTGGGATCTTCACGGAGAGTGCGGATCAATCAACGCGAAAGACCCTCCCATGGTTGGTAGACGTTGCTGTTGAACTGACGCCCACCGAAGGGTCCCCAATCAGAATTCATCCCTGGTTTTGTATGGCTTTCTTTTAGGCCATGTTAAAAGGGGAAACCAAAGGCAAGGACCGATGATACGGGCCTTCTCAAGTATGGATACTTGAAGGACCCCGACACCCACAATCCCGTGTCCCTGAATGGCAAAGATGCCACAACCGCTTGGGAGCCGCCAAGCGCGCTCAGTGAAGGAACCTTTGAGTTGTGCTCGGCTGGGAGGATGGGCTGATTGGCGAATGCGCGGATGGGCACGAATACCACTGGAACAGATGCGCTATGAGTTAGTGTTATGCGTCAATGAGTATATCTAAAGTATGGAGTCGCGTGTCACCAGGAGAGGAGGAGAGACAGGGCCTACCCCCGGAACGCCTAGGAAACCCTACGGACCCCTAAGGTGGGACCAATTCGTTCCGCGAGGTGTCTGCCACCGTGGAGCGTGCCATGTCGGTGCTGGAGAAGGAGCCCATCCCCGGCCGTCGCACCCCCCCCACCCTTGGTGTGAGGAACGCAGCCCATGCAATGCACAGGATCGTGTCAGATTTGGTGATTGTAGCACTGTGTTCGCTTGGAGAGATGGCTGTGCACGCGTGTGAATTCGAGCAACCGTTGATGTTGAGACTGGCATAGCCTATCAAGCTGGAGCCATGCTGAGACACTGCCGTTTTGACTGGGGGATCCTATGAAGCACGTGTTTCGACAGCGGTTATTTGCCTTTTCGGTATAATGCATTAGGCATACTTCCGAGGGTAGCTTGCAGCAGCCTTTGGTTCGGCATCACAGGTGTTCTCCTGACAATACCCAACAGTTGAGCCTCAGGTTTGTTCCCGGTCAGCACAAGGATCATGAGTTGAGCACGGCCCGTCCCCCCAGATCATTCATTGGCTTGTCGTGTCTTCGTGTCTCTGCAGGCGCCAAAGCGGCTCCGCATTGTGAAAAACGTGTGGTTCCGGTACGTTCTAGGGGTTGATTCCTTGTCCATTCTTTTAAGCCATCGTTCTTTTCAAAAACCAGATTCATTTCCCCAGGGATTTTGGTGGTTTTCTAGAAAGATCCGGATCCCTGGAAAGAATGGCAAAGAAAGTTACCCTAGATACATGACTTCATGCGTGTCATGGCACGGGGGCCAGTGCCTTTGAAGCTTGGGCTTGGCACCGTAGATCACCTGCAGGAGGAGACCAAGGGCAGCCTCCGCCCCAGAGGGCGGAACGGGAGGGCCCAGGCATGCCCAAAGGTTTTAGTGTATGTGTGTGCCGTAGGTTTGTGGATTCGGGTGTGGTTGAGTTTGTGTGTTTGCAGGTTTGTGGGTTTACCTGGTGTGTGTGGTTGTCTATGCGTGTTCACTGCGTTCCCCAGGCAATATGGCATGGAAATTGGTAATAGATCTTAACATGGCACATGTTCACATAAGTGAACCAAATCCAGTAGGAAACTGAAGTCATCACCTGGCCTGAGACCTGGTTACTTTTGTTTGGCATTCGTATCGGGGCTCCACCGTTTTTGTGAGCGCGCAAAATGCCGAGGCGCCTTCGTGCAAGTCCAAGGTGCCAGAGCCCTCGGTGAGAGAGGGAAGGGTTTTGAGGGGCCTGGGGCCTGGGGCTTGGGCCCTTGGGCATTTTCGGAATACCCGACGAAAAAAAAAGGTCTGATGTTTATCCACGGGTATCAGTCACTTTGAGACCGGTGCCACGAATGGACAAATTGAGCCACACTCAAAACGCAAGATGAAGGTTAGTCATAGCGCTAGTCCCAACCAGAAAACAAAGCAGCCTTCAGCTGCCGCCTTTGAAGATCTTTAGATGAGTTTGTTGGACTTTGAAGCATCCTTTCCGCCTTAGGGCGAGTCAGAAGAAGACATCATGGCGCAGTCGCCGTGATTCCGGCCCAGGTCCCCGGACTGCTGAAGGCCATCCAGGCCTGGGGGAATTGGTTGGAGCTGGGCCAAACCGCTCTCCAGGCACCAGGATGCTTGACATGGTATCTGACTCCTGGAGTTTTGTGGGGTTTTTAGACTTTTTGGGGCCTGGCAACTATGCAAGATGGAGAGTTCCATGGATCCACGGAAGTGAGGTGTAGTTACTCGGTTTCAGTGACATTGGAAGGGCATGCACTTTGTATCAGTGTGTTTTCTTTAGACTTTGACAGCCTTTTGTGTGTGTGGTGTTGGCTTGCATGTGTGTTGATAGTGCTGGCGTGTTGGTATTCAATAATTCATGTGTTTGTTGCTGATTTGCTTGTTCAGTTGTTGGTTTTGTTTGTTTGTTTTGTTTTGGTTTGGTTTGGTTTGGTTTGTGTTGTTTGTTTTGTTTTGTTTGTTTGTTTTGTTTTGTTTTGGTTTGGTTTGCTTTGTTGTGTTTGTTTTGTTTTGTAGTTGTTGTGTTTGTTTTGTTTGTTTTGTTTGTTTTTTGTGTTTGTTTGTTTGTTTGGTTGTTTGTTTGTTTGTTTGTTTGTGTCTGTTTGATTGTGTGTTTGTTTCTTTGATTGCTTGTTTGGTGCTTTGTTTTGTATTGCTTAGTGTGTCCCGTGTCGTGTCGGTTTGTGGGTGTGTTGTCTGGTTTGTTGTTGTTTGATTGCTTTTTGGTTTGATTGCCTGTTTGTGTGTTTGTATGTCCTGTAGGTTTGTTTGTGCTTGTTTGCTTGCTTGCTTGTTTGTTTGCTTGTGTATTTGCTTGTTTGCTTGCTTGCTTGCTTGTTTGTTTGCTTGCTTGCTTGTTTGTTTGTTTGCTTGTTTGTTTGCTTGTTTGCTTGCTTGCTTGTTTGCTTGCTTGCTTGCTTGCTCGCTTGCTCGCTTGCTTGCTTGCTTGCTTGCTTGCTTGCTTGTTCGTTCGCTCGCTCGCTCGCTCGTTCGTTTGTTGTTTTTTTCTCGTTTGTTTGTTGTTTGGTTGGTTCGGTTTGGTTTCCAGACTGATATCATTCTGATTCAAAGGAATTCCTCCGCACAGAGGCACCATTAGCGAGCTCAGGGCTTCGGAAGCTCGAGCCAGAGATCCAAGAGCCTGAGGTTGTCTGAATGTATCTCATCTTTCTATAATTTGCATCATTCTGTCAATCGATCAATGTATTTTGGTATATCTGTGTGTGTGTGTTTGTTTCTGTCAGTAAAGCCAGGGATTCGAGATTTTACGGAATCCCTAAGTGGGGGTGGTCCAAGAGAAGGGTTCCCTAAGCATCCCCAGGGAACCCTAAAAAAATCCTAGGGGAACCTCTCCAGAACCCGAAACGGGCTCTTGACTACCCACCCCGTTTGTACCCACCCCCCGACGTGGATTCCACAGAGATTGTTAGTGTCCCTCTCCCTTTTGTCTTTAAACCCAAAGGAAATGCATACCCAGAACCCGAACGCCAGGCCATGATGGATGCATCTATGATTGGCCACCAGGAGCCGAATTTGGAAGCCTCAGGCATGTTCTCAGCTTGCCGCTTGCCTGCGGTAGTTGCAAATTAGAAAGAGCGGCAAGTCGAGCTCCATGGCTTCTTGGCTAATTTGATTGGATCTTTGGACAACTTTTTGGTTGACACTTTGTGGATGTTCCATTGAACTCACAAAAGCTAAACTTTTTGCACCAGCTTGGTATTTCAGCATGAGAGGTACTGTCTCTTCCGTTCGCACAATGTCCTTCCCGGAAGCATGTGCCGCAGTCTGAGATGATTTGAGTTTGTCTTTTGTTTGGGGATTATCAACATGTTGTCGTTTTTCGTTTTCCCGTTGGTTTCCATGAAAAACCAACCAAAAAAGGGTCCCCTGAGAAAAGACACATCCATTTATAATTGGGAGTCCCAACCGCCCGTATCCTTTACCGATGTCATAGAATGATTGCCTTGGTCCATGGGTAAGGTGGCCGCGAAGGCATTGGATAAAACGAAACCTCATATGACCATGGGTCAAAAGCACGTACCCCCAGTGAACATCCCAATTCCCACTAAAAGAAACGAAAATGGGTGGTGCGCCTGCCCCAAAATGATACCATTGGTTTTGACCCACAGCCATACATGTCAACCTTATAATCATGCTCAGGATTGATGCCAGAAGCCATTCCGGTACTTATGGGCTTTCTTTTGAGGACTTGTTTTTTTTTGGTTTTTCTCCGGGTGATTGAGGAAAGCACAAAACAGCCAACCATGCTGGGTGTTCCCGTATGTACAACTAACACACCTACATCAATCAAAATTAGTGTATAAAGCTTAGGCCCCGTTGTGACCTTTTGGCTTTGATCTGCTACTCTCTGAGCATGCCCAAAGCCAAACAACTAGAAAACTGTCTGGATGTGCTGCTTGTGAATTTGCCCAGTTCTTCCCCCTGTTGGTCCTTTTATGTTTTATTGCAGCACTTTGTGTTAATATTCTACAGGGCTGGATCTACAGAAGCCACATCCAAACCGTTTTCTGGGAAATCGGATGATGGATATTAGTTACCGGAGCAGTTTGTCTATTTGGGGTTCAACTCCCAACATTTATCCGAGGCTCGGAAAGCGTGCAATGACACCCCACCAAAATTCAAAACTCATGCCTTGAGCACCTCGGGAAGAACCGAGCCGTGCCGTGAAAGGGATGCTGTGTCCGAGAAAGCATGGGCATGGCTATGATTTTGAATGGGAAGTAACCTCAACATGGTTGGACAAAACCTCTTAACACGTGTGTTTGTCCACCAAAGGGTCCAAGCGATTCTGAGATTCATCCCATGTGCTTGTCACTATCACGTTCTGAAAGGAAATGCACGACCTCCAAACCGCTATCCCCAACGACAAATGGGTCCGTCTTCTTTAGCGGACCCCCCCAAAACTGATGGTTTTCCCGTTGGTTTCAATTGAAGAGCCACAAAACAAGGTACCTTTAAAAGACAGACCCAAATGGAGTATGCAACAGAATGCAGGCCATATTTTACCTTCTGGGTAGTGGTTTTGGGGGTAGGGAACTTGGTTGGATCTTTAGACTTTCCACTTGTTGGTTGAAATCATTAGGGGTTGTCAAAACTACCCCCCCAAAAAGTTAAACTCTCTCTCTCTCTCACACTTTTTGCAGGGGCGGTCGTTGCAGCAGCCAAGGGAACAAAAACCGGGGGCTATGGTGAGGGGGGGCTATCCCGTGGCCTTATTTTTCGGGCTTATCCTTGGGTTATAATGGGCTTATCCAGGCCCCCATAGCCCCCCCGGAGATTCCGTGATCAAAAATACCAACGGCCGCATGCCGCTTTTCTCGGAATCTGAAGCCTTGCAGGACGCCAAGACGCTCACAGCCTTGGTGCAGGCATGGCTTCGCGAGATCGAGAAGATTGCGAGACCTCCAGACCGGGGGTAAAGGGAAACGGGCCGTCATTTTTATGGCCAGGTGGTACAGTAGGGGATCTTCGGATTTTTGACTTGTTGGTTGACACTTTTGTTAGACCCACAAAAAGTGAACGACTATGCAAAACGTGTTGCAGAGAGTTCAAGTGCAGCAAGGTTTTGGGGTATTCCAGATATTTCAGGCTCCGTTTTCGCCGTGCACTGCTTGGACAAATAGAAACGCGCGACGCGACAAACGGGCTGTGCTTGTGTTTCAGGACTCGGATGAACAACCCGAGCCTGCCGTCGGGCCCTGAGTCTGAACCTTTTTCAAGGGTACCTGTGTGGAAAACGCACCTTCTTGGAGTTCCGAGTGCACAGTTTGCTGACGCAAACCCTATAAATATAGGTGGAAAGTGTACAGCCTTAGCTCGTACAGCCTTAGCTCAACGCAGCTTCCATTTGGAACTTGGTCAATCAGGTGTTGGATGGCTTGTCAAGTTTTTCAGCAACTGCCTGCCTTTTGTGTCGGTTGTGATTCAAAAAGGCAACCTTCACATGTGGTTTCGAGTGGGTGCTGGTTGACTTGCCGTGATCCGAACCACTTCCTTTACGGATCCGTGCGCGAGCCTATAGACATACCTGGGCTTGTTTCTCAAATCGGGGGACACCACACGTGGTGGTCCTGCTGTTGGCTTCCCTTTAAATCAAGGTGAAAGGGGTACTGAGTACCCTCCAAAAAAAGACATGTTCAACAGGGAGAGATTGGGTATGATCAGTGGATGCAACTATGTTCAAGGTTGATCCATATTCCGTTCGGCCCCAAAATGACCATGGGCAACTTTTCCCATGTGGTGAAAGTCATATCTTGTTTGGTGGTTTCCCTAATGGTCACCCCATGTACGGACCTTTTGATCAACCACATCGACGCCCGGCACAAACTCCACGCTGAGGCCTACAAGGCCAAGAGCCACTTGGCAGTTGATGGTCAGACGGTCAGAAAAGGCAGTTTTCAGTGCTGTGGGATCCTTCCATTTGCTGAAATGAATATATTTTTGGTTGTTCTGTTGGTTTTAAAGTGGATCTACAAACGACTGGACTTGTTTCGTACCTTTTTTTTGGTTTTCTTCGGTGGACTCAAGGAAACGGAAGGACCTGGTTTGTCTTGAGCCATGTTATTCGCGAAAGACGGAGCAAGCTCAAACAAAACCTTTGGGGGGAGCACACGGCAAAAGCCGCTGGCTGTGCAGTATCGCTTCATAGCGGGTTGTGCTGCTTGATTCCGTTCCTCAGCACCGTGAGTGAGTGTAAACTGCCGGATTTGAGTCTGGCCCGGTCGATGGGATTTGTCCAGAGAGAATGGAAGCCCTTCCTTCTTGAAGGTTAACAATGTGTGTTTGGGTACGGGGGCCCAGCCACATATTAGGCATAGAAGGTATGGATGACTCACCACTGCCAGAGGGATACCAGCACCTTGGCCCTTGGACTGCAGATGACCGCATTAGGGTCAAGCAGCTGCCGCATGGATTCGGTTGCTTGGCGGTGTGCTGGTTTGGAGGTTTGGGGATTGCGCATGCAAGCTGGACCATACACATTCCCCTCACTCTAGGAGCTTGAGTCACAGAAACCAACTCGAGGAAGAAAACAAGAAGCATGCTCCGGGTGTGGGATAGGGGTCAGCCCTTATTGCGTGCTACGTATTTGACTGGAAGGCTTTTACACAGTGTTTTTGCACGATCAGCCGTGCCATAGTTAGCTTTCGAGCTCTGATCTAGAGAGGCATCTGAGTTGCGTGGTTCTAGGTTGACGTGTTTTGCAACTCGTTGCTTTGCCTTAGGCTTCTTCCTTTCCGGCATTGGTTGCGGGGGTTGAGGGAGGCATGGTGACTTCAGGAGTCTTCGGTGTTAGCCCACACTCCCATGGATGTTCAAAGCAAATGTTCGTTGCACAAGTTCTAGTACACGGGTTCCGATCACGGGACAATCAGGCACTGCAGAATACACTATTATGTGCTAGAATCCCTATTCTTAGAATCCATTCAACATGTCACCAACAAAAATCAGAAATTGAAGGCCATGAAGGTTAGACATCCCAAAACACAAGTCGGAAATTGAAGACCATGACTCCTCCCATGAAATTCTCCCGGAGATCTCTGTGACCCAGGCGGTGGCATCACGGAGATGCTGGAGGACATGCTGGACAAGTCCAAGGCCCGACTTGACTCGACCTCGTGCGGTTGAACAGAAATTTATTTGAAATCCCGGGGGCGTTGTGCTGGATTCTGCTGGGGACCAAAATCCGGTTAGCTTTATCTAGGTTTCCCAGTAGTGCCCTTTTACCCTTTTTTGGGGGAGGGAGGACCTAGTTATTCTCCAACGAAAAACCGGGCTGGAGTAGTACTTCGGCCAGCGCAGAAGCATTATGGTGTTTTGTAACAAAAGGGTGGTGTTTTCCGGAGGACATGTCTGCATTTACTTAAGAATGTGTGTTGTATTGTCCCCTGTTGGTTTTGAAAATAATCCATCACTATAATGGAAAATGTGTTTGTTGTATGTTCTTGGCTTATAAGAGTATTTTTTGTGATTTTGCCCTTTTGGTTTTAAAGAGAATTTATCTCTCATCTATCACTCATGGCTCAATACGCAAATGGAAGCAACTTGACCACAGTTTCGCTTGGCCAGCAGCACCCCTCTCCCCCCCACCCGCCGTTCGTTTTGTCGCGCCCAGGAAGAGGTCACCGAGCTGCGAAAGAAGGAGGCGGAGGCCAAGCACAGCTTCGAGATGCTGGCGCAGTCGCTGCAGGACGCGCGTGAGTTGGTAATTCGTCCCACGCGCTGCCTGGAGAGATCTCCTTGTGACCCCCCAAAAACTTGGGGTGATTGCCTGGAGTCTTTCTTCCGACACTTAAAAATTGGGGTCATTGCCCGAACGAAAGGCCGTGGGCCCATGTTTGAAGGGTGGAGACGACAAGGAGGTCGGTGTGAAGAGAAACCGAAAGGACAGTTTCCTCCATTTCATCATATCCCCAAGATAACACCCTTGCCTGATGGTCTTTCATTGAGATTCATTCATAGTGACAAGTTGTTTCAAACACCAGCCAATTTCTCCGGGAACCATTCGACAGACAATAGCAGGCTCACACAGAATTGTGGGTGTCTATATTCAGATTCAGGCACTGCTGCAAAAGAGTCAAACATCACATTTGGACACATTTTTCGCCGAGCTCGCCGATCCAGGCGAAGGAGTGATTCGGCCCATTGTGGTCTTTTGACGATTCCTTTCCAGTTAGTGAAGTATAGTTCCTGTATTTACAGTTTGGGGATTCCTCATGACCAGTTTTGTTCTTTTTCATCGCCAGCCATTTTCCCTCGGTGTTTGGCCCTGATTGGTTGTTTTGTTTATGGCCTTTGCCAAATGGAGAGCAATAATTAAACTTCTTTACATGAGTTAAGTACGTGTTCATTATTCTCGCCCATTAGTTCTTCATATACCTGCAGCACTGGCTAATTTGAAGGTAGGGAAATGCAGGAAGCAGTCCCAACCGCCCTTTGGGTTTGTTGCATTCGATAGACTCATTGAATACCATTTGTCGGCCATGGCCCATAGGCGCCCTTTTTAGGTTAGGTGGGTTAGATATAGACGGGTTCCACTGCTTCAGATGGGTTTTCCTCCATTCCCAGCGCCTATGGTCATGGCGCGTTTGTGCCATAGGAATCGGATGGCACACGAACCCAGACCCAAGGGCTGGCTTCTCGTTTCTTTTGGAAGGGGTTTCCTTCAACATTGACGGCCGAAAGCGGGGTGCCCTTATGGTCTGGGTGAATGACTTGGACTTGTTCTCTTCCTTTGCCGGTCAAATAGGCTTTCAGGTCCTATGCCGCCAACAAGCTGTCTCAGTATGTCTTTCAAAGGGGACCCCAAGCGGACGGCTGCCCTCTAGTTTCGCCTTAAAGTAACCCACATGAGGGAAACCTCAAACAATACGACACCATCCCCCCTATGTCGAATCGCTCTTTCTGCCTTCTCGAATCTGTGATGTGCTTTATACCCTGTCGATTCAGGGTAGCTTTTGATACACATGTCTATGCACAGATTTAATTACACGCACACAACAAATACACAAGTCCCTTTCAAGAGTCAGGCTTTGTGTTCTGGACCAGGCTACCTTTGGGGAATGGCTCCTCAGTTCTAGGATCTCTGTTGAACTATGTTGAACTGATTTCATATAGGGTTTACCATGGACGGGAAGCAGACGTGTTGTGAGATAGTCTCATTTGCATTCCCTGATTCCCAGTCGTGTTATTCCCAGTTTCCCCTTGTTTGGGGTGGGCGTTTCCCTTGAAGTCTGGGTACTGGAATAACGCATGTGTTGTTGTTTTTTCTTGCTTTTGTTCACCTAAAGGAAGCCCACAGGGGACGGATTTGCTTTCACACACTTTCCGCGCGCCCAAAGCGTTTCAACTGTTTTGCACCGGGCTCCACTTTTCGATTCACCCAAGTTGGACTTAAACCCAGTCGTTCATTTCCCCCAAAAGGAGGACCCCTGGGTTGCCGGAGTCGCGATGACCCTGAACAAATGGGTCGATGACCCCGTGTTTTGGTCATGACCAACCATTTTTAGAGGGTCAGAAGGGGGAAATGAAGGACTGGGTCTCTGCGTCTAACTTGGGTTCCAAAAGTGGAGCCCTGGGTTTGCGGTTCCTTCGAAAGGACCAGGTGAAGTTTGCCCAGCAAGCCCTCGAGAAGGCCCAGAAGACCCAGGCCAGAACGCGCAGAACACGTTCGAGCGATCGACCGTGGAGTCCATGAGAGGCGTTTAAGCAGGCTTCCGAAGCTAAAGCGGGGTCCCTTTCAAACTTCCAGTCCAGATCCATCTACCTTTTGCTTTTTGGGGCCACCAAGGGCTTGCCACCCTTCAAGATCCGAAAAGCATTTGGGCGAACTGGGATCACTGCCTGAGTTCATGGACTTTATACTTTTAGGGAAGACCATTTGAGTGGCAAAGAGGTAGTTTCTGAACATTTGTTGAGCCATCCACTTAGGTAGTGTGAAAAGGGGTTCTGTTTCAAATGTCTCTACCGGATGTTGAGGAATTGAGGATCTGGGAGTAAAGCTGGGATGAGCTATTGTGTTGACTCTTTGTTTTGGGAAACAAAGTCAGACGCTTGGGTTTCCTTGAAACCAATAAGTGACTTTGACAACTGTAAAATCATGGGGCCGCCAGCAAAACGCTGGATTTGGCCCATCTATCGAAGGGTTCCCTTATTTCCGTGTTTAACCTTTTTGTGTTGGTTCGAAAGTAGGCAAGGTCAACCAAGACCCCTTGTTCGCTTGGCAGCTGGGAAAACAGCACCTTCCTTGAGAGACAAGATCTTAGATCCCTCCTAACAACGCCTTTCTCTTTCAGCTTTCAATGGAGATTGAAAGCTAGAGCTGGTTTTTTCTGTTCAGGCGGCTACGCCTTTCGAGTGATGACCAACAGTGGACCCCTGACCATTGGGCCCAACGTGCTGCGGGATGACATTGGGTCGCAGGCGATGAAATCGACCCTCCTTCCGGGCCCAAGGCAAACCGTACATCGGACCATCAGACGTCAGCAAAATGGTTGGGTGCATGTTGTGTTTTTGCTTGGGGGGGCGACATTCTCAATGTTCCTTCCGGTTTCCCGAGAAAAAAGAACGTGAGCAGACCAGGAGTTCTAGGCTCCCTTATGGTTTTGGAGAAGCACAAACGCAGCTGAAGAGGGCGAAGCGGGCATGGCCAGTGATCCAAGCGGCTCATTTCTAGGCGGAGCAGAGCCGCATGAAGGCGGATGCAGCCAAGGACTGGACCGTCCGCCGCGCCGCCCGGGGGGGGGGGGGGGTAGCCATTGCCATTTGGCTGTGGGTCAAAACCAATGCTTTTGGTACGTAGGTGCACCACCCATTTTAGTCTATTTTAGCGGGAATTGGGATGTTCACTGAAAATACGGGATTTTGACCCATGGCCATTTGTTTTGTGGCTCGGAACTCCTTTTGGTGGGTGTTCACGGGAAGACGAAAGGACCAACCATATGCAGGAAGCACTATATGGGGGAACATACGTGTCCTTGTTGGTTGCTCCTATGGCTGGCTCGTCTCATTTTCGAGGGCACCCCCGATTGGTTGCTTTTAGCGGACAGCCAAAAGGACAACCACCAAAACATCATCATTGCAGGGTTTCCTAGGTGGTGCTGGATTTTGTTCACCCTGGACCCCCCAAGGGGGGCTATGGGCAGGGGGGGCTATCCCTTATTAAGCCCTTGATAAGGCCTTATTAAGGCCTTCTCCTTGGGTTATCCTGGGTTATTAAGGCCTTATTATGTGCTTATCCAGGGATAGCCCCCCCCCCCATAGCCCCCCCGAAGATTCCATGATCCAAAATACCACCGACCGCATGCCGCTTTTGGGGTCTGAAGCCTTGCACGCCACGCTCGCCCTTTCCCAGGTGCAGGTATCAGGTATCAGGTAACCTTGGCACGAGCCGTCCATCGAAGCAGCTGGCTCATTTCCTCGCAGGACTTGGAGCAGACCCAAGGCTCGCTGGCGGAGGATGAGAAGACCCTGGGCCCGGAGCCCAGATGGTGTGCCTGGTCCTTGGGGAGCAGACCACAGACGTTTTTTGTTTCTTTTTTTTTTGTTATATTATATATATATATATATGTATATGTGTTTTTTTCCTCCGCTGGCTGGTTTTATATAAAGGTAATCTATCACTATGACTTTCTAGAGGTCTTAAGCACATGGAGGTTATCTATTTTGCCCCAGAGCAACGAGCAAACGAGCCGCTTAGGAGGTTTTTGTGCAGCCATGTTGGATGTGGCACGTGAGCCGGGGTCAATATTCCCATCATTCCAATTTAGCCCAGACTGCATCACACAAACGCTGCATGTTTTCGGTTGGATTACCAAGGGGACTGCCAACAAATGCCCCTTCAAGATGGGGTGTGAGCCCTTGTATTGCCCAGCTGTGGCTCGACGTCCTCGGGCATGTTGATCAGGTCTTTTTTTCCGGGACAACTGGATTCTCACTTGGGTGTGGCTCCAAAAGTCAAACAGGAGGGCCAACCGCAGGTTTTGGTCCATGTTTCCACTTACACGGGTTCCATGTTAAAAAGGTTTTTTGACTCACAGCCACTTTACCTTCTGATCATGTTTAGAAGATATTAAATGGGGCAAGCTGCTTTGTGTCAATTTCCACGACCTTTTGACTCACGGCTTCCCGTGTTTGAGTTTGGTTTCCCGCAAAAGCCAAGTTCGTGTGGCAGGCAGAGGGTCCCTTGAAGAGAAAAGTAGTGATCTTCCTGGTACTCCCACAGATGCTTTCTGTTTAAGGACACGGAAGGACACGTAAAACTTTCCTCCAGGTCCCAGAAGGGACTTTGGGCCAGTCAGTTCAAATCGCCACGGATAAACTGGATCTAGGTCTCACCAGCTGCCATTTTTGAACGGGCTGCTCAAGCTGCCTTGACCCAGAGCCTGTACATGTGCAGGTGAGCAACGTCCACTCCAGGGGATAATCCCAGCCATACATGGACACAGCTGCCTTGTTAATGCCTTACGTGGTGCTGGGTAGATGATTTTAATACCAGGTGTTGATTGTGACTCAGGTGGCGCAAGCAAAACCTTCACATGTGTCGCGGAGCGTGAGCGAAGACACGCGCCGCGTTCGCCCAAGCGGGGCGAAAGCAACGTGAAACGACAAGCAAATCATCGCACGGTTAGGCCATGGCTCGCGTTGCAGAGACTTCGGTGTCAATTTTGAGGCCCTCCCCCCCAGAAAAGGAAAGTAAAGATGGTAGGTTCCCTTTTTGGTTTCCATTAAAACCGCCAAAACCGGGTACTGTTGGAAAACCCAAAAAAATACGGACACCCCGCCCGGGCTTTTGCTTTGCTCAGGCGACTTCACGCTGGACTGCAAGTCCGAGGCGCAGTGAGTGGCCAATCCGTGTGGGTGCAATTCGTGGGCGAAGAAGCTGTCACCTCCTAGGTTCCCAAGTATTGCCAGACTCGGGGCCTTGCACTGTGTGTTGCGGACCGGTGCCGGTTGGGGTTTGGATGCTATATGATCTAAAGAGTTTTCTCCCGCTGGCTGGGGATTTTTTCCAGTCCCCCGGGCAAGCAAGCAAGCAAGCAAGCAATGAGGCAGCCTAAGCCCCCCCCCGGCAGACTTGAAACACCCCTACACCTGCCCCGACCCATCAGACCCTTAACGCACCCCAAACCTACCCTTCACCTACCTTTAACCGCTCTAAACGTACCAAACGTGCCTTGAACCCTAAAAACGCACACCTAAACACCCGATCCGAAACCTCACAAAACCCGCCTTTGTCCTCAGCTCAACCAACCCAACCAACCCAAACTCCATCTTAACCCACCCTAGACCAATCCTAAACCAACCCACCTAAAGCAGCCGCAAGCACACCCTAGACCAGCCTTAAGCCACGTCTAAGCCATAAACCCACAACTCTGAACCCCCACGCCCACCCAAACCACCTCACACCCACCCCGAACCTAACTTAAACTAAGGCACCCGCCAAGTATCCTCGTGAAGGTGGCGGTTCATGCACCAAGGATGTTGCATGACGGTAACCCCAAACGCACCCCTCAAACCTCAACCTACCCAACGCCTACCCTCAGCCTAGGACGTTGGACCGACCTTGAACCCCGGAAACTTCTAACCCCTGCTTCTACTAGAGCTACCCGCAGCACGTGTGGTTCGCCCAGAAGCACGTTGTTGCACTTCCTGGCTTGACTTGACCTATTTAGGGTTCAGGTGTTCGGTTCACTTGCCCTCAAATCCCCTCGTCTAGGGTTTAGTTTTGGGTTTAAGTTGCCCTCAAACCTTAACTTTAAGCAGACCACCCGTTTAGGGTTTGGTTTTGGGGCTTAACTTGCCCTCAAACCCACTTTACGGCCCAGGTTTAGGGTTCAGGTGCGAGCTTGCTTGTTAAACAAATCTCCAAGCACTTTGGGTCTTTGACTCGGAGGGGAAATATCCCTTGACTTTTTTGCTCTTAAGCAAACCAAAGCAATCCGTGAACGTGTCGCTGCTCCATTTCCAAACGGAGAGACAAGCCTCACGCTGTCCCGAGTTGCTCGGACCCCAACCAAACACGCGCCAAACCCACCCTAAACCAGGCCCGCCTTGAAACCCCAACCACCCCAAACCCCAAGCGCGCCCTAGCCCCACTTTAAACCACTCCACAGTTGACCAGAAAATGAAACGGATTAACATGTCCAAAGCGCTGGGAAAAGCCAAAAAAGGTTGGCCTTACGGTTTTGGCTCGCACAAGGTTCAACACGCTTACAAACGTCATTACAATGTCCTTGAAGAGGGCTGTGAATAATGGAAGAGATGCGTCCAAGGCCCTTTTTCAGTATGTTTGCCACAATCTAATTGCAGAAATGCATTGAAGGCAGGTAAACATTCAAATGTGTTAGCATAAGTTCTCCTGCTTGCCTTCGGTTGGGGTTTTATTCAAATGGAACCAGGAAAACACACATCTGGAACTTTTCCTTTCCTTAAGGGAGTTGCCAGCCCCTACGACAGCTGGGTGAAAAATGGCAGAATTGTTTAATGGCTCTTCATCTCCAAAAAGCTCAGACGACGGGAATTGTGGCATCTACTTGTCACCAGTTGATGTGGAAGTTCTTGAAAAGACTCGTTGTGGTCCGTGGAAACCCGACCTTTGCCTCTGGAGCTTCAGGCGGCGGAGTATGAGGAGGGCAGCAAGAGCCGCGGCCAGGAGTTGGAGGCTGCGGGTCTTCGACGGGTGTGTTTGGACGAGCCTCGCGGACTTTGGTCACTTGGGTATGGGTCAAAAAGATGAAAGAAAATGGCAACCTGGAAAATGGAACCAATTATAAAACCTGCGGTTTGCCCTAGCGCTTTAATTTTGAGCCCGCACCCGCTTGTTGGGTTTGGACCATTTTGGTGGTAAATAATAACTTTGGTTGCTTTTTTAGGCCGGTCCACGTAGCCAGCGAGCCGAGGACGAAGTGTCCGAATCAATCAATCCATCAACCAAGCAAGCAACCAACCAACCAAGCAACCAACCAAGCAACCAAGCAAGCAAGCAACCAACCAACCAACCAACCAAGCAACCAACCAACCGACCAACCAACCCACCAACCAAGCAAGCAACCAACCAAGCAACCAACCAACCAACCAACCAACCAAGCAAGCAAGCAACCAACCAAGCAACCAAGCAAGCAACCAAGCAACCAACCAACCAACCCACCAACCAAGCAAGCAACCAACCAAGCAACCAAGCAACCAACCTGGGAAAATCAGAGACTAATCTCTGCTAATCAACCAAGGCAGCAAATGCACCTTTGTCATCTTGAGCCATGCAATGGTAATCAGTATGAATTACATCCAAGTGGGAATGCATGGTGTACTTTCGCACGCCCCCTTGGATTAATGGAAAATGTGGAATTAATCCACACTCCACTAGCACAAATGCATTCCAAAGAATGCCAAGCTGCCTTGAAATCTTTTCTCTCTGCAAAATGTCTATGCAAAACGGGTGACCTAATCATCACCAAAAGAATTGCAATGCTGGGAAATGCACAAGGACAAGTGGTTGAATGTATTGTGGACTCGAATCACAGACAGAATGTGTTCCAAGAGTATCGCCTCCAGAATCACCAGAAAACGTCCTCTCAATGTATTGGTGTCATAGATGAATCCAAACCAAAAGTAAACTGTCATCTACAGTAATGTTGTAACTGTACCTCCACACAAATGCCGAAAACTGAATCACAAATGAAGTGGCAAATCGAACCAGGCAAAATCGCGATATCCAATGAACATAGAATCTCAATGCAAATCCAGTGTGGAATAAATGCATCCAAATCGGTGCCTGGCCAGAATCGAAATCCCAGCTCCACCAATGCTGAATCACAGCTTCGCTCTGTAATATGAATCTACCAGTGACTTGGGAATCTCCTGGTAGTCGCCCATGAATTTGTCCAATGAAGTCTTCCAGGTCTTGGGAATGAACATGTGGTAATCCCGGTACCAATGGGAATTGCTTTGCTGCAATGAATTGGCAGCGAGCATCAATTCCCCAATCTGGGCCTTGATATTGAATCCGGCCATGGAGCAAATCTCCTGCATCGCCAAGCTGTCTCTTGAATCCCAAATGTAATCCTTGAAGTGAATGATGGGGTCAATGTGAGACCTCACAAATACGTGAGTAAATGAATGCCTCATGAAATCAAGAAATCGCTGCGAATGTGGCCTGAATCCAATCACCACTGGTGCGTCCGCCAAATACTGAATCAATCTGTTCTTTGCATCACCCTCTGGTGCAAATGATCGCTCATAGCTGAATGAATACAGAAAGAATAGCAAAGACGAACGCGGGCTCAAATGGAATCCAGTAAACTGACTGTTCCAGAAACAATGTGAAGCAAGAATTGCAAATGTTCCCTTCATAGCCTCAGGAATGTTACTGGCACGGCCCTCAAAAATCCTCTTCAAATGGTTCCACATTGCTGAAGGCATGGTGAAATACAGCATGAATGGCAACATGCAAAAGTTCAAATGTTGCAAATTCCAATTGGGGTTGAATGGAATCAATCTCTCCACCCTTGGTGGGAATTGTAGCCACAAATGCCTCTCAAATGGAGTATAGGACATACTCCCAGCCGCAATGTTTGGAATGATCCTGATCAGAATCTGCGCACTCCAGGCATCGTCCGCGAATCGGTTCATGAAAATAAAATCCTGGAACCCAAATTGTTCCTGTTGCTGGCCGCTGAATAGAATCTGCCACAACATCGTGGCCGTAATGAATGCCTTGTATTCCGAAAAATTCGTGCGCTCCATCTTCAAATCTCTTGCGAGAATCCGGTGGAAATACTGTCGCGTCAAATTCCGGAATGCGGGCTGTCCATCGCATCGGTCGAAGTAAATGCACACCGAAATGTCAGTCAGAATGTTGAGCAAAACAAATGTTGCAGTCATGCATGAAATGGCTTCGAATTCACTCGTGGCAAAATGTCTTGACTACTGACTAAGTGAAACAGAATCATGTTGACTATCTACTACCTGAAGGGCAAATCCCTAATGTGATGTTATGCCTCTGCAAAATTGCCTTGGCAACATACTTGGTTAAAATGTCAGATGGGTTGAGGGTTCCCGGAATCTTCTTAATCACCAGGGTCCCAGAGGAAACCAGCTCCTGGACAAACAGAAATCGCAATTGGACATGTTTGGTTTTCCGGGATGCCCCAAATCTGACAGCCATGCTCTTGCCTGCAGTTGAATCGGTAAACAGAATGATGTTCACCTTGGGAGCCACAAGGGTTTCCAGAATCAAAGATTTAATGAATAGGGCCTCGGCCGCACCACTTCCAATAGCATAAAGTTCGGCTTCCCCACTTGACAAGGCAATGGTGGCCTGTGTTCTGCTGTGTGCTGAAATGTTGATGCCGAGAATGTTCAATGCTACTCCTGATGTGGACCTCCTGGAATCGGTGCAACCTGCCCAATCGCTGTCCACATAGACCTTTATGTCCAATGATTTCACCTGTCTTCCAATCCGGAAATCAGGTCTCATAACATGGACATAATCCTTGGTTCCACTCAGGTACCTCAACAATGTCTTCAACTTAATCTTGTGCACCTCAGTGGGAGCAACCAATCCTCGTGACAACTCCTTAACAGCATACATGATGTCAACACGCAATGCTGCAAGCCACAACAATTGTCCAACCAATCTCCTATACAATTTATGCTCTTGCGAATTCAACAATTCGTTGTCAAGCAACTTCCGCAATGAATCTCCTCCTGGCGTCTGAGCCGGCTTGCTCTTGGTCATGCCATAGGAATCCAGCATGCGGTCAATGTAATCAGGAGACATGAACAATTCCATGGAATCTGATGTTCGGCGAATCTGACGTCCCAAGAAGGAGACTGTCTTACCTTCACTCAATTCACCTGTCTGCCGAATCAGAAGCACCTTCTTCAAATCTTGCATCACCTCATCAATGTCACGTCGCTCACCTACAAACATCAAATCATCGACATAGACCAATGCCCACAATTTCTTGGTCTTGTGTCGGTACAAATTCGGATCTGACTTCAAACGCTCAAATCCCGCGTCAAGCATGGTCTTGGCTAAATGCTGTTGCCATGCCTTTGGCGAACCTTTCAGGCCATACAATGCCTTCTTCAATCGCCAAAGTACGCCCCCTTGAGGGTAGTACTCCTTTGGAGGAATGACAAAAATCTTCTGCCACAACGTCGCATGCAAGAATGCGGTGGACACGTCTGCAATCACAACATCCAAATTCATGGCAATGGACAACGCAATCAACAACTTCAATGTGGACAAGCTTGGGGTAGAAGCGAATGTGTCATCCTTATCTTCAATGTATTGGTCAAAGCCACGGGCTACCAATCTACACTTCACTTCTGCTCCTTTCCAAGACTTAACCCACTTCATTGAAATTGCTGAATCAACTTCTTCCTGCGTCAAATCCTCGGTTTTCTCTTCTACATACGAATCAAAGTCCTTCATGGAATTCATTTCCTTGTTCATTCCTGCCTCTTCCAAATCTCTGGGGAATTCAGACTCTCCCCACAGAATCGGATTGGCAAATTTCTTCATGTTCCCTAATTCTTCTTCATCCTGGTTTACATGAATGGGCAAGTCCAATGACTCACGCGTGGTGACTGTGGCAATCCTACAATCTTCAACCAATGTGCAACCAAACTCGCATGGCAGAATGGCAGAAATGTAGCTTACAGTAGAATCCGCTTCAGGAATCTCTGCCTGCTCACTGGTTCTCTTAATGCCTCTTGCCTCTGCCAATCTGCGCCTATTGGTTGGAGACTCCGAATGCTCTCCAGGTTCCCTGTCAATGTCCTCATGACCTCGCGTCAATCCTTGGGACAACTGGGCTGACGAATCCTCACCAGTTCCATCGTGATCTGGCTCCTCTGTTTGCTCGTCAGTTGGTGGAATCCCCAAAGGTGGCTGGGGTTCACCTTTCTGGAGCACAGCAGAATCACCCGGAAGGATGAACGAATCCGTTTCGACCTTGGATCCTTTTGGATCCCATGGCAATGCACGCAACCCTTGCATCAAATCTCGCTTGACTTGTGATCCCGGCTGAAGTCTCCGAATGCCTCGCACCTTGTACACAGCATTGGAATCCGCCACAAAATGCTGGTCGGATGTGGTGTCACGTCCAAGCCAAATGCCTGAATGCCACGATGGCTCAGACTTAGGCGCAGGCAATCGGAACTGCACAGACTCGGCAATTCGACACAATGCACCTCCATACTTCTTTCCCCATCGTCGTTCAAATGGAGTGAATCCATCAGACCGATGAAGAAACCTGTTTAGAAGCCACATGGAGTGCTTAACAATCCAAGGAAACAATGGCGAATGCACGCTAACCGACATGCCATACCTATGTTGAATGTCAAGCTTCAAAGCACGAATCTGAGCATACAATGTTGCTTGCATGTTGGAAATGGATCCCTGAGCTTGCTTCCAGCCAGTGGGAGCTTCACGGTATGACAATCCACCAATGTCACCCGTGACTGCCTCGACCAAGGCTTTTAATGAAGCTTCAGGGTCGCACTGAACAATCCCAAATGTCCTTCCAATCTCCAACACGAATTTCCTCAACTCTGCTTGCGCATACACAATGCGTCCTTTGGACGGAACAACGCACGCCAATCCCATTCCACTCAGTACATCAGTGGCCGTGAGCAATGTCACCTGTGTGTCACTTTGTGAATCACCCATAAAGGCGTAATCCACCTGAATCACAGGTTGCCGCACCGAAATGGCACGACTCTGGTTTTGCTTGCTCTTCGACCTGACGCAAATCTCACACCATGATCTGAATGGCAGATGAGTCAACTCATGTTCACGAATCTCATCGTCCGTCGGCTGTTTGGGAACGTACAATCCCTTTGGCCGTTGAGCCGACATTTCCGGAATGTCCGGGTTGCTCTCTTCCAAGAATTGCTGAGACTGCCGACGAAAAATCGTCGCGCCTTTGAATGGCTCAGGAAATTCCGTAGCAGCAGCCTCTGGGTCAGCCCAGTGGTCGTGAATCCACTGGAGTCTCCCGTTGAGGAACACAGCCAATGTGTGCCTCTCGTTCCCCAGCAATTCCTTGGAGGGAGCGGCCGAATCGGTCTCATCTGGCACATACAGACAATTCCTCCACTCATGGTGTATCCTAATGTCAAACTTGGGTGTGAGGTACCATTCATCATGTCCGAATGGTCCTCCTGTCTCCGGGTCACTCATGCACAATCGCCGTTCCACAATTTCCTTTGCTTCTTCCAATTCTCCCGTCGTCAGCTCCTTCACTGACCGGGAATAATCATCCTGGCCAATGTCAGCAGAAGGTTGCGCTTTCAAATGAGGTTTCTTTGCTGGCACTGACGCTTCCTGAATGGGAGGTCTTGCAATTGTGGATTGCTTCCCCGTCAATCGTCTTGCCGTCGGCAAGGATTGCAACGGGAATTCTGTCCTTCCCATCCAGTACTGATCCAACGCCCGTTGCGGAGAATCTATCGTCCGCCAATTGTCGGCGATGGTCTCCTCACGTCCATCTTCGAATCGGACGTAAGTTGTGCGTCTGGACGCCACATCTTCCACAGGAATGGGCCTGTCCTTGGTGCCACCTGGCGTGAATAACGCACGCCTTGCGCGCTTGTGATGTCGAATCAGCACAGCGCGTTGCGGATCAAGTTCCCAACTGTCGTTGTGGTAAATGGTGGGCTTAAATGTGGGTGCTATGGTCCCTGAAGAATCTGAACCAAACTTGGAATGAAACTCTTGACACACTTCTTCAAATCGGGGTTTGTCAAATGGAAGAATGTTCGGACCTAGGAAAAGCAGTGAGCCTTTTCGGTGAATACTCACTACCTTACCATTGGGCATAAACAATCCCAATGAGTCTGGTCCATCCAATGCTACGCGGAATCCCTGCAGCAGCAATCGTGCAACCGACACAATCGGATAAGGCACGTCACAAACATAAAAATTCATGAAGCAATCTTGTCCATCCAAGTTCAAGCCAACCAATCTTCTCCCATACATGTTCAATGGCTGTCCTGTGACACTCTTCAATGGTGGGCCATTTCCATTTAATGGAAGCAATGGCCATTGTTCACCAAAGTCTGGCGGACAGCAATGGGCAGATGCTCCTGAATCAAATAGAATCCACGGGGTGGAATCCTCGACTGCTGAAATCAACTGTTCATGCAAGAATGTGTCAACAAACTTCGAATTCAAGTGATCCAAGCCGCAGTCCTTCAAGGTGGTCACGAAATGAAAAGAATCCTTCACTGGGGTTGGTTCATCATACCAATCTAACAAGTCTTGTCCGGGAACAGGGGCAATCAATCCGGCACTCAAACATGGCATGCTATCCAATCCAGTGTCCAAGCAATACATCGACTTAAACAATCTTTCATGCTCTCCAAATGTCATCCAACTTTCACCTTCACCCTCAGACGGACTGCCACGAGTGGCAGGAATCTGAAAGGATGATCCTGAGGTGACCGAATTCATGACAAGTGCAGCAATCAAAAATGATGAGGCCTTTGGCTTGGCCTTTGGCCGAATGGGAGTTGAGCCAATGTTTGGACTCAATCCCGGCGGCACCTGTGTCACTGCTCCAATGGTTCCTTGCTGTGAATCTCCTGCTGGGGGTGGTCCTGCCGATGAAAACGCGGAAGAATCGCATCCAGCAGGAGGCTCTGGAATCTGACTGTCCTGAAACCAATCCCAAGGGTGGTCCCAAGAGTTCACAGAATCCCATGATCCCCAAGACGAATCCCAGGACCAATCTTCTCCTTCATCCCAACTCAATCCAGCAATGTCCCATGAGCCATCAGGCCACGACGAATCAGGCCAGGGCTCTTCGGACCATTCTTCATTCCAATCTTCCTCAATCACTCCGCTCACAGCTCTCTGCGGACATGTTCTGGAAATGTGGCCGCGAGAGCCGCAAATCCAGCAGGTTGCAATCGACCCTTTTCCTTTTCCTTTGGAATCCTTTCCTTTTCCTTTTGGGTCCTTTCCTTTGCCTTTGCCTTTGAAATCCTTTCCTTTTCCTTTTCCTTTGCTGAATGCTCCTTTGTTGTATGACCAATGTGGTCCTTTGGCTCCTTTGAATCCTTTGAATCCTTTGCCTTTGCCTTTTCCTTTGAATCCTTTCAGCGCCCCAATGTCCATGGGTGCTGGTCCTTGGTTGTCATTCCCCGGCATGTTCCTAAGAATGTGCCTGGAATGGTGGTACTGCACAATCACGTTTCGTGTTTGTTCATAGGTCAACAATGCCGAAGCATTGAGCCTCAAATGCTGTTGCAATGGGCCTGTTGTCTTGTTCAAGAGGGTAGCCACCAGAATGCTATCAGGAATGGCTTGGCCGGTTTGAGATTCATATCTGGCCTTAATGGTCTCCCAGGTGTTGAAATCTTGTTCAAATGTATTGGAGTGAAACTTGAATTCCAAAATCTGGCTAAGTAAACTCATGTGCCGTGTTGCGTCCGGCAATGCAAATTTGGAATACAATCTCCTCCAGGTTTCATAACCATTGCAGCCAATGTTCTGCCTGACTACCAGCCTTGCTGAATCACTGCACAAATTTGCTAACAAATAATGCAGCCTTCGGGAATTCTGAATCCTTCTGTCTGTGGCATCCTGGTTACCCGCTACATTCAAATGCGCGTCCTCAATGGGTGTGTCTGCGTTGGCCTCAATGCGGTCCATAATCGTTGTTGAATCTGGCAGGAACATACTCAAATATGTCCTGAAATCCCAGCTCCAATCTTCCCAGTCCTCTGGCTTGCCAGTGAATTTCCCTGGCATGGGAAGTCTTAGCTTTCCTGCAAAATCCTCATCTTGTCCGAGTGCCATGGCAGCTCTCAGAATCAGGTTTCCCTAAGGTCTCCTGAATCTTCGAGCTCCGCTACCATGGGAAAATCAGAGACTAATCTCTGCTAATCAACCAAGGCAGCAAATGCACCTTTGTCATCTTGAGCCATGCAATGGTAATCAGTATGAATTACATCCAAGTGGGAATGCATGGTGTACTTTCGCACAACCAACCAACCAACCAACCAACCAACCAACCAACCAACCAACCAACCCAACCAACCAACCAACCAACCCAACCCAACCAAGCCAACCAACCAACCCACCAACCAACCAACCAACCAACCAACCAACCAACCAACCAACCAACCAACCAACCAACCAACCAACCAACCAAGCAACCAACCAACCAACCAACCAACCAACCAACCAACCAACCAACCAACCAACCAACCAACCAACCAACCAACCAACCAACCAACCAACCAACCAACCAACCAACCAACCAACCAACCAACCAACCAACCAACCAACCAACCAACCAACCAAGCAACCAACCAACCAACCAACCAACCAACCAACCAACCAACCAACCAACCAACCAACCAAGCAACCAACCAACCAACCAACCAACCAACCAAGCAACCAACCAACCAACCAACCAACCAACCAACCAACCCACCAACCAAGCAAGCAACCAACCAAGCAACCAAGCAAAGCAACCAACCAACCAACAAGCAACCAACCAACCAACCAACAAACCAACCAAGCAACCAACCAACCAACCCAACCAACCAACCAACCAACCAACCAACCAACCCACCAACCAAGCAACCAACCAACCAACCAACCAACCAAGCAACCAACCAACCAACCAACCAACCAACCAACCAACCAACCAACCCACCAACCAAGCAACCAACCAACCAACCAACCAACCAAGCAACCAACCAACCAACCAACCAACCAACCAACCAACCAACCAACCAACCAACCCACCAACCAAGCAAGCAACCAAGCAAGCAACCAACCAAGCAACCAACCAACCAACCAACCAACCAACCCACCAACCAAGCAAGCAACCAAGCAAGCAACCAACCAAGCAACCAACCAACCAACCAACCAAGTAAGCCCCGAATTGGTCGTGGTGTTCGAAGAAGCCCTGGTTCTTGTTGAAGCCGCCTAGCGATCCAAACCTCGAGGAAAGGATTCGAGTTCCAGCTTTTGTTTTTTCGTTGGCCAATGTTGAGTCAGAACTGCGAACATGGGTCTTGCTGTTTGTAGGGCACAACAAAAAAGCCTAACCCCAAGACCTTCAATAAGAAAGAGATTCCCTATCACAGAAGTGGTCGCTGTTTGGGTCTGTCTCTTGTTGGGAATCCCCCCGTTTTGGGTTTAGGGTTTAGAGGGAAAACCAAAGGACAAGCGCGCGGATTTTGGGTTGGGCACAAATTCGTGGGCTCCATTTCCCACAGCCCTGGTTTTTTGACCCTGTTTGGGTGGTCTCAACCTGGGGCCACTAGGAAACAGGGGTCACTAGCAGGGTTTGCCGATTTGGAGAAAGTTCTCCACCCACTTGGGTTCGTGATTTGCGTTTGACTTGGAGTTCGGCCCTTGTAGAGGCGCTGAAGGCGGCCCAAGCCACGCTGAAGGAGTCTTCAGGAGGGCGGAGGGGACCCCATGGGGATTAGGGCTGCAAGCAATGGGATGACGGGATGACCCGTGGTTTAAACCCACGGACAACAACGATTCATTCGATGTGACGAATAGTTTCCAAACAACTTATCCAATAATATATATATATATTCATTTGTGCGGGTTGAGCAATATTCCGCTTGGGGGGCCAAATGACCAAGCGTGACTTTTCCATTTAGAGGAGATCTTATCTTATTATGGTCATTCTCGGTGGAGGACCTTTCGATCAACGCTATCACTGAAGAAAATAGTAGCTAACTTAAGCAAATGGAGCCAAGGTCCCCCAGTAGTGCCCTTTTGCCCTTTTTGGGGGAGGGTTCCCCTACTAAAATAGACTACAGACAAAAAAAGGGCACCCTTATTCTAACCTCTCCACTGGATGACCCAGGAGCTCATCAATGCCGGCTTTTCGGGACCTCTAAGCTTTTGGCCCAGTCGTATCAACAAGTTTCCCGTGTTTCTTTCCCCCCTCAAACTACCCGTGAAAGAAATGGCCTGCAGCCTCAAGCTTTGCGCAGCGGAAGTGCTCCTTTGAGTTCTGCTGCAATGAAAGAAATGGCTGTGGGTCAAGAATAGATACCCAAAATGGAACCCAGGTAGATGGACACATGGACTAAAACCTGTGGTCCCCTGGTGTTTTGATTCTGACCCGCACCCAAATGAGGATTTCTTTCTCTTTGGGTTGATTGACTTTGAGCTTGCTTGGGTTTGGACCCTTACACTTGGCGACTCTCAGCCATCCGGTCCCTTAGCTTCTTTCAGCGTTTTGGTGTTTAGTGGTTGGAATTCCTTTCAACCCACTAAAAGTTAGTCGCTTTTAGCGGGGGATCTGAGAACAGCCCAGTTTAGCGGTATAAACAGTTTGAACCTTTTTTGGCCAATCCACCTAGGAAGTGAGACATCAAGGTTTGCACTTCTTGAACGTCGTTCAAATCAATGGACAGAGTCTTGGGGCCGTGCAACATGCTGCCTTGACAAGAGAGTGTGCCAATTCTCAAGCAACAGTCCTACAAATCACTCGCCTTGACAGTGGAGTTGAACATGGTGTCCGAACATTTCCAAACCAGCCGCACACCGTGGAAAGGACATGTAGCACATGTCCCAGATATTACTTACTGGACATGCGTTGCATGGGTGCGGGAATCGCTACAACTGGCAGCCGGCATAATGGGATATTGGGCACAAGTATTGCAAATCGGAATTTTCATGTGGGTCGTAAAGGGAAACCCAAAGAAAAACCACCCATGTACTGCAAGGAAAGAAACCGCAAGGCAAGTGGTAAACACCGTTTGAATGATTTAAAGACTGTACTTGGTAGTGTTCCCTTCGTCTCCTTTGAGAGTGGGGGCCAGTGTCATGTCCAAAAGCTTCGTTGCCAGGCGTGTCCTTCCTGCAGATGGAGCAGGAGAACCATCGGCCAGAGTCCCAGGAAGTGTTGCATATGGCTGGGCTGGGTTATATCGGGTACCACGTTTTTTTCAGGGGGAAATCAACGGAAGAGAAAGAAAGCCACACGAGATGCCAGGAAAAATAGGCGAGCACGTGAGGCGGCAACGAAACCCTTGGAAGCCCCAGGTATACCGCTGTGGCTGTGGTTGTCAAAAAAAGGCCAAGGCCTCATTTTGGGATTGCCCAATCGGTACTTCGGAAACCTGCGGTCCTGATGGTGGTAAAATTTCACCTAGCCAGTTCAATTGGTAGTTGGAGCCCGATTTGGATTTGGGTTTAAACCCTCCGTTCCTGGTGAAGCATGTTCCCCACCTTCAAAGCACCGGGCACTAAACCACCCAGGGCAAGGTGACTGCTGTATGTGTACCTGTGCAGGTCCATGAACAACTGATACTGGTCACTGCATCATAGTTGTTGCGTCTCACTCCTTCTGATAATTCTGCAACTGAGTCCCATGCTGAAATTGCGGATTGAGCTGGTCTTGCCTGTCACCTGTTCTTCTCCGGCTCTGCAGCGCTTGGGATTGCGGATGACGCACGACAAGCTTCACAATCAACCCCCGCTGGGCCTTGCGAAACTAACTCTCACTACGCACCGCGTTGCTGCCGCAAGAGTTGATATAGAGCTCAGTCGCAAGCACTGGAAACAGCCATCACTGGTCCAAGCTGCGCAGCAAACGAAAGGGTTGAAGTCACTTGGACTCGACCGCCTGCTCGCCGGCCATGCGTGCAAACGCTGCGGCCGGTGCGTCGAGCGGGCCGATGGCTACCCTGCAGAGGTGGTGGCAGAAGATTTGGACAGTGATCAAGCAGCTTGGGTACGAGATACAGAGAGGCAGAGTGCAGCCTGATTCTGTGTTGGTTCATAGTCTCGGATGTGCACTGGTGTTGTAGACGTGCATGCGACCCAGTTGGGCGGAGTGGAATCCCTAAAGGGCCGACTGCCATCCGTGTACAACCTTGACAGGGTCGCCCATCCATGGTTGTTCCCTTCTTTGGGGTTGGAGAACAGCAGGAGCCTTCACTCTTTCTGCGTTGAATCCAGCAAGAAGCAACTTCCCCGCATGACTCGACCCCTGCGAGGGGGAATGTGTCCCCTGGCAAGAGCTCATGAACCATGTGGCCCGGAAATCGCAGGTGATTTTGGAGGCACGGCCAGAATGCCTGTTATTGGATGCCCCAGGATGAGCCTTGACCTCATTCCAAGGCTTTTCTTCTCGACGATCATTATGCCAAAGGATCCTGCAGCCAAAGAAGGTGATGCTCCCAAGGGTCCCAACGTGCGCCGCATCAATCCGGGCGGCAGCTCCCACACGCAGTTCGGCGGAGGAGAATGGTGCAGGGTGTATAGGTCGCAAGCTGTTGCGGGCTCATTTGGACGGCAAAAAGACCAAGCCAGTGCTTCCCACTTGGATCCCATGTTTTAGAGTTGGAATGCTTAAAGTTTGTGCAGCAGTATGCTGAGTTCGGCAGGCGCTGTCATTCCTGGTCTTGTTACAGTGGTTATCCACATGCCTGCACACTCCCACATGTTGTGAACCACTGTATTCATGAAGCCACGTCACCATTGAGGACTCTATGTCAGAGATGTGTTTGTGTGTGTGTGTGTGCGTGTGGGGAGACTGGATTGTGTTGCCTTTGCCAGGAGGTGATGATGACAACGACTTTATGCGAAGAGGGCGTTTCCGTGACAACCGCTGAGTAGTTGGCGATAGCACTGCACAGCCATGCTGTCACAGACCTCGCTGCGCATCGGTTCCGCGCTGGCAAAAACAAAGAACATGTCCAGCGGAGCATGGGTAAGTAAGGGCATTCTGGTCCCTTGGCCGTATCTGCATTTATCCTGCTCCTGAGTTGAGAATGTCGCCTGCGAAAAGGAATTGGCCAGTTCTAAGAGGCTTCACTATACAGACTCGTGCGCGGCGCATCGTTTCAACTGTGCGTGTTGTGTCCTGCTTGATGTGGGGGTTGATCAAAAGGTCTGTGATACCTGGGATGACCATTAGGGAAACCACCAAAAAGATGACTTTCACTAAATGGCAAAAGTTTCGCAGGTCATTTTGATCAACCCCCATGATTGCCATGTGTCAGTGAAACACAATGTGTTGGTAAAACAACAATCCGCTGGGGTCGTTTGAGGGGGGTTTATTATAAGGGGAAGGTTTATTCATAGATATCAGGAAGAAGGGGTTACTCGTCGACTTGTCCAATCCATCCATCCAATCCCCATCCATCCATCCACCTATCTAGACCTTCATCCATCTACCCTAAACTCTTGCCACGACTTTAAATGTTCCCAGGGTGTCGAATCAGTTGATGTACCCTGCTTCCTTCCCTCCAAGATCGTGACCTTTCGGCCCCGCCTCGGCCACATGTTTGGTTCTTCAACCTGGTTTCCCGCCAAAGCCACGCCCAAATCGTTTTTTACATCATTTGTTTTTCTCGGGGGGTCCCTATCAGCTTTCCCGAACATGGCACTTATGTAGGGAGGTGGAAGCTGCATTTCCTATTGAGGGGACCCCTACAGTTGCCAGGTGAGTGGGAGGTTAGAAGGTTAATAAGGAACAATCCCAACCATAAATAGCTGCGGCCGCTTCTTAATTCTTCACATAGTGCTGGGTCGATCCTTTTGATACCAAGCTTTGATTATCGACCACAGACGCAACGAGGTCCAACATCCGCAGCACCTCAGACCTGAAGCACTTCGAGGCACTCGAAGGTTACAGAAACATCGGGTGTAACCTGCAGTTCTAGGGGTGACTTCCCCATCCAGGGATCCGGATCTTTCCGGAAAACCACCAAAAACCCTGGGGAAATGGATGTGGTTTTTGAAAAGAACGATGGCTGAAAAGATCGGGGAACCAACCCCTAGAGCAGTGGTGACGGTTTCCTGTTGACATCCAAATTGGACTCCTACACGAAAATACATGGAACATCATGGAACCGTGAGAAAAACTCAGGCCTGTTGGTGGGCTCCAGGTGAATTTGCAGGGGAGAACCAACCAAAAGCGGCTCCACCAAGTATATACGTACTGTGTGCGGACAAGATAAATCTCACTTCCTGAGTTCATGAACTTTAAACTTTGTGGGAAGACCATTTTAGTGGTAAATATAAAGTTTGGACTTTTTTGGGCCATCCACGGCATGGTTTCCTGAACGCTCGATAAACAGCTGCGGCTCGATTTCAAGTCGGGTGCCCTCTAACCGCCTGTTTGGCGCAAAGAAACAACGCCGGTTTTGTCTGTCAAGGGTGCCCTTGGCACTTTTATCATCGAGAAATCTCCATGAAACCAAGAGACAACGCCATGAAATCCTCGATAAGGGAAAGCACAAAGTGGCCTTATTTGCTCTAAAAAAAAGAAAGCCAAGACATGGGGTTCCCAGGGCCCCTTGGGCTCATGTCATGTCATGTACATGTCCATGTCTCTAGGGGAAGCTTCCCCATTCCAGGGCTCCTTCCTTGCAGGAAAGCATCAAGCACCAAGCAAGCATCTGGTTTTCAGAAAGAACGATGGTTGAAAAGAGTTCTAACGTTTGATTCCCCATTCTTTTCAGGCATCGTTCTTTCAAAAAGACCGGATCCGTTTTCCCTCTTCAAACCGGAGGTTTTCTAGAAAGATTCGGATCCCTGGCAAGAATGGAAATGGAAGGTAGCCCTAGAAGAATGGTTGGAAGCCCCTAGAACTTCAGCTCGCGAAAATGGGCAGGTAGTGCGCATGGTGCGCAGCTTGGGACAGAAGTTGGGGGACCGCCAGCTCGTGCTGCTCTCGAGGCGCTTGGGACAGCTCTCGATGCCTCGGCGGATTTTTTTTTGTGGGTTTTTGGAGCAGCTGGTCTGGGTCCCCCAGCTAGGTGCCCTTCCGTTTCTTTTTGGGAGGAGAAACCCCCCTACTAAAAATAGGTACCCTGATTCTAACCTCTCTACTGGAGGACCTAGTGGTGTATGTGTGTGTGTGCTTTGTTACTGGCTTTGCTCCAAGGAACCTTCTTTGGTTTTGTTTTTCAGGCACCAGCTTTCCTAAAATTTCACAGGAGACCAAAGGGTGTGTGTTTGTGCTGTGGTTGTTCTTTGGGACCCCCCGAAAATGGGCTTTGGCATTCATGCTCTCAAAAACAAGGCAGGCACACGCATATTCAAGAAACTCGGTTAGAGTAACGTTAGACAAGTCAGCCCTTGTGGAAAATGCGGTCACCACAGCAATGTTTCTGGATCTTTGTAGCTCTTGATTGTTCAATGCACTGTAAGCTTCACAACAAATGGACCAAACAACTGGTCTTCAAAACAGGATTCTTTCAACTTGACAATTAATACAGCTAGACCCCCTGCTTCCCAGATCTTCAGTGGCGTATTGCGTTTGTGTTTCTTGTTTTCACTCCAACCCAAGATAAGGTGTGTCGTCGTTTCTTGTGTATGTATTTATATATCTGTACATGGCTGTCGTTGGGACACATTTTACATTTTTGCTTGTTGTGGTTTAGTGGGACATCCACACTTAACTGCTAAGACTTAATTTGTTGCTCCCCTTCCAACGTCAACCAAGATTATATACTTGTCTCAGGGCTAGGGTCAGGGTTGTGCCTTGACGACTATGGGTCATTTTTTCATCGAACGTGTTTGGCACGTTGGAACCTTTGCTCAACTGTTCCCCCTAAGCTCAACTCGTTCTTTTGAGAATATAGGGACCCAAGAAAACCTGAAACATCCTGCCAAAAAGCAAATTGTTTTCCATAACTGGGTCAACAGCCCCGGAGAGGAACGGTTGAACTGCATGTGAAACGAACCGAACTAAGTCCCTGTGGGCAGAGGCTCCCGATTCACTTAGGGCCTTCGAACAACCTGGTTTTGAGACCCCAACCACCTCCAGGGTGTCTAATGGAGGGGTCGGGTCTTCCATTGAAGCCTTAAGAGCCTCTGGGTGACGGCACCGCATCGGGTACACATGCCGGCAACTTGTTTGGTGAGCAACTTGCGTGCAAGAAGCAAGAGCGCCGCAGCCTTTGTTTCCTTCATTTTCCGCACTCGGCCAAGACTCCCTTTCCAGCGAAGCCATCACCGAGGGCGCACAATTGATGAGAAGCCTTTGGGGTGGACCAGTCTACTTAGTCTGCTTCTGGCGTGGCCCAGGCATCCTGCACTTCGTAAATAGTTCCAATCCAGTTGTGCCTTCCAATTCGCGATGTTTTTGTGTTTTGTTCTTTTCAGATCGCCCAACTTCAACGGACAGGGCTGGTCCCATTTCACGCAAAGTCGAGGCGCTGCAACTCGAAACCTTCAAGTCGCCTCCTTGCAGGCGCATGGACTCCGTGATGCGCAGCGAGGTGCGCCGTGAGCGAGCGAGCGACACGTTCTCGGCAACGAACAAGATGCGGTCGAGCCAAGACATTGGCTGTCTAGGTTTTCCAGTAGTTGGTGCCCTCTCTTTTAAACCTTTTTTGGTTGGGAGGGTTCCCAAACGCAAATACACTACAGAAAAAAGGGTACCCTGATTCCAACACCTCTACTCAAAAACCTAGCTGTTCCGGATGTTTGCAAGCTGAGAAGGCGTGCATTTGCTCACATTATGCTTGGGGCAAATTGCTCTCTTGTCCACAGAAGGTGTTTTGCTTTAAGTTTTCTTGAGCTCCGCGTTTATGGAGGCCCTTTGTGTTTGAACTGACCCAGGAAGCGACAGGTCAATGAAACATGAGGAAAAGCCAAGGAAACTCGCTAGAGCCTCCTGAAAGTCATGGTCATGGTCATTCCACCCCAAAACCCAGGTTGTTCAAGGGGCTTCAAATTTAATCCCCCCAATACCCCTACTAACAAATTGCGCCCCCTCTCCCCCACCAGGCAATAAGTACGAGGGGGTCCTGCTGCAGTCCTCCTCGAAACGGGGTCCTCTCATCCAAGTAGAGTCCCCTCTTTCCGGGCCCAACAACCCTGCAAAGTTGCAATTCCCGAAAAGGAGCCTAAGCAGCAGAACCAGATATAAATATATGTAACTTGACGGAGTTGTGCTGGTTCCGTATTTGTTTCAGTTCGGTTTAGCATTCACATTTTGCCATATTGGACAAGTCGCCCAACGGCACTATCTATCTTTCTGTGTGTGAGCAATTCAGGCTACTTGGTCCACAATCATGGAGCTTCCTGTGGCAGAAGGAAACAAGCATGAACCCTTCTCTGCAAAATGAGGATGGCACTCACCTAAACCCTAAACCCTAAACCCTAAAGACACATAACCTCCTGCAAGCCTGTTTTTTTTTTTTGCGGACATGGAACGAGGTTTGCTGGATTGGTACTGGCCACTAGCATTTTCAGTGCATCATCAGGAGATTCTCTGTTCACACTGGCGCATTTGTGTCTAGAGGTGACCCCCAATATGCTCTTCACCCGCAAACATGTTCCATCTGCTTGCTCCATTTGTTTTAATTCTTGGCTTGCAGCTTAAGACGCTCGGATGTTTTGGAGAGATCAGCGCAAAGCCAAGAGGCCAACTGGGAGCTCCACAGATTCGAACCCCACGTGGGGTTTCCGTTTCTTTTTTTTTTCTTCGGAGGCTTGTTGAGGCCTACGTGGCTTGCGGTATGCAGTGGCTTTGGCTGTGACTCGTTTTTTTTGTTTTGTTTTTAGCTTCGAGGGCACTGCAAAGGAGCCAAAGGCCAAGTGATTATGCATAGTGTACGGCAAGCCTGGGGGTATAACGAGCCATGATAAAGTCCCTTTACTTGGGGATCCCCAAAATTTGCAGAAATGATTGTGCACACGACTCTCTTTTGAGCATGACTGAATTCAGGCTTCAGCTCCTCCACAAGCCCATTCTACTTATTGGGGTCCTCGCAGTAGTTGTATCCGCCACACGTTCGCCAGTCTGGCGTCAGCGCCGACATCTTCGCGAAGATTAAGACGACCTTGCCTTACTGACAGCTGATGGTTGCCCGTCAAAACAACCCAAGATAACATTTGCCTAAATTGAGAGGCTGAATAGTTCCAGAATTTTGCTCGCATGACATGACTCAAAACAGTTTAAAGTGCTCAACCGCACCCCACAGCCTCAATCTATACTTTATTTTAGCATCGTTGTTCTTACAGATATGCCCATCGCATTGCGAAGAGCAAGCTTGATCTCTGATTGGGTACAAATTAGGCACTTGATAGGAGCACCGGCCAAAAGTTGAGTCAATCCAGGATGTGATGGCATGTCTCCCACGGTGTGGTGCATGTCACAGAATGTGCCCCTTTTTCTCCAATGACGATGGTCTTGAGCAGCATCGCAATGTTGCCCTCCGCCTAAGGATGATTTCGGACATGATCAGCACCATGAGCGAGAACCTCCAGGCTCGCGGTGTGGTACACCAGAAACGCGCTGCTTCTGTTGAGCTGTCAGCCCCGTAGAAGAGTTAAGTTGGTTAGGGCAACCTAGCCTCTGTCCAGATGGAAGTGGATCGGGGGTTCCCTTCAACCCGGTTCAAACCCCATTCAAAGAATGGTTGACGCAGTTTGGATGACAATCCTCAGGCAAAAATAAGGTGATATGATGGTGGCAACTGAATCCCAGGGTCAAAGTATAACTCCAAAACCGGTTCTCAGCTTCCACACCTGAGAGGCTAGTCTTATATTTTGGCGGCGTCAAACGGATGTCCATGCGACAGATAGGCGTCCAGGCGTCCTGTTTAAGCAGAGGTGTTCAAGCTGTTCGCCGGATGTTGCTCCAACACTGAAGCAACCGTCCCACCAAGCCAAAGCTCACCCTAAACCATTCATTTGAATAGCATCTCGGTGTTTCTTTCACCCTAAAGCAACCATCCAACCAAGTCCAAGCTCACCCTAAGCCATCTGGCTGTGGGTCAAAAATAGATACCCAAAATGGAACCCTGGTAAGTGGCAACATGAACCAAAACCTGCGGTCCATTTCCTGGTGGTCAAATTTTGACCCATACCCATCCGACCCAAAGATCCTCTCTGTGGTTTCAGGCGGAGGCCACCAAGAAGGCCTACTGCGATGCTGAGATGGGCAAAGCCAGCGACAAGAAGGCGAACCGCGAGTCGCGCGTCGCGCGTCGAGACGAGTTGGTCTGTTCGCATGAAATCCCTCCCCCCGGCAACATGTGTTTCGCACGGTGCTTTTGTTTAACTTGTTTTTCCTGGTCGCCGCTAGGACAGCGACTTCACATGAAGCAACCTAATCACGTTTGATCGATATGTTGTTGTGCATCACATTTGAGGTTGGACAGATATCATGGACTCCTGGCAGGCACTAGATGTGATCCTTTTTGGACCTCAGTTGCAAACAGAAGGAACACATGTCCAAGACACCAGGGTTCATGGATTCTTCGTTGATATGTTGATCCCCCTATTTTGTTGAAAGGCTCGGGTGTTATCTCACTTGCATACTGCGTTTGTGTGTGTGTGTGTGTTTTAGCTTTAGTCATGTGGAGTGTAGCAGTTGAAGTGGATTAGAGTGATTGGCTCTAAGGTACTGTTTCAACAGGAGCTACTCACCAGAGCAGTTGTTTAATCAGAGTAGTTTCTACTTACGCGCCGCTCCTGGTTTCTAGTGCAAGGTTGGGCGTGGCAAGATGGAAAAGCTGCGGAGTCTCTAAACCCTCGAGCCACCAGCAAAAGGGGCAGATGCCCTTTTGAAAGAAGACACAAGCACTACATGGGTCTGTCTCTTGTGGTGGGTACCCGTTTTGGGGGTGCTTGAAATTCGAAGCCAGAAGGAGAATCACCATTTTGGAGGGTCTCCTAAAAAAGACACTAATTATGTTCCTTCTCGGAAAGCGTATTGTGCAGTTCCATCTGGTGGGAGCTGTATTTATTCTTGGCCATCTTGCCGCAGAACCTTATCTTTGTGCGCCCTCTCCCCATGCAACTCACCGCACACCAAGTTTGGTGCCTACCAGGGTCACTGGGCTGGGTCTTGCCTCCGTCGTCTCAACCGAGACCGGCGAGGGGTTTGTTGATGTTTGTTGCTTGGGTAGTAGAGACCTGGAACCAGACCCGAAATGTGGTCGCTGCTATGCAGAGCTATGATGGTTTTTAGGACAACCTTCCTCAGTTCGGCCGGTTGCATGGGTCAAAATCCCGTACCCCCAGTGAACATCCCAATCCCCACTAAAATAGGTTCTAACATGGGCGATGCACCGATGCACCTACCCCAAAAAGTTGTACTAGTACCATTGGTTTTGACAACCACAGCCACATTCCAGCACCAAGTAAGTGCCGGGATCGAGTTTCTGAGTTCCACAGGGTAGCCCCATGTCAGGCTTCGGGGTCGTTTTTTTGGGTGCCCAATCAAGGAGGCCCCAACCGAGCTGCTTGCAGAGAAGCTCACTCCCTCGTAACGAGCTTGTTCCTGGCCCCTCAAAAGTGAACCTTGGATTTCCGGGCCCTTTGGGCAGAGATAGCTTCTTTTGAAGCTACCAACTTAGAGATGCGCAAGGGAAGCCAAAGAGAATTGACCTATTTTGCCGGGGTCTCAGATATGTGAAACAAATGCTAGACCTATGAACCACAATGAGAACAACTATGTTCCTGAACCCTCAAACTGCCCATAACAAGGGACTTCACCAACCATATTTGTTTGGGGCAACCCAAGTTTTAAGTGACAAATTTGTAATATGTTTGGTTTCTTTTTCACCAACCATATTTTTTTGGGGCAACCCAATTTTTAAGTTGGTTTCTCTGTTCCCGGTGACACATCTTCCCAGCGCTTGGCTCTTCCCGCCGAGAGGCCAGCAAGGACTCGGACATTCAGACGGTCAGCAGGGGGCCTCAGAAATCTTCGCTATTGGCAAAGCGGTTTTTGGGTTTCTTTGCAAGGCATGAAGTAAGGCAGCCAGCGGGCTCCATTCTAGTGGTACCCTCCCCATGCTCTTCAGGGATCCTTCTCTTCAAAAAATGGGCCAAACACCCGGAAAACAGGTGGTTTCTGCAGAGAACATCTGGTGCATTTTGCCAAGGGATGTTAGGACTTTAACTTTGTGCCAACTACTGGGTTTTCCACTCAACCGAGGTTTGGCCGGTGGCGCAAAGCTGGTCAGGCAACCCTTAGTTGACGTGGTTTGGATTGGGAAGTTGGACCACTGGTTCTTGTACAGGGATTGTGTTTTGCCAATGGCACAATACTGTGGATGGACGAGACGAAATCCGTTCGCACCATCGGAGACCATTGTTTGTTGGTATTTACAGGGGAATCATCAGACACCAGGGTTTCTCAGGTGGTCCAGGATTTTGTCCATCCACAGTATGGGTGCCTGCACCCTCAATCTTCCCTTAAACATGGAGTATTGCCCCAAAAGAATGGTTGATGAGTTCCCTTTATGGGTAGTTTGACGGTCCAGGCTGTGGGGTCCCCAAAATATGTCTTTTGTTTTACGTGGGAGACCAAACGGAAGTCACCCATTTTGAAGTCCAACAACCACAAACCCATATCTGGCTGACAATTGGTGATTCTCCAAGTTGGTTTCCTGCTGATTTCCCTCTTTATTTGGGCGGCGACTCACCAAGAACCACAGCAGTAAACCAACTCAAAACGTGAAAACTTCCATTTGCTTAAGAACATGTTTGTTTTTTCCATGGTGGTTTTAAGGGCAATCTATGACTGCTGGTCTTTGTTTCAGGGCTTAATCAAATGGAGGGCAAGGCGGAAACAGACCCCCAAGCCAAAAAGAACGTCCGCGAACCCGCGGAACACCAAGCCATCCAGCCTTTGATCCGCACGGAAGCGCTCTCCCAGGGCTTTAAACCAATTCCGCGCCGGCCCTTCGCCAGTCAACATCTGTCAGGTCAACTAGGTGCCCCGGTGCTCTTTCTCACCGTTTCTTTTTTCGGGGAGGGTTCCCCTAAATAGACTACAGACAAAAAAAGGCACCCTTAGTCTAACCTCTCTACTGGAGGACCTAGTCAAAAAGTCACATCCTAAATGTCTTTCACTTGCATTCATCCTATCTGGCGTACCCCAGAGGTCCGCCAAGTTTGTCATGGGCGTTGTTTTTTGCTCGACATTGGCAGACAGCGATCCATCCCAAATAATATATATATATATACATACATATGTTTGCATATATATATATAGTAATAATACTTATGTATATATATATATACATTATAATATGTATATACATACACATATATACATATATATATATATATATATATATATTAAATATGTATATATATATATATATGTATGAAACCAGCATTCACCATGACAATGCTTCTTGCTTAGCCGCCCGGCTGGGCAAGGCACTCGTATCGACGCAGCGGCGTCCAAGTCTACGTCTCTGAAGAAGCAGGTCGTCGGTGCCCCAGAGGAAACTGGAGGCCGTGCTGGGTGAAAAGTGCGCCGTTTTTGAGGCGAAAGGCTTTCCCTTTGGTTGGGGAAAAGGAGAAAAGTGCGCCGTTTTTTTTTGAGGCGAACGGCTTTCCCTTTGGTTGGGAAAAGGAGAAATGCGAGCCGGTGAGCCGTTTTGTTTTTTTGAGGCGAAAGGCTTTTTTCCCTTTGGGGAAAAGGGAAATCATCGGCGAGGGGCGCCTATCTGACGCATTTGTATGCGATCATGTTTGTTCCTGCCTGAGATGAATATTGAGACCGAAAATGGCTGGAGCCAGAAGCTAGAAGGTCGAGTTGCCCGAGAGAGATCTGGCAAAGCCTTGATTGCCTTTCAGGTCAGCATGCTGGCAATGCATTGAATCATATCATTTCAATATCATAGTTGTCCTTTGGATCGGTCAGTTTGGGCTCGACTGGTATTTTTGTTCCAAATGGTGACCCAATAATCTGACGATGGTCGTTTTTCTTTTAGCCGAGCACAGCTCATAGCACAATGTCAATGGCTAAATGTCCGAGGGGGGGAGTGTGTGAAGGTGTTCTGATGGGAATCTCGTCACTCGAATGTCAATCAAACGTCGGCTTCATCCAACAGCGGCAAAACCGACATGTTGACTAAGAGTCCTCATTTTCCACTGGAGCGCTGCTTTCACTGCCTTTGCGTGTGCCATATCCCTACCCGTATCCGCATGGAATAGTTTCGGTGTCTCAACCTGACTGCTGGGTTGGATCTTTAGACTCTAACTTGTTGGGGAAATCCTTGGGGGTTTTCCACTAAACCCCCAAAGCGCTATTCACTTTTTGCAAACAAAAACTCAACAGCAACCAAGGCTTCCGACTCTCAAGGCCGTTTTTTCAGGTGGCCATCAAAGCCGAGCTGTCCACCCTGGCAGAGACTGAGGCGAGCTTGATTCAGTGGGTCTTTCTGGGCTCGAGTTCGCCCAAGATTTGTTTTACCTCAAGTGAGCAGATTTCGATGGCTGTGGGTCAAAAACATGTACCAGAATTACCAGAATGGCACCTTGGCAAATGGAACCAAAGACTAAAACCTGCGTAACTCCAGTTGTTTGATTTTGAGCCACAGATGTTCTTGGACCCTCACACTACCCATGAAAAGGGAATTCACCAGCCATAATTTTGGGGCAATCACCGCATTTCAGGCGAGTTTGAAGGTCCAGGTACCTCAAGTGATCAGATTCAGATGTTTGGCCATGGCACGTGATCGTGCATGATTCCACGTTACAAGTTAAGGCGTTTTGACCCCGAGTGCGAAGCCCAAAAATCGTCGGCCCCAAAGCAAGCTGCCAAGGGCCCACTTGGCTGAGTCGACCGACTTCCCTCAGGGCCCCTCAAGGAATTTCCGCTTTTGGACCTACACAAGTGACGGTTCCGTCACGCTTTTTCGGTTGAAATGTTCTGCCCGGTTGGCGGCAGGCCAACATGACCAAGATCCGACAGGAGGAGAAATCCATGTGCTTGCCTCATGCCAAGCCCAGAGGTCTTCTGACAATACGTCGATTTTGTGATGAGATTGACCGAAGCAATTTAATCCCCTCCTTGATATACATTGTTTTGGGCAGTGGCTGACTTGACCGGCTTCATTTGCAAGACACAGAAAAAGGAGTTGTGTTGTTCTTCTTTTCGAGAGGGAGACATTAGGACCCCCCTCCCCTTCCCCCGGTTTCCAGACAGGGATTCGAAATCTTTTGACAATAGGTGTCCTTTTTGGTTTTGCTAAAACAACATAGAAGGCGATTCCCGGTTTACCTGGTGGTTCAATACCAGGGAAACCCATCTATTTTCCTTAAAAGGGACCCCAAAGATCACCTGCCAAGAGTCTTGGAGCATTGGAAGTTGGCCACTTCCCATCGCCGTCCAGAAAAAATCCCTCCGGTTCTGCAGCCGCTTGGATCCATTCGGCGAAAAAATCCTCTAGTTGGTTGATTTGGCTGTGTCAAAACCAACAAAACCCCTGGTGAGCATCAAAATAAGGTGGTACATGGGTGTATCCGCCCCAAAATGGGATCGCCATAAGTTATGAGCCATGGCCATTTGTTTGCTATGTGTGCTTACCCACCAGGGAGTTTTTGTCAAAAACCATTGGGTTTATGGGGCCCCAGGCCTCGGAATGGCCCAAGGATGGGTGCGAAGAAACACACATTCGCCCACAACTTTTATTCAAATCCCAAAGGGATTTGCCAAAACGGGCCTGTCTTTGAATTGGGACCCCTCCAAAGTTAGTGTTGGAAAAGCTCCCCCAAATTGGGCCTTGGGCATTTCTATGTCTTCATGTTTTTCTCCCCCGGGTTTTTTTGCACGTCCTGTCTGGATCGAGTCGAGTCGTCCTGTCGCCTGAGGTTCCAGCAGAATGAGCCCGAGACCGTGAAGGGCATGGAGGGCGTGAAGTCTGCCCTGAGGCCTTCCTTAGAGAACGATACGTAACGAGCTGAAGTCTGGTGGCTTCTGAACGGGCGGAACCCCAACACACACATATATATATATACATTATATACATATATACATATATATATATATGTATTATATATATATACATTATATATATATATATATGTATGGTCAGCCCCCCCCATGAACTACCTTTCCATATTTCTTCATAAGATGACTGCAAAAACAGCTCTCCCGACCATTCATATATATATATATATATATATCCCAGTGATCCCATTTGCCCATATAGGTAGGCAACCGAGGGATTCACCGAGAAACAAAAGAAAGCCCAGGAGGGGCAAACATGGGGGGTTATATGAGCTATTGGGATCCACTAGGTCTGAGGAATGTCCCTTTTGGGGGAACGTTCCCCGGGGGTTTTGGGGATAAGGTCGAAGGGGTTCCCGGCTCACGAAGGGACGTGAAAAAACTTGGGATCACAGATGTCTTTGGATCGATTTTGCGGGTTCGCGAATTCGAAGTGTTGGGCTAAACAACTGATGGTATTGTCATCTTTGAATGTAATTTGTTTGTGAATGAGTTGGGAAGGAACATTGGGATTGCGGGAGTGAATGCGGCAAATGAGGAACTGAAGCAAAGACAAGGTTGAGTGCATATATGGGGGTGTCTTTTTTGAAGGTAGCCTTGTTGGGGTGGGTTTAACGGGAAACCAAAAGGAACAACCACAATTTTGTCTTCATTTCCCCCACTTTGAAACAGCCCGAGAAAAAGTGCAATTAAGCAAAGGTCTGATGTTGCTCACGTGGAGTGGACCCAGACTGATGCGAACCTCCCATGCAGGGTTTTTCCCAGATCCCTTTTTGGAACCGTGGCAGCTTCCATGGAAACCACCAGTCAATTGCAACCTTTCGAGGGGAAATCAAGTGACCAGTGACCCCTTGCAAGTCAAGCATCCACTCGCAGGAACTGCGCAAGTACCCTTCAGAATATATTTGCTGGACGGGACATGCGCAGGTTCCCTTGGGGGACCAACCACTCAACGGGCCCCGCCCTTCTGCTGGGCAAAACACCTCGAGTGCGGAGAAGGGGCTTGGGGGACCGAAACTCAGACGTTTTCACAGCGGGGTGCGCCCGAAAGCAACAAATGGCCGAGGCTCGTCTATGCCGAGGCTTTCTTTTTATGTGGTCCAGCATGCTCAGGGGTGGCCATCACACAAGTCCTTGGGAAACATACTCTCTTCCTCCCGCTTAAATGGAGCCCAGAGTTCGCTCCACGGATTCCTTCCATGAATCAAGCAGGCCTTGGCTGGCAAAACTCCGGGGTAGCCGCAACCTCGCCAGCTTTGGCATCCCACTTGAACGATCCACGCGCCTCTACCGAAGGGCTATTGCTATCCTTTGGTCATTTGGGGCGGACCAGGGTCGCATCAGAGTACGTCGAGCAAGCCTCCCGCTTGGTTTGGGCTGTGTTCGAAGACTCACTTCTTTTGACCTTTCGGTTTCCCCATTTTCATCTGGTCCATTTTGGTTTCCCCTTATATTTCTGGTCCTGTGGGCCGTGTAAGCACCCTCCAGGCCACTCACATTAAAAATTAACTATCCCCAGAAGGTCCGTCCAGGGAAGCATGGTTCTTCCAGAACTTCCAAGAAAGCCTTCCTCCTCCCGGGGACCCTGTTTTCCAACCACAAACTCTTTGTTACCCTTTTGGTTGGGTCCAAAATTGGGGGGGGGGTGGTCGAAAACCAGGGTCCCCCCCGTCAGATTCCATTCCAATGGATGCGAGTCATTGCGAGTCGCATGCCAGGACCCTGCGTGACTTCTACAAGAGCTCCGGCGTGCAGGCGGAAAAAAAAACACAAAACAATATGTTTGCTGTTGGTGCACCACCCTCAAACTGCCCTTGAAAATGGGGTTGCCCCAAAATGATGGTTGGTGATTTCCCTGCTTATGGGTCCAGGTAGACACCGCAGTTGCTCATAGTTTTTAGTCAACAAGGTTCGCCGACACGCAGTCACTTTCTTCCTTTTAAGTTCCGCCAACACAGGGTCTAAAATTGGGGCTAAGCTCGGAAGACCCTGAAATCTGGTCGTTGATCTGGATGTCCATCATTTAGTGCGGGCTGCAGGGCACTGCGCTGTTTTGTGCTCAAGGAATGACTCAAAGTGCTTCGTTCAAGGCTTTGCACATCTTGAGGTACCGTCTTTGCGCACCCCGTTTTCCCTCCTCTACTAGGTCCCCCAGTAGTGCCCTTTTACCCCTCTTCTGGGGAGGGTTCCCCCACTAAGATAGACTACAGAAAAAGGGAGCCCTTATTCTATCCTCTCTACTGGAGGGCCTAGTCTAGGTGGTTCATTCATTGCTTTAGACGAGAAACGCGGCCATTGCTTTAGACGAGAAACGCGGCGACAGCTTCTTCCCCATGGCCAATGAGCAAAGAGTCAACATGGTGCTGAACGCTCACCACCGAGATTGCATAGTCCGTCCAGTTTCGCATCAATTAACATTGTCAGTGGACCGCCATAGTATTTTCAAATCGAACGCCAAGACTGCAACACAGGGTAGGCAATCTGAATTGACTCAGCCGCATGTGAATATGGCGAAAGGTATGTATGCAATCTGCCTTGTTATGAAGTACTGGGTAATTACATCTGTGAACACCTTGAAGGCCTTGTTCGGAATATGAATGGGGGTTGCCAACACATTTTGACAACATGCGTGGGACCTGCCTGGTTGTGTGCCACATGTTATCAAGGGTCGCTTCATGGAAATGATCCAAAGAGATGAAGTGCGTGCTCGGCCTGAGTTCACCTGGACGACATGTGCGGCGATTTGGGCAATTCCAGTTGGCACCTTCTTTGCGATGCCCAACCAATCGTTATTTGTCTCCTTCTGACCCTTAAAAAATGGGAATCATAACCCAAAATTGAGGGGTTGGGACCCCTTTTTTCTAGGGGTCGTGGAGACTCCCTCGGTAGGTTTATGACCCATGTGTGTCTTATTGGCCCTTTCAGAAGTGAGCAATTTTCGGCCTGAGGAAGGCCCGGCCGACCCATTTTCAGACCCAGTTTTTGTTTCTCACACAACGGCGCCCGTTTTTTTTTTTTGCCATGTGTTGTTGGTATCCCTACAAAACTTGCTAGTTCTCAGGGAAGGTGTTGGAATGGCCCCTACCCATCCCCATGGTTTCCTTTCAGGGAATCCCAAAATGGTTCAGATTTCCAAAAGCGTGGCCCGGTCATTGCCTATCGCACCCAAACGCGAGTCGAGGTGACCAGCGGTGAACGCAAGGGAACCGCAACAGGCCGGAAGGGTTTCCAGGTTTGTGCGCGGGGGTCGTTCCGGGCTTGTAATCACCTTCAGGGGGAAAACGTGCTGCACTCATGAAGCCTGCTCTCTTATGTCACTTAGGGTTGAATTCAACTTGGATCAGTATTGTTGCCATTCACCAAGAGCGATGGTGATTGTGTGTTTTGACATAGGATCGTTTGGGTTGCTTCGCCCAAGCAGACGAACGGGCTTGTCTTCCGTTTCACGCGGCATTTGTCATTTGACGCGGAAACTGGCGTTTCGCCAAATCACTTTTATTTCGTAGGGAAACACAAGGATTTTGTTTTGCCCAAACAGCGCCGTCCCAATGAAATCACAATGTATTTGGACCAAAAAGCTGAATAAGTGCCCCTCAGGAATGCACGGGTATGACTGCATGATAATTAGCGAACATCATCATGGACAAACTTTGCAGGAGTCAGGTAATCATGCGCGCGCATAAGGGAATGAGTGTGCTCCACAACCCCTTTGTGATACTGGTTGAAGTGGCCATGTTTGTGGTTGAGATGCCCCGGAACCCACCACGAAGCTGTTTGCCCACTCGAAACACCATCTCAGTTCTGGCTTGCTGGCTTTCACAGGGCATGACCGAGCCAGGAAGTGGGGAACACACCGTTTTGGGGATTCCCTTACAGGAAACCATTGGGGATGGTTTTTCTCGGGGTGATTCCAACTCATTCCCTGCCTATTGAACCAGCACGTCTTTGCGTGCCTCACATCTTGGCGGTCGGCGCCAGCCTGATGCCTGAGGCGTCATCGGCCGCCTCGAGGAGTGGTTGCTGCTGTTTTGTTTTTTCGCGCCGACAGGATCTGGGTGTGTTTTTTAGAGGACCCCCTGTATATGTACGATATATATATATATATACACATATAAACAAAATGTGGTCTCACTTTGATTTCCCTTCAACACCGCCAAAAAAGATGCCCTCAAAAATGTCACACTCAATCATTCACGTGTATATATATATATATAGCACTTCGGGATGAGCATCCTATGACACAAGTTTGCTGGTTCGGAGTAGACTTCTTCAGGAGATGTAAAGGAACCATATAATAACTAGCAAAATTGCACTAGGTGCTCATGTGTATTCATGGACTGTTCATGGTATTCCTTGTATTCCTGAAGGTCAATGAGTCAGATTAGATTGACACTGTTCATGGCATTCCAGGTCAAGCCAGGCATGTGTAGAACTGTTCATGGTATTGCCTGAATTCCTGAAGGGCAACAAGTCGTTTTGTCGACACGGTGTATTTTGAGTGTATGCAGGACGTTGAGGCAGACATGGCCATGAGCCTTTCGCAGATGCCGGGGGCCTCATCATCGCACATGGGGACAAGTTAGCAAGTCACCGCGGTGCAGAACATGCAATGAATGTGAGTGAGTTTGTCTTACCTTGTTGGCTCCCAGCCATCCCCCTTAGCCTTTTAGCTTTTTAGTGTTTAGTGGGGATTTCCTTTGAACCCACTAAAAGTTGAACTTTAGCGGGGGATCTGAGGACAGCCCAGTTACAACAAAGAGCCCTCCAACCAAGGATTCAGCTATTTGTCCTATTCAAGAAGGGTTTGGGGGGCATAGTTTAGCCACATCTACTTGTGCGTTGAGATGGGCAGAGTTTGCCGATGGCTCTCTTCTGGTCACAGTAGACAAGAGCGGCACCCCAGACTTGCCATGGCAAATCCCGAGATCGACGCGTCAGCGACCAGGAACGCGTGGCTCGCTGTTCTGTACAGGCTTGGCGGTTTCCAGGCATCCAGTTTCGTAGCTTTTCGCTTTTTAGGGTTTAGCATCCCTCCAACACTCATAGAAGCTGACAGGAGAGTTTTCAAAGACTACCGTCCTTTTGGGCGGCCCCCTGTCCACTTCCATGATTGTTGGACACGGGGTAGCATCTCGTATCCCAGTTTCGGGTGGGTCCAAATGTTCTGAACTCTCGGCCTGCAATGTGAATAGCACTTGGGCTTCTTGTTCGCCTGTCAATGGACAGGCCGGCAAGCTAACCGGGCAGCATGGAGGTCACCAAAAGTTAAACTTTTTGCGGGGGATCTGAGGACAGCCCAGTACATGTAAGGGTGTTTGTGTTGATTGCCTGCCGGCTTGCCAGTGTTTACCATGTCTCCTTGCTTGACTTGAATCGTTTGTCTGAAAGTACAGGACCCAACACACTGCGTAATGCTGCTCGCACATGTTTGCCGAGGCGTTCCGCTGAGAAGACGGCGGGGAGCTGAGCAGTGCTTAAGGATGTTGAATCCAGTTTTTGCCAATTTGTTCAACCTCCGAAATGTGTTCTTTGGGGTTCGTGCAAGACAAATAGATGCCTTTTTCTTAGGGGACCTCCAAAATGATGATTGTCCTGGTTTCCCTTTACCACAAAAAAAAGGCAACAACTCCAAACAAGAACGGATCCAACTGTCCAACACGTGTTTTGGTCAATTCGAAGCTCGTCCTGCTTTGGACTCTCAGACCGGGCAGGTCATTTAGGCCGCGGGTGAGTCACTGACCTCTAAGAAACAGTGCTCAGGGGCTCGGGGAGTTCCTGGACCCTCAGCTCGCCGAAAAAATGGGTGATTCCTGCAGGACCCATACACACATGCTTGCTCGTTTTTTTCGCGGCAAACACGTGCGCGAGAAATGGTACATGCAAACACATGCAACTACGCGGAGCACTTTTTTGTGTATCAAAGGGTCCAGGTTGCCCCAAAAACTGCTGTTATACGCGTAGTTTGAGGGTCCAGGTGAATTGATGTGTTCGCCGCCATTAAAAAAATAAGAAAACGCGTCTGGTTGACTAGAATCCCATGGCAGGGATCCTTATGGATTTTCCATAGCGCAGTCTTCAGACGTATCACCCAAGTTATGGCTTCAGCTTCCCGTCAGGCGGAGCTCAACTTCCAGAAGGACTCCCAGGACATGAAGCTCGAGAAGTCCCAGAAGGAGCCACGAAGCCTCGTCGAGACCGACGTTTTGCGGGGGAAGATTCGTGTGATGTGCCCCTGGTTTCTAATGGGATCTATCACTGGATGAGTTTATGGTTTTTATTTGTTTGGGGGGGACTGCCCCTGTTGGTTTTTGGAATGCCCCTGTTGGTTTTGTGAAATGGAATCGATCACTGTTTTTTTTTCTTGGGGGGGGGGGTGGACTTAAGCAAATGGAAGCAAGGGATATGGAGGTAAGTGCTCGAAACATGGGTGGCGGGTATCTTTTTTTGTTTGTTTAAATAGTTGGTACCCCCTGTTTGGTGGGTTTGGAAGAGAAAGCAACAGGACTAAAGCACCATTTTGTTTTTGCGGGCCCCTCAAAAAAGACACGACACAAAGTTGATGTCCACCAAATGGTCCCAAGCACAAATCACGAGCTCTCACGAGGTATCTTCGCTGTCGTCAGTTGCTTCGTGAAAACTGCCACGTCTTCCTCGGCTGGGGCGGTCAACCTGGGGGGGGAATATTACGGCCCATGGCCCATGGCCACCAATGTAGGGATTCTCAGTCAAGGAGCCATCAGTCATCAGTTGAGGAGGTTTGACCACAGGAAATAGGTTCAATCACTAACATACTTTTCGTGTGGGTGTCTCGAGCCCGATGTTTTCGTTTGTTTTTAGCTGCCTGCTTTGTCGCTTTCTTCTCACCTTCCTTCTCGCTTTGGCTCGTATCACTTTCCGTACGAGGACTGGGGGGGGTAGCACTGATGTCGACCCAAAGCGCGCGCGACTTCGAGCCTGCGAGCCAGCGTACAGGAGAAGGATGTCAGCTATAAGACGGCTGAGGCCCAGAGGCGAGCTGGGAAACTGAGAAGCGAGCCAACTGGACGGCGTTTTGATTCCTTGTGGTGTATCTGTTGTTTGCTTCTGGTTTGTTTTTGTTCTTCCTTCTTTGGATTGCCCTGTTGGTGTTTTTTTTTTGGTCGTTTGGTTGCAGTTTTTGTTTGGTTTGCGGTTTGCTTTTGTCAGTCTTTCAACAACAACCCCAAGGGGGGCACCTTTTTGGAGGGTAGCGCTTGTGGTGTTCTAGGCCTTGATTCCCCATTCTTTTCAACCATCCTTCTTTTCAAACACCTGTTTTTTCTGGGTGTTTGATGGTTTCCGAAGAAAAACAATCGCTGGAAAGAATGGAATTGGAAGGTACCCCTAGAGGTGTTGTTGTTTTTTTCTCAGCGGCAATGGTGTCAACTTGCCAATCCTGGGCTTTGGGTACTTTTCTCTCCTTCCGATGGCCGATGGGGATGTTATGGGATGTTCCTTAGTGCTTGTACGCGTCTCTCTCCGTGCCCAGCTAGGTGCCAACTTTTACCGTTTCTTTTTTGGGGGAGGGTTCCCCTACTAAAATAGACTACAGGAAAAAGGGTACCCTTATTCTAACCTCTCTACTGGAGGATCTAGGTGGGGTGCAGTCAAGGAACTCTGCCAAATCATGGCAAGACTCCAGGCACGATGGAATTGAAGCATCCGCTGGGAGACATACGCCATCTTGGGGTTGAAAGAGATGCAGCATCACTTCTTGGCGCTTGAATGTGGTTTTGAACCATCGTTTTCATGGGAGCCGGGCCATGATTTTGCCCAAAACCAGCGGAGATTTGAGCACCAACCTGAACTGCATCGAGCCCCAGGCGTTTTTGGCGCCGAAGCGGTTGAGTTTGGTATACCTATCAAACCAGTTACCAGTTATTCGCGGATCGATTTTTCTTGGTGCCATTTCAATCAAGCAGTCCTCTGATGGGAGGGCAGTCTACAAAGGGCACCCACTCACCGAATCAATCTGAAGGATTCCTGATCCATGGTGTTGTTTCGGCCCACGTTGTCTTCGTCCAGTTTGGCTGGGTTCAAAATGAAACTTACTTTAGCCTTCTAATCTAAAAGGGTTGTGCGCTTTCCCTTGCAGGCTTTGTTGTCCTATGGATTGCCGATGATTTCCGTTTTGGGACTCCTTTCAGTGGATCCCAATTACCTCTATAGCCAGTATGGTGGTTCCCTTCTAGGTCCACCACTAGTGCCCTTCTCTCCCCTTTTTTGGTTGGGAGGGTTCCCTTACTAAAATAGACAAAAACAGAAACAAGTTGGTACCCTTATTCTAACCTCTCTACTGGAGGACCTAGCAAACAAGCTTTCCTCGGCTTCCTTTTATGGAACCTCCAAAGTGGCAGTTTCAAATGGAAAGCCACCAGTTTAGTTCCAAAATGGTGGTTCCCTTGGTTGCACCGGGACATTGGAATGCCTGGTCCTCTTCTGAGAGAAGCTGCCAGGCTCGACTCGGAGCTGAACAGCCTCAACTCGGATTCCGAGAGTCCGACCCGCTCAGAGCGAGGATGTTGCAGGGCGGACGGATTGGTTTGAACCAAGTTCTGGAGATTCCTCCTGGAAATTCAATCGGGCGTTCAGGTTTGCGAGGTGTTTTTGGCATTTTAGGCGTTCTGTGTGGTTGTGTTTTGTCCCGGCGTTTTCATCTTTGTGCGCGATTTGTGGCCTGATGCGGGTGTTTGCGTCTCACAAGCTGTTTGCGATTGTTTGTGACAATTTGCCGTCTTTCAGATCGAGGATTCACAAAAGCCGTGAACGCATTTGTTCTCATAATGACTGTGGCTCGCATCTCATGTTCAACGTTATTTAGGCAAGTAGCAACATGTCAAAGGGCGTTCCTGTTTTGGGGTCCTTGAGTTTAGGTGTGCAGCCCAATCTAGAGAATACCTCACCATGCTACCCGTTGCCGATAGATGCAGTGCTAAAGCCGGCGCAACAACTGCTGATTGCTGGCGGTGGTTGTTTTTGTTTTTGTGGAGTTGTGTATGTATGTGCGTAAGTATGTATGTGTGTGTGTGGGTTCAGTACTTTCACTCCTTTCACTCCTTTCACTCCAGGTTGAGATATGACGTGGGCATGTCGAAGGTTGCATGTTATGATTATCTTCTAAATCAGAGATGTTCGCCGTGAAAGAAAGGCTACGCTGAGAAACGAGGGGGGCATGACGTCAGAATCCTAAAGCCCCTATAGGCGGCTTTTAGCCTGGAGTTGATGAGGCTTGCAGACCGAGATGGGCGCCCTGCTGGATTTCATCAAGAGCTTGCGCCAGACTTGGATCGACTTACCTAGGACCCAGTTGTGCGATTTGGGAAGGGTAAAACTTCCAGATCGCATGGCGTTTGTTTCTCAAATCATGGTTTTGCTGGATTCGGGATGGTCAAAAGAGAGGCAGAGGGTCTTTTTGTCATGCGCCGAATGGCACAATGACTTGGGCTGGGCCTGGGAAGAACTTTCCTTCGCAGGAACATCCCCGCCCCCTTAAAAATGGAATTGGGGAGGGGGTGACCCCTGGAGTTCCATGTATAGCTCCATTTTCCCTTTCATGGGGAAGACTAGATAAATGAAATCGGGGGACCCCCTACTCCCTCCCACCTAAGGTAGAGGGGATGCAGGAACTAGCTGCCCGTCACGTTGCATCCCTTTTCGCAGAGCCAACTTCCACTGTTCGAAGATCGGAAGTTGACGGGCCATCCAGCAGTCCCAAACCGGAGCATTTGCAGAAAATCGATTCCCAGGATTTAGCTCCTGCCAGCGACTAACGTGATTGGGTGCAACAGGGGTCACTACTTTGCCCTTGGGGCTTCGTGAACCTCCATGTTAGTTGGTGGGAGGGTAGATGCAAGTGCGGCAGGTGGCAAGTGAACGATGGATTCAAGTGAGGAGTTTTCCCCATGCCCTGAGCTCTTTGGTGAGCTTTTCTTTGGGTCGCCTAAAGAGTAGCAAGACTGCCAGCCATGGAGAAGCACAAAATGTTTGATCGCGGCCAACGGCAATAGGTCCAACTCGACACACTCAATGCATGATGATACACTGAGACTGCCGCATGCTGGAAAGCCACACATGAAGCCATAGCACAGGCAGCCACAATTCTGGACTTGGGGGTTCGCTGCGAGCATTTGCCATGAAGTGCCACCGGCCCTTGGCTGCCTCACACAAAAGTGAGGCGTTTTCTGGGGTTGCGAGACAGAATTGTGTCGATGTTATCAGGGATCCATGAGGAAACACCATATAACCTGGTCAAATTTTATCAGAATTCCACCTGGAAAGCCCAACGAGCTCGTAATGAAGGTGCCTTACTTGAGGATTCCTGATTTCCAGTTTATGAATAGCTGGACCCTCAACTAACCGCACAACAGGGGAACCCATAATTTTGGGGCAGATTGAGGGTCCAGCTAATTTGCAGTGAGGTAATTTACTCTTGGGACCTTAAGAGACCCTTGTTCATAAGGTCCAATGATGCTTAGGATACCTGGAGTCTCCACGACCCTTAAAACATGGGTCAGGAGTCATTACCCAAAATAATGTCCCATTTTTGTTTCGGGTCATGGAGACTCTATGCAGTTTGAATCTTTCGAATGCAGAGTGTCTGTTTCGCCCAGGGAGGCGGAGTGCCTGGTGACTCCTGAGTCCTTCGCCGAGAAGCAGGCCGGGTCCCTCTGCCTTTTTGACTTTTTTGGAGGCACCAAATGGGTTGTTTTTTGCGAGGTCGCTGCGAGGGTGTCCCTTACAAACTTCCTGAACCCCCAAACTACCCTGAAAAAGTTGGTTATTGTCCAGACTCATGGTTAAGTGAATTATCTTTTTATGGCTTTCCAGGGTCCAGGTACCCCAAAAGGGCATGCTCAAAACGGACACCCACATGGCGCAGGGGGCTTGTTTGGGTCGGTGTGCCAACGAACCTCTCGGTCCGTGGATCAGCGCTCAATGTGTTACGACAGTTTGACACGTTCAGAAACCCTACGTGGAATGGGCTCATATGGTTGCTTTCGATCAGCTGGCTAGCTTCGTGGCTCGTATATCAATAAACAGGCTATTTGGGTCTAGCCGCCTTTCAATCACAGCTTGATTTGTGGCCTTGATTATGTGCTGGGAATGTCCAGGATTTGAAGAACTCAATTCTGTTGCATATTGATTTAAGAATGGACCTGATTTTTAGTGTGCATGACCTTGAGTCTGGATCACCTGTTTCGGATAACTTTGTGTTGAGAACTCTTGATAGGAGGGCACATACACACTTGATGATGATGGAGATCAAATGTTCCAACCAACACTGAATGCGGGTAGGCGGTTAGCCGAGAACTACGCGGAGCAACCAGACCAACAATTTGGCTATGGGACTCTGTCCTCTTTTCTCATTTGTGTGGGCGATGTTTCGTAACCAGCGGACCTTTGTGCGGTTTCGAGCCGACGCGAAGTCACCAAAAGGGAAGTTGGATCTATTGTGATGGGTCATGTAAGATGTTGGTTTTGTCCCATGGATAGTAGCATTCATGTCAATGATCGCTCTAAAACTGCAGAGAAAGCATGCCTCTTTGAAAGTGCGTGCAGCTCAATGTTCAATCTGCTGAAGTACATCCGAAGCGCAAAGCCAAACACCAATATCCAATTTGAATGGCAGCTCAAATTGCCAAGGGTGGCCAATTTTAGCTTCCGCACACCAAAACTCTCAGATCGCATTCCCACGCTGCGTTCATGCTGTTGATGTTTTGTTTTTGTCTTAATGAGTACCAAGTTTTACTTACTAGTTGCAGTTTCAGAGACATCTGCAAAGTGTTTTTCGCACATTGCAGTGTCATTGCAGTACTGTGAGCAAGAGGGGAAACCCAATTGCTGAGTGACCCCATGCATGTTGCTTCTGTGGGTTCAGTGCTACTCTGGTTTTGTGTTGAATTCTCATGTGGGAACTTCGCCTTGTCATTGCAAGGTGCTTTGCGTCTAAGCCTTGCGCAAAGATTGAAAGATCTACGTGACCTGCCAGTTCTTGGGTGAGGTCGCACTGCGCGGGAAACGAGCAAACAGTTCAAACCATAGAGACCGCACGGCATAGAAATCATGAGGTTGATAAGACCAATCTTGTTCCCAGACCCTCAAACTGCCCCAAAATTGGTTGTTGCTCAAAATTATGGTTGGCGAATTAATTCCCTTTTTCATCGGTAATTTGAGGTGGAAGCCATGGGTTGAAGCCGATGCATCGAATTCGGATCGCAGGCCAAGAAGCAACAGGAGATTGCGGGGCCGCTGACTCAGAAGGGCTTACCCCTATGTTCAAAGGGAGGCAAAAAGAAACCCGACACGTTACTTCCATTTGGTTAAGAATATGTTTTATATTCCCCCGTTGAGTTTAAAGGGAATCGATTTCACTACTGGAGTATGTTTTTTGTTCCAGGGAACTTAAGCAAATGGAGGGTTATTGGGCCCCTTGTTTTGGCACATATCCAAATAGAGGCCATGGCAATCGTTTTGCTCGGAGTTGAGGTGCTGAGTGCGAGTGAACTGGAGAGTAGTTTGTTGGCAATGCTGGTATGGCTCGCACTAGCTTTACGTTTGCTGGCAGCTGCCTGGACGCAACAGCTCAGCCAAGAGACGCTGGACTCGCATCTCGAAGCAATGCCACAGCTCTGAAAACCAACGGGTTGCCGGCACGCCGTGGGAAACCACACGCGCTTTTGCATAGATGTTGTGGACTTCAAGGTGGATGGACACAATCCCTTCGCACCACTTTGCAACCATTGGAAACTATTGTTTGTGGGTATTTACCGGGAAATCGTATCAGACACCAGGGTTCTGAACGGTGGGGGCGAAATTGATTTTGTTCATTCACAGTATCATCAAATCCATAGGTGTCCTTTTAGGTTGTTTTGCTAAAATAAAATAGAAGGCGATTCCTGGTTTACCCGGTGCTTCAATCACTCACTTCCTGAGTTGGTGGACTTTAAACTTTTTGGAAAGACCATTTTAATGGTAAATAAAAAGTTCAAACTTTTTTTGGCCAGTCAACTTGGGAAGTGAGATCATCGGGCCATCTATTTTCCCAACAGGACACCTATGATCAAATCATCCCACCTGCGACAGGCTGAAGGAGGCCCTCACAGCGCTGGACGCCACCGCGGACGGGGGAGAGCATTGATTTCTTGGGGGGAAATGGCGGTGGCTCCAAAAGTGAAATCCTAGGTCCCAGTAGTGGCTCCCAAAAGTGAAATGGCGTTTCTTTTTTGGTTGGGAGGGTTCCCCTAAAATAGACTACAGAAAGAAGCATACCCTTATTCTAACCTCTCTACTGGAGGACCTAGAATCCTTGGTAGATGGAAAAGACTAGGTTGGCCCTGGCTCTTTCAACTTGAGTACCCAAATCGTTTTGCTGATGCGAGAGATGCAGGGGCCCTGAGAAAAGGAATGGCCCCAAACCAAACCATCCGACTTGTGGTTTCCTTTTAGGGGACCCTGAAACGGTTCATTCCCGCATCAGCAAGAGAATGTGAAAGAAATATTCATGTGAATATGTCACTACCTAGAGTCTCCATGACCCCATTGTTCTGGGTAATGACCAACCATTTTTTAAGGTCCTGGAGACTCCTGGTAGATGAATGTGCGCCCAAGATCTGCCCCATTTCTCCGAGTTCCCTTGTGAGACCAGCGCCGGTTGCGGGAGAGTGAGATGAGTAGAAACGGAAACGGTACGCTTTGCTTTCCAAAGCTTGGTTTGTTGTTCTGATTCAGCCGGAGTTGGGGCAGAGTCCAAGTCATGGGGGCTGGGGGGAGGGAGGGGAGGGGGAGGGAGCCCAAATAAGCCCATTAAGCCCCTAAGGCCTTATTTGGGGCTTCTTGGGTCCCCCCCCCCTCCCTCCCCCCAGCCCCCATGAAGTACCTGCCCCAGCAGTTTGCAGAGGCAGCCAGTTGATTGCAGTTGTTGCCATGTGCCACACTGCAGCCAAAGAAGGCACTGGAAGGTTTGTGGAAGGTGTTGTTAGTCGCAAAGTTAGAGACGGCGTTCTGCTTTTGTACAGCCAACGCCATTCACTAGTCTTGGTGGCTCCCAGCCATCCTCTTCGCCTTTTAGCTGTTTAGTGTTTAGTGGTAGTTTCCATTTAACCCAGTAAAACTTAAACTTTTCGCTGCGGATCTGAGGGCAGCCCAGTAGTGCATCCTGAGACACGTAAACGAACTCATTGTGCTGAAGCCGAAGGAAATTCGGTGTAATTTTCGGTTCCGAAGGTCCCCAGCCCTGGCCAGGCGACAGCTTGGCAGGTTTGGCGTAAGGGGCCTCCATCCAATGAACTGCGGTTGACTGGAATACAAATTCACGAGCCCGGAGTTCCTGGGACTGTAAACTTCGTGGGAAGACCATTCTAGTGATGAATAAGAAGTTGATACTTTTGTGGCCAATCCATTCAGGAAGTCAATTTAAACCCTCCCTCGCCTGGCGAAGCGAAAGCACTCTCATGCCGGGAAAAATGAGACGTGACAATGCAAGCCTCGCAAGATGTTTGTAGGTGGCTACAAGTCTAGTTTTCTCTTGGTTTCCCTTTGAGCCCAAACCCGGAAAAGACATGCCAGCCGATGATTTTTGTTGAACGGATTTTGTCGCAGGAGCCGGCACTGCTGCAGCGTCATGCGGGGGTTGCCCAGCCCCAGCGAGCGATCCCATTGGAGTCGTTCGGTTAGTTGTTTTTGTTCTAATGGAATCCCCAAAATCATGAGAATAGTTTATTTTTTCTCGGTTAATTTGGTTCCATATAGATGGTGAGTGGTGCATTGGTTTCGATGGGTTTTAGACGGGTTTAGATGGGTTTTAGCTCCGGATTTTAGTCCAAGGTGTCCTTTTGATCGGTTTGTTTGTTCAGGATCGCTGGGTTTGACTGGTTTAGATGGGGCTTGATGCCCGAATTACCAGAGCCTTTCTGTTTTCCAAGAGACCTACGGTCGTGAGTCAGCGAGATCGGAACCCCAGCTTGCCGTGCGAAGTGGGAATGAGTTCCGGCAGGCCGCACATTCTACCGATCTCCGTGTAAGCTGTCGATAGGTAGAAAGGTCCTTGCTTATAAAGTTGCTTACCCTTCGAGATCTTGCATGCAAGCTGCTGTGTTTAGTAGGGATAAAGCCCCGGTCCTTCGAATTGTGCGCAGAGTCCCTCTGAACGCTTTGGCCCTTTTACCCTTTTTTGGGGGAGGGTTCCCCTACCAAAACCGACAAACAAGAAAAAATGGTACCCTTCTTCTAGCCTCTCTGCTGGAGAACCTAGTTTCTCAGAGGCATGCGGTCTAAGCGAGCGGAGTTCGGCTTGCCGCCGTGTTTGCCATTGTTCGTTTTGAGACACTTGAACTGAGGCATGCCAAAGCAACCTGCTTTCTGTGCGTCAGAGTTTGGTCCTTGTCACTTGTCAACACACCTTTCCCTTTCGTTCCTCTTCCGAGGCGCCGCAAGGGTCTTACGCAAGAAGCCTTGAGAAGCAAGAAGTCTTGAGACGCAAAGTGGTTTTGCCCTGGGTCGTGGAACATCTTACATTCATCTCGGAAATGATACACATAGTACAACCTCCCCAGATTTTTGGATGACTTGTTCAGCTGTTGGGACCTTTTTGGGTGTGTAAAACAGGTGGCTTGAACAGGAAAGCGAAACCTCAACGCGAGGCTCGCGCTCTCCGTGGCCAAGCTGTATTGAAGGCCTAGGTCGAAGATTGGGAGAAACGTCCTGGCTGCGGGCGTCGCAAAAGATTTGCCGGCGGAGTCTCAGCTTGTCGCTAATCGAAAAATGAATGAACAAGTCCATATTAATGTATTGATTCTGTCTGTTTTTGAGGCTACCCGGTACCCTCCTGGAATTGTGTATTGGAATCCAAAAGGACGCCAAAAGGCGACCAAAAGGAAACCACGCATGTTGAAGGTCCATTTTGGGAGAAGCCCACATGAGGATGGTATGATTGAATTTTCACTTGCATGTATCTAGTACAACATTCATGCATCATTTGCGGGAACGCATTGCATGCAAGAACCAGATGTGGTTGCTGTTGTGCACATGCATACCTGGAGTCTCCATGAGCCTTAAAAAATGGTTGGTCATTACCCAAACTAAATTGGTCATTGACCCATTTTTGATTCGGGTCATGGAGACTCTAGTAGGTATTATGCAGGAACACACACACACACCCGCACACACACAGAGACACACACCCGCGCACACACAGACTCATAGAGTTATCTTGCAGGCCTTCTTCGCAGGCAAAGTAGGCCCACGTAAGAGTAGAACAAAGCTTCCATTTTTTCCCTGTTGGTTTTGAAGGGACTCTATCACAAATGGAAATATGTACATGTTTTTCGCAGGGGACTTAAGCAAGTGGGAGAATGGCGTGTGTCTCGAAGAAGGGTTCCTTAAAGTGGTTTGTTCTTTTGACTTCCCTGTCGATGACTAGGTTGCTTTTGCTTGATGTTCCATGGATGGCAGGAACATGTTGTTTATCCCTGTCCAGTGATCTTTCGAGAAGTGTTTGCAAGCAATCGCCTGGTTTTGGGCTTGAGTTAGCAATGTTTGTGTTTGTTTCTTCTTTTTCATGTAGGGGGGTCACCAAAAGCAACCACACGTTGTGTCCTGTTTGATTTTCCGAGCAAGGAAAGGAATCAGGGGACCCCAAATTCAAATTGATTGCGAGTCTGTGATTGTTTTTTGTTGTGTTTTGAGGGGGCAGGGGTTGGTCAGAAGAAACATGCTTCATTGTTGTGGGGACCTCTATCATTAGCAGGGCTGCATTGCTACAGTAACGCATGTGTCAATGTGTGCAAGTGATGGCGCATGCATACCCAGTTTGAGGGTCGCTTTGAGCCCAAGAGTAGAACAATGCGGAAGGTTTGGCGTGTGTTGCGTTGTGTTCCCGCGCTGGACAACATGAAGCCTACCCTTCTCCAGTACTCATCGGAGAAACTCATGCGAGACCCATCTACTCAGCATGCGACGGGTGCGTCGTGCTGAGCAGTTGCTTGTTGGCGTTTCGATTCCAACGCCCCGCGATTGCCTTGTGGCTCAGTGCTCGTGTGTGAAATCATGATGTATCCGAGCAAGAAGTCGCAGTCTTCTGCTGGCACCGAGCAAAAAGCAACGGGAAGAGAAGCATGACCCACACGAGCCCACATAGACTGTTTGACGACTGACAGGAGGGATATGCTGGAGAAGGCGCTGGCATTTTCCCGGCCGCTTGTTCTGCATGTGTTCCTTGTTGGTTTGACCCTGTCCAAGCGGTTGTGACATGGCACTGTTCCTTTGAGCCAGCAACACGCCGAACTCTGCGCTCAAAGTTGCAAGTGTCAGAATGAGTCCCTGCTGGCCATGACCACCTCTCCGCCTGAGCCCAATAGTGACGGTGCAATTGCGCCCAAGGAGGCAATTGCCTGAGAACGCGACGTCCAAGTGCTTTGGGCAATGGCCTTATGAAATAGCTGCCAAGAGGAACCATCATGATTGCAACGTCTTGGATCCAGCTAACTTATGAAGCTCACAAGGGCTAAACATGAGGGGGGGTGAATCTTTGCGCTGCATAGCTCCTGCCTGTGGGAGGCGACGCAAACTCGATTTGCTCTTTCGTCGTTTTCTTGAGTGTGGCTTTTTAAAAGGTTCCCGGTTTTTGGTGGGCTTTAAAGAGAAAGCAACAGGAAAACCACAATGCTTCTGAGCATTTTTTAGGTGGTTGCCCCAAGAACAGACGAATGATCTTCTTGCTGGTGCGATGGGTAATTAAGGAATGTGGGAATGAACCTGGGGATTCCCTGATAAAGGAAACCAGCAGCAAGGGATCAGACTCGACAATTCTCAGGGCCCCTCCATCTCTCGCAGCAGCAAGTCTTCTTGGATAGCGGGACCCAGAGGTTGCGCTACCCTCAACCCTTCCGCCGAGGCCCGAGTCTGAGCTGGATCAGCCTTCGACTCAAAGGCGCCCGAAATCGAACGTCGGGACGTTTGGAGCACCCTTGTCGTTTGTCGATTTGCGTGTCTGCATATTTCTTTGTGTGTCTGTGTGTTTGGTGTGTCTCGTATCTAGTGTTTGGGCGATTGTTTGTCTGCTTGCCTGCTTATCTGTTTGTCTGTCTGTCTGGCTGTCTGTCGACTTGACTGTCTGTTTGCCTGTCTTTCTATCTGTCTGATTTGATTGATTGATTTGATTGATTGATTGATTTGATTGATTTGATTGATTGATTGATTGATTGATTGATTGATTGATTGATTGATTGATTTGATTGATTGATTGATTGATTGATTGAGTGATTGATTGATTGATTGATTGATTGATTGATTGGATTGCATTTGATTTGATTTGATTTGATTTGATTTGATTTATTTTTTTTTATGTATGTATTTGTTTGTTGATTTGTTGATTTATTGATTTGTTGATTTATTGAGTTATTGAGTCAATGATTTATTGATTAATTAATTAATTTATTTATTTTTTTATTTATTTTTTCGATTTGATTGGTTGATTGATTTGTTGATTGATTGATTGATTGATTGATTGATTGATTGATTGATTGATTGATTGATTGATTGATTGATTGATTGATTGATTGATTGATTGATTGATTGATTGATTGATTGATTGAGTTGATTGTTTGATTGATTGATTGATTGATTGATTGATTGATTGATTGATTCATTGCTTACTTATGTTGCTTTGATTTGCGTTGACAAACGGGATACACCAATAAAACGTGTTGAGTTGCTTTGATTTGCTTTGCTTTGCTTTGCTTTGCTTGCTTGCTTGCTTGTGTTTATTGTTTTGTTAGGTTGCTTGCTTGTTTCTTTGCTTCTCTGTTTCTTTGCTTCTCTGTTTCTTTGCTGTCTCTGCCTGCTTGTTTGTTTGCTCGTTTGTTTGTTTGTTTGTTTGTTTGTTTATGTGTTTGTTTGTTTGCTTGTTTGTACCTCTCGGTCACTTTGTTTGTTTGTTTACTTGTTTGTTTACTTGCTTGTTTGTTTGTTTGTTTGTTTGTTTGTTTTGTTTGGTTGTTGGTTTGTTTGTTTGTTTGTTTGTTTGGTTGGTGTTGTTTGTTTTGTTTGTTTCTTGTCCGGCTTCTGAAGAGGAACGGACACCAACATGGAACATGTGCATTGATTTATAAGCCCGTTTGACATTCTCGAGGAATCCAACCACTAAACCAGTGGCTCGCTCGAGGTAGCTGTTCGAAACCAACCTGAAAAATACTGAAGTGGCGCAACGTGCTGCGGCTTGTTTGTTTTTCTGCTACATTCTGCCACTGATCGTTGCCAAGCCATGTTTGCCCGTTGCACACCTGCGTAACAAGGACCTCCGTTACAGACCTCTGCCGCAAGATTCAGATACGGCACCGGCCGCCTGAATTTCGGCGGCGGGTGCAGTGCTTGCTGAGGCGGTTCTGTGGGTAAATGGCACAGCCCCAAAGCTCCAAAGCGCCAAACCAATCCAAGCGGGGGGAAACTGATGTCTTGTGTTTGATATACGGGGGGTACTGTATGTGATAAACCGTAAGGATGGGCCATTTGGACAAGTCCTGAGATTCTGAGATCTCCTCGAGGTTCTGGCAAGGGTTTGGGAGTTTGAAAGGTATATTGTTTACACACTTTGTGTCCCCAATCAACAGGTATGAAGTCAACTCCCATTCATTCAGTGGATCCAACCATTCTAATTTTCCTTTTAGGGTTTGAGACCCACACTACTGGTCTCCTCCAGAAATCCAATGTTTTGAGTGTACCCTTGGGCTTTCGATCGCATGCGATCGAGGCACCGGGGCTATGCTCGGACCACTTCTTGCTCCTTCGGCTCGCTGCGGGAACCTCAGCTTCGATCACCTCGAGCGGGAGATCCGATCCGGGATCGCAGGGGCCTTTCAGGGCGGCGAAACATGGAAATGGAAAGAGAGTTGCTGTTAAAGGAAAACTGGTCTTGCAGGGGGGCTCTTCAGGTTCCATGTTGTTTTTTGGAATGATGCACTCTTACGGATTACTGTGATTTGGAGGAATCATTCGGGGTGTGGAGATTATCCGTAAGGTTTTTGCAAAGAGGAAGGCATTCGGTGACCATGGGTGGGTTAAATCCCTCCGCGTCTCTGGCGAGCGCAAGAGCGCGTGATGGTGACAGCTTTCATTTAATGCTGCTGCACGCCTGCCAGCGTAAGCGAACTCCGGTTGCTGCGTTTGCAAGCGTAGCAGGAGCAGCCACAATGGCTCCAGAGCCCACGCTGCAAGCGAAAGGGCGAAAGGGCGATGCGGTCGCGAAAGCTTCGCAGAGTTTGTTCTCGTGCGATGGCGGTTTGCGCATGGAGCTCTGATCAACCACTTCCCCTAACTCTTGGCCCAGCGAGGGAGGCCCGGCGAACACGGGGGGATTTTCTCCAAACGTCCAGCCCGGCGCCTAAGGCATGAGCCGCCTGCTGCCCGCGCCTTCAAGTCCTTGTCGCAGGCGGGACGAGAAGACGCCACGCTGGGAAAAGGCCCTGCCAAGGAGACATGGGGCACTTGCTCAAAACCCGGGGTGGGGCGGAGTCCCATGGAGCTGAAGTTTTTATACATATATATTTATATATATATATTATTATAGACATATATATCTATTCTACTATTAGGTGGAGTCCTATGGAGCTGAAGGGTGTTTTTATTCTTCTTCTTTTTATGAAAAAGTACTACTTGCTCAAAAAGCCTTTGGTCGATGAAGGTTAGTAAAGGACAATCCCCTTGGCACAAATAGCTGCGGAGATCCGGCGTCTTAATTCTTGAAGCATGGTTCTGGGTAGACCATTTTCATACCGGGTTTGGATTGTGACTCGCATGGGTCTGTGATTTTGGTGTAGTTTGCTCTCTAGTCGTAGGTTTGCAGGGAAACCAGCAGGACAGCCACGATTTTGGGCCACGGATTTGTGTAAGTTAGGCTTTCTCAATGGTATCAGTTGTCATTGTGACTCAAACGCCAAGTGGTTTTTTCCTTCGGACATGGGTCAGGGAGTTGATTCTCTAGATATTGCAAGGGGGGAACCAGGAATACATTGCAACTTACTATGGCTTGCGGTGGGTTTTTTTACAGACCCAGGTTTCCTCAGATTGAGCTAGAACCCCAAGTGCAGGTCTTTGTAATTAGTGTCTTGAGCAGCACAGGATGTCCGGAAGCTGTCGCTAGGGTTGAGCTAGGATGTGTGCAAAGTTGTCACACACTCTCACTACTGTGAAATGTTGATAATTGCTCAAACTCATGGGGTGCATTCCCTTTTGCATGGGTTTGATGATGCAGGTACCCTAAAAACAGGGTGCGTTTTCTCTTCAGCCATTGGGAGTTGGGGATCTTAGAGCGGGGGCAGGAGTTTTGCGCAGGCCATAGTTCACTTGGCCTGTGCTGCTTCCTGCTTTACATCCGTGAGAAGACAGCGTTGATGTTTTTGTTCTCCTCGAATGCGTGGAAAAACACTCTTCAGCCGACAAGGCACCATTCTATGCACCAAAGGCCTGCCCATGGTTGATTCAAGTTTTGTTTTATCCCCAGCCCCCCACCCCCCTCCCCCCCTCGCACTTGCCAGCGCCCCTTCGTAGGACCAAATATGACCTGACAATGCTTCCCATCGGCGCTGAGAAGTTAAACTTATTCTGCTGCATTCGGTCACATATATATATATATATATGAGCCACGGACAAAACACGCGTAGACCACTTTATCAAGACGGGGCACGCTTTTGAGTAACACATCCCAAAACCATGGAAAACGATGAGGTCTCCCCCAAAAACGATGACCCTTAACGAACACACGGCTCTGTAAATACGACACTTGTACTGAGAAGTTGCGATTTTCGAGCTGGAGATGCGGAAGTGTACTTCGCGTACAGCCTAGGCTTGTACTACAAAGCTGCGATTTTCGAGCTGGAGCTGCGGAAGTGTTCTTCGCGTACTAGACTTGTACTACAAAGTTGCGATTTTCGAGCTGGAGCTGCGGAAGTGTACTTCGCGTACTAGACTTGTACTACAAAGTTGCGATTTTCGAGCTGGAGCTGCGGAAGTGTACTTCGCGTACTAGACTTGTACTACAAAGTTGCGATTTTCGAGCTGGAGATGCGGAAGTGTACTTCGTGTACTAGACTTGTACTACAAAGTTGCGATTTTCGAGCTGGAGCTACTTCGCGTACTAGACTTGTACTACAAAGTTGCGATTTTCGAGCTGGAGCTGCGGAAGTGTACTTCGCGTACTAGACTTGTACTACAAAGTTGCGATTTTCGAGCTGGAGATGCGGAAGTGTACTTCGCGTACTAGACTTGTACTACAAAGTTGCGATTTTCGAGCTGGAGCTGCGGAAGTGTACTTCGCGTACTAGACTTGTACTACAAAGTTGCGATTTTCGAGCTGGAGATGCGGAAGTGTACTTCGCGTACTAGACTTGTACTACAAAGTTGCGATTTTCGAGCTGGAGATGCGGAAGTGTACTTCGCGTACTAGACTTGTACTACAAAGTTACGATTTTCGATCTGAAGATGCGGAAGTGTACTTCGCGTACTAGACTTGTACTACAAAGTTGCGATTTTCGAGCTGGAGATGCGGAAGTGTACTTCGCGTACTAGACTTGTACTACAAAGTTGCGATTTTCGAGCTTGCGGAAGTGTAGTTCGATTTTCGAGCTGGAGATGCGGAAGTGTACTTGCGAGACTAGAGTACTACTTCGAGCTTGCGGAAGTGTACGTACTAGACTTGTACTACAAAGTTGCGATTTTCGAGCTGAGATGCGGAAGTGTACTTCGCGTACTAGACTTGTACTACAAAGTTGCGATTTTCGAGCTGGAGATGCGGAAGTGTACTTCGCGTACTAGACTTGTACTACAAAGTTGCGATTTTCGAGCTGGAGATGCGGAAGTGTACTTCGCGTACTAGACTTGTACTACAAAGTTGCGATTTTCGAGCTGGAGCTGCGGAAGTGTACTTCGCGTACTAGACTTGTACTACAAAGTTGCGATTTTCGAGCTGGAGATGCGGAAGTGTACTTCGCGTACTAGACTTGTACTACAAAGTTGCGATTTTCGAGCTGGAGATGCGGAAGTGTACTTCGCGTACTAGACTTGTACTACAAAGTTACGATTTTCGAGCTGAAGATGCGGAAGTGTACTTCGCGTACTAGACTTGTACTACAAAGTTGCGAATTTCGAGCTGGAGATGCGGAAGTGTACTTCGCGTACTAGACTTGTACTACAAAGTTGCGATTTTCGAGCTGGAGCTGCGGAAGTGTACTTCGCGTACTAGACTTGTACTACAAAGTTGCGATTTTCGAGCTGGAGCTGCGGAAGTGTACTTCGCGTACTAGGCTTGTACTACAAAGTTGCGATTTTCGAGCTGGAGATGCGGAAGTGTACTTCGCGTACTAGACTTGTACTACAAAGTTGCGATTTTCGAGCTGGAGCTGCGGAAGTGTACTTCGCGTACTAGACTTGTACTACAAAGTTGCGATTTTCGAGCTGGAGATGCGGAAGTGTACTTCGCGTACTAGACTTGTACTACAAAGTTGCGATTTTCGAGCTGGAGCTGCGGAAGTGTACTTCGCGTACTAGACTTGTACTACAAAGTTGCGATTTTCGAGCTGGAGCTGCGGAAGACTGCGGAAGTGTACTTCGCGTACTAGACTTGTACTACAAAGTTGCGATTTTCGAGCTGGAGCTGCGGAAGTGTACTTCGCGTACTAGACTTGTACTACAAAGTTGCGATTTTCGAGCTGGAGCTGCGGAAGTGTACTTCGCGTACTAGACTTGTACTACAAAGTTACGATTTTCGAGCTGAGATGCGGAAGTGTACTTCGCGTACTAGACTTGTACTACAAAGTTGCGATTTTCGAGCTGGAGATGCGGAAGTGTACTTCGCGTACTAGACTTGTACTACAAAGTTGCGATTTTCGAGCTGGAGCTGCGGAAGTGTACTTCGCGTACTAGACTTGTACTACAAAGTTGCGATTTTCGAGCTGGAGCTGCGGAAGTGTACTTCGCGTACTAGACTTGTACTACAAAGTTGCGATTTTCGAGCTGCAGATGCGGAAGTGTACTTCGCGTACTAGACTTGTACTACAAAGTTGCGATTTTCGAGCTGGAGCTGCGGAAGTGTACTTCGCGTACTAGACTTGCACGACAAAGTTGTGATTTTTGAGCTGGAGATGCGGAAGTGTACTTCGCGTACTAGACTTGTACTGCACAGTTGCGATTTTCGAGCTGGAGATGCGGAAGTGTACTTCGCGTATTAGACTTGTACTGCCTGCCAAGTTTCGCTTTTCGAGCTGGAGCTGCGGAATTGTATTTCGCAATTTTCGGGCTGGAGCTGCGGAAGTGTACTTCGCGTACTAGACTTGTACTACAAAGTTGCGAATTTCGAGCTGGAGCTGCGGAAGTGTACTTCGCGTACTAGACTTGTGCTAGAAAGTTGCGATTTTGGAGCCGGATCTGCCAAAGTTCGAAAACACTGTAAAACGATGAGGTCTCCCCCAAAAACGATGACGTTAAAAAAAGGTACTAAGGCCAAGTAAAGGGTTTCGTCCGCTCCTCATATATATATTATAGTGTTGTTTGCTGTTGTTGATTTTTTTGGCGTATATATCTAGTTCTATTTGTAAACGCATAGAACTGCGCCGATCGAATGCATTTGTTGTTTCTCCAACTTCTGCACTCCTCCAGCTTGGCATTAGACAAAACCCCCTACGGAGTGAGCCGAAAGAGGGACGCCCCAAGGCCACGCGTGGCTCATGAGGCAGTCGAATTCATCGCCGGGTGTCAAATCGTCTAAAGTGACCCACACCCAAACTTCCCCCCAACCCACACCGTACAACACGAGATCCCCATGCGATGAAAAAAAGATGCGGCGCCGCATGCAGCAATCGGGAATCGCGCGAGTTTTTGTTTCTTGGCGCGCAGGGCATCCGTGGCATCGCGAGGGCCCAGGTCATTGTGGACCAAGGCCTGCCCCACAACGTGGACGTCGTGGCGTTGGTGCGACGCATCGCCCGGGGGCACGGGGAAGAGAGAGCCGCCGTTTCGTCCACGTCGCGCGGGATGGCTCATAGACGGGGCTTACCGGTCATTTTGGTGCCATGATGGCAATTGCTTTAGCTTCTTGTCAAGTGGGAACACAGGCACATTTTCCCAAGCTCAAGGTTGAAGATCCAACCAAGTAGTTGTTAAGGATCATTGCTTAAGCTGGTCTTACCTTAGGTAATTAGTCAGATCAACATGGAACCCATCCAAAAAAGGGTGTCTGTGCGCTTGCGTGTTGGTGGATTTGCCTGGTTTGTGTCCGATGCTCTGAGTTGCTCAATGGCGGGTCCTTTGCGCAACATATTCCTCAATCTGCGCATGATGGTTGTGTTCCATGTAAATCAGATGCGAACCTCTGTGTATGACTGGTTGTGTATCATCAAAAGTGACAGGCAGGTCGGCCGGTATCAATGGGGCGTACTACCCCAGAGCCACACTGGCAACGGTACATGGCAGAAGTCCGAGGGAAGCCCAAAACAGCGCCCAACAGTTTGATTGCTTTGCCTTGGGATTGGCAAAAGACATGGGAGCCGACTGCACTGGCGATCAAGATTTCGCCGGCCGCGGGAGCATTTGATCTAGTCCTGTTGATGACGCCAGACAGGCGAAGCGTTGCGGAGTTCATGGATATGGGTTGATTATCCTAGTTCCCCCAGTAGTGCCCTTTTACCCTTTTTGGGGGGAGGGTGACTACAGAACAAAGTTGTTACCCTCCTGGAACCTCCATCGTAGCATAAATTTATGCCTCCCCCCTTGTTCGATACCAAAATTGACTCGACGTAGCACTTTTTGCCTCCCATTCGCTTCCGAGCGCCTTTTGACGATTCGGGCAGAAATCCCATTCGGCCGTGTTTTCTTCTTCCCCATGGTCAAGTTGCCGCCAAAACGGGCGCAAAAATGTGCAAAAAATGTGCAAAACGAGCGCAAATCGGCGCACAAAAGCGCAAACGAGCGCAAATTCAAAAAAATGCTACGAATCGCAGGTAGCAAATTGCATTTGCGCGGATGTCTCGAGCACTTTCTGTTAAAACGAGCGTTTTTTTGAGAAGAACGTGTCACGAGCAAAAATATTTCGTAGCAAAAATTAAGGTAGCAATGGAGGCTCCAGGCTTATTCTAACCTCTCTACTGGAGGACCTAGTATCTCACTTCCTGACTTCCTGAGTTCCTGCATTTTAGGCTTCAGAAGACCGAACAAGTTTGGTTACTTTTGTTGGGCCATCCGCTCGATCGGAAGTGAGTCATTGGGTTCCCAATGTCCAGCGCTCGTCCAGCGATTCGACATCCCCGCCTTGTAAATGGAATTGGAGCGGGGTGACACCTGGAGATCTCCATTTATGGAATTCCATTTTCTCCTTTGTGGGGAAGACTAGAAAAAAGGAATTGAGGGACACCGGGACACCCGGGGGCTTCTGAGAGCACAAGTTTTTGTGCGAGCCCAAGCCAAGGGTTGTAGAGGGCTGGTCGCCAGGTTCCAGGGTTGCTCTGTTGCCCTGTGCCAAGCGGTTGGGGCGCGCATCTCAATTTGCATTTCCACCCTTACTTGCAGGAAGTGCAACATATTTCTGGGGCCTCCAAAACGTGAACTGCCATGAATCGCTCGCGAAGAGAGTCTCAGCCGCGTCTGGCACGTCATTGCCGTGATTTGTTTGCCGGTGCCATTCTTATGGATCCCCGCACATGTATGTCCAAACTGACCACTCCGTGGCATGCGACCTGAAAAAAACACGGGTCCCGAGCCGTTTCTGAGACACCTTCGCAGCTAGGCCTTGACCCTGGCCTTCCCTGACACCTTCCAGAAGGCCTCTTGGCCTGCGCCACACCCAGCTAGGTGCCCTTTACCGCTTCTTTTTTGGGGAGGGTTCCCCTACTAAACTAGACTACAGAAAACAGGGTACCCTTATTCCAACCTCTCGACTGGAGGACCTAGACAGCGAATCATTTAGTGCCACCAACTTGTGTAGAGTTGACTGTCGCACTTTTGGGGGGTATGCAGAGAACCTTTTTCCGAAACTCATAGTCTGCAATCAGCTTGGGAACCGTAGCCTCAACCAGCAGTCTTGTCCATCGCACATGGGCGGTGTCAAGTTCGGCGTGTTGTATCCAGTATCCAAACAAACAAGCTGCCCAGATGCATTTTGAGACAAAGGTGAGCCTGCGCAGGCGTTTGGGGCTTTCTGGCTGTTCCGTGGTGCGTAATTTGCTTTCTGGAGTGGGAATCGATGATTAATTTATGTGTTCTTCTCTGGGGACTCAAGCACCTGGATGCGTTAAATCCTTGATTTGTTCCAGAGGTCTTTACTGTAGCCAGCAGCTAAACGGTGCATGTTTGTTTTTGTGTTTTTCTTCGGCTAGTAGTCGGAAGGCTTGCTCGCTCTCTTAACGGGATCTGACTGCGGGGGTCCTAAAGACAGGAGAGGCTCAAAATCAGGCAGATTACAGTGCAAGTCTCACTTCCCGAGTTCCTGGACCCAATCTAGGTCCCCCAGCTAGGTGCCCTTTTACCGTTTCTGGGGGAGGGTTCCCACACTATTAAAATAGACTACAGAAAAAAAAGGGCACCCTTATCCTAACCTCTCTACTGGAGCACCTAGTAGTAGTTGTTGGGAAGACTACTCTAAGTACGCCAAAGGTTTGGACTTTTTCTGGGCCAACCACTGAGGAAGTCAGAAGCACCATGTTGAACAGCCTCACTTCCAATCATCCTTGCACAATATCCCACCAACTCCTAAGATCCCGGAAAAGAAGATGATAGATTGTTCACCTTCACCACGTTGAAAGCCGATTGACGCGGTTCTATGTTGTTTCCCTTTGGCGATGTCCACATTGGGGCCATGTTTAAGGATGATATTGTTCCCCTTTTTTGGTGACAGTGGTGTGTGTCAAAGGGGCGTAGTTGCAGGGCTGGCCAACCACCTGGATTTCTGGGACTTCGTTACAGGCAACGCAGCTCCTCTTCGAGCGGTTCGCAGAGCCTTGCCCAGAGTCTGGAGAGTCGCTGGCTCAGTCGGCCGGTTATGAACCCATCTGATCAACGTTTGTATGGTTAGGTCCCCCAGTAGTGCCCTGTTACCAACTTTATTGGTTGGGAGGGTGCCCCTACTAAAATAGACTACAGCAAAAAGGGCACCCTTATTCTAACCTGTTTTCTGGAGGACCCAGCAAAGTCTGATCAAGGTTTGTATGGTCGATTTGAGGCCACTGGGGAACCGACTTGATCAAATTCTCGCGGATCACAGGGGGACTCCCTCATGTTCCCATGTCCTTTCGCCTCACGACCATGGCTTGCATACACATGTAGGGGGGGTTCATCCATACCTAGGCCAGACACACTTCGTAAATCAGCAGTGGTACACTAACAGAGCAGGAAATATGGTATTCAGGAGAACACAGTGTTGCACACTGTAGATTGTGGCTGTTTACACATGCCCTCAGATGGCGTGCCATTGGGGGGCGAAATGGATCATACCAGTCCCTGCGGGGGCGCGGCGATTATTTTATTTATTTATTTGGGGGGGAGCGAAACATGGCCAGGATTCAGGTTGCGTGCTCCATGTTTGTTTTTCTTCTTTTTTACAGTGAGTCACGACCATTCTGACAAGGCGTTATTTTTCTTCTCCCTGGCACAATGGGATCAGGTGCATACATTTGGGGTTTCCATGACATTTTCAATTGGCCATGACCGTCGCCTTGACCCCAGTCCCCAGCGCAACTCGTGAGGCGAAGGCTGAGCGTGAAGAACGTGCCAGAGCCGGAAGCCAAGTTCGAATCGCTGGGGGATACAGACGAGCGACGCAATGGATGGGCTGGCGAGGGGCATACAGGCTCAGCCAATCGGCGGTGACAGAAAGCAAAACCGCAAAGCGAAGCCCTCGAAGCCATTCTGACCAGAAACAACAAATGGGGGATCAAATAACCCCCCAAAAAGCGGTGGCCCGGAAAGGATCCTGGGGCACTGGAACATCCCCGAGGAGCCGGGTTGTTGGGTTCTTTCGTGTCACTTGACGTCGTTGGGTGGATTCCTGGGCGGACGGTGGATGTGTTGTTTTTATGGCGAGATTACCCCTGAACAGGGTTCTTGCGTTTATTTTCTGGCGAACTGAACGATTCAGGGTTTGGCCTGTGTGTTTGGCGGTTTTTGAAGATCGTCAATTCAAAGTGAGTGGGTTTCGTTTTGCTGGGGCGATTTTCAGAGGAGAATTGTAGAGCACTGAGGGTCCGATCGAGGGATGATGCCGACAAGAGTGTTGGCTATGTCTTCTGTGTGGCGTATCCAGGGCGAAACCGAGCTCCCTGCTTTGCATGGCAGTCCTTGTTTTCTCGTGCGCCAAGCAACGGAGCATGGTTGCTTGGAAACTCCTTCTGGGTGCACGCGAGGCAAGTCAGGGCTGAGTTCCTGGACGTAGTCACCCTGGGTCGGTATGAGCCATTTTAGTGGTAAACCAAAGTTCATACTTTTTGCCGATCCACTCAGGCCGTGAGTCTAAGGCAAAGCCTGAACTGAGATGAAAGCACAGCATCGCTTAATACCGAGTCGCTTAGGTCAGATTCCCAGCTCGACCTGTGCGATGCACATGCACTGCATCCCTTGGCATCCCTGGTGCTTGTTCATGTATCTCTTGCGGGTCTTGACCCTTTGAGGATTGGTAGTCTCGCTGAATTCAGGTTAATTGAGACCTGAGGTCAATCAGTTGAGAGCGTGTGTCGTGGGAACCTTCGCTGAATCGTGAGTGCAGCTGGACCATTTTCAGGATAGGATTGTTTGATATTGTTTGTCTTGGAATTGACCAAACGCTACTTGATCCTTCAACATTTGAATGTAACTGAGACCGCGCACGACAATCTTCTGACCCTGGCGAGCTCGACGTGGTTTGACTCGTTTTGCAGATCACCCCGAAGTACGTCAGCTCGTGTGGATGACCCTACTTTTTGTTTTGAGCACCTGTTTTGGGTTGGGCCCCCCCCGAAAGGAAAGGCAGAGGTAAACGCTCGCAGGTTTCAGGTGGGACCCGATGCCTTCGCCAGGATCATTTGCCCATCTTCTGGGCGCAGCTGCGGAAACAGGAGCGAGCTTTCGGCGAGGAGTGGGAATTTGAACCCCAGGTAGGGGGAATCCACAAAGACCACCAAACCACCCATCCCTGGAGTCTCCATGACCCCTAGAAAAAGGCGTCAGAACCCTCTAATTGTTTGGGTAATGACCCTTTTATGAAGCGGGTCATAGAGACTCCAGGTTTAGAGGGAAGCTGATGGACCTTAGAAGGTCCTGAGTTCTGGGGCGGTTTCGGAGAAGCTGCTGTATCGGTCTGTTTTCCACTGGTCATGGGAAGTGTCACGGGAACTTTGGAGGTGTTACCAGAACCGTTGGAGGGGTTTCATGTGGAGCTGTCTCAGAGGGTCCCTGGTGTTTGCAAAAGCTCATGTTGCGATATTATGTCGCTTGAAAGCGTGGTCACACGAACAACGAGGAGCACGTACTTGTTGTTGCTTGTTCTTCCATCGAGTTCACAGAAAGCTGAGTTCGTTTGGGCGACAAACAGGTTCAAGGCGCAAAAAGGGGCCAAAGCCGGCCCAAGGCAGCGCACTTCCGCCGCTAACACAGGGAAGAAGTGCCAAAAGGCTGGTCCCAGCGCCCCAAACCACAGCCATCTCTGGCAACTCCCTCACGAAGGGCAACCCCTGTGAAGTAGGACCCCATCAGGTGCAACAACTCGGAGACGTGCAAGTACTTCCATTTGTTCCTAGAGTCTCCATGACCCTTTAAACATGGGTCATTGACCCCATTATTTTGGGTAATGACCCCATTTTTTAAGGGTCATGGAGACTCCAGGTTGATGTTTTTTTTGTGTTGCTCAACAAAACAATCAGTGGTTTATTACCGGGAATCCATGACTACTGTTTTTTGTCCTAGCGGCTTAAGCAAATTAAAGATTGCCAAGCGATTTCCAGAGTCCACGGCCTTATGAGTTCCTTCTTTGCCTGGGGAGAATCGTGCTGCGCAGGATGCGTATTTCGACTGCAAGGCGCGTGCAATGGAAACCACTTCTAGTAGTTTCCATTCGGGTGTGGCCTTTTTTAATGGACCCCAAAACTGCTGGTTGTCCTTTCGGTTCCATTTAAACTCAGCCAAGAGACAGGTTCCCCAATGAACAACGACCTCATTTCGGCTCCTAGTTGCAGACATCCAGCGAAGCCTTTTTCACACAGGTCCGGGTATTCGAGTTGCCACGCGCCAGATGATGCGTGAGACATGAATCTAGCCGTGGTTGGCATATTTCTATCTCGTTCAAAACCTAATCCGCAATGAGACAAGCGGAGTGCGTATTGTTTGGTTGACGGATTAGATCATTCGTTTTGCAGATTGCAGATTATGGGCTTCGTGGGACTTCCTAGTTCCAGCACGAGGTTTTGACCCACATGTTGCAGCGATTAAGAAGACTACCAGCCAGAACCAGTTTACGCTTTGTGATTAGGCCCCGGGATTTCGACTAGCTTTTTGGGAGAGGAGGAACAGGCGTTCTCCGTTTACCCCAGCAAACTCCAAACAAAACAAGACGGTCACAAGACAGTCACTGGGCAAAACATGGAGCAGCGATTTATGCTTTTGCGCGAGCCATGTTAAGAACTGTGGATGTTGGGTTGGATGTCTTGGGTTAGTTTGGAAGGCACTTATAAAACACACACACACACACACGTTTTTTGGGTCAAAGTTCAGGAAGTTTGGCAGTACTATTTTCGGAGGGCAGTGCTACTCTTGAAATGTTTTTGTAGTAGGATCTTCCATCACAAGAACACGACAACCTATCGTATGAGGGCTGAGGCTGAGCCTGTCTCGGCTTGACGGCCGGTCTTTTAAGCACAACCTTAACTTGCTTTTCGCAGACTTGCAGTTGTGTTTTGTTTTGCGTTGGGTAGTGATATTTACAACATGTTTGTTTAAGGGTGCCCGAAGAGCGACCCTATTCGGTAGGTGCCCAAGTTGGCTGCCACAGGCACCCCTCGCATGCTTTTAACATACCTCGCGCAAAAGCATACAGCGATTCGGGTGGACACGTAATCACCCACATCTGCAGGGACGTGTCAACAGGATTACCAAACTTCTGCTCTTGGTAGCTTTCTAACTAGTCAGTTCCAAATAAAAGGAAGCCGCGGAAATGGTGCGCTTTCCTTGTGGTGTTGCCTTATGAAACCTAAAAGGGTGCGTCAGTTCCAAATAAAGAAACCGCGAAAATGGATGGTGGGGTTTCCTTGTGACTTGCCCTCCAAAGACACATATCTGTTGAAGTTCTCTCCTCAGAGTCTCGAAGGCCATGCCAGACTGGATCACCTTGAAGGATGTGGAGGCCCGTGGCGAAGCCAGTTGCAGTCGGGCCGTCGATGTCGCAGGGAAACCAAGGAATTAGGGGGAGCCAAGACCTGAAAGGACCTACATGTGGGACGGTGAAAGCAAGCTTGATCCAAAGTGGTGGTGGGTTTGATCCAAAGTGTTTTAGCTTTATGCGGTTTTTGTGTTTAGTTGGCTGGACCCATTTGTGGACATCGGGTTGGATCATGTTCGACACCTCATAGAGTTTTATATTTGGCACTTAACTTGGGACCAAAGCTCTGCTATTCGCTGGTCAACAGAAATACAGCCCCAGACTTATATGATTTGACAAAGCAAGACACGAGCCATGTCCCAATTATTTTTGCAATTTGTCCAGCCAGGAGTGACAAAAGCAAGGTTTGGCAGCCTGAGTTTGAACTAGCAAGCCACGTTTGGCTGTGAAGAAACCACCGTCCTTTGTTCACGCACAGCCTGAACTTGAACTAGCAAGTCATGTTTGGCTGTGAAGAAACCACAGTCCTTTGTTCACGCACCATGTGGAATGAGGCACGAGCCTTCAGGCCTGGTGAGTTTCTCGCAATGCGTCCTAAGATGTCCTAAGATTGTTGTGCCGGGCACATAGTACGTTTGCACAACTGTGTTCTTTAGCGTCGTCAACAGGCATTGGAACAAGCATTCACTTGTATTCTTCATGTGCACTCACCTTTTGCATTGCAAGGATGTTGTGGAGAAGTATGGCCATCCGCACAATTGCGGATTGGGGGGATTTTATTGAGACACTTGGGCGGTCTTTACATGGGATGACCAGTGGTTGCAAAACCGCTAGAAGATAGTGCCCACTAAATGAGACAAGTTACCCATGCTCAAAACTGGGGCCCTAACTAGAATATTGATCAACTCCCACTTGAACCACTGCCTATTTTTTTGGTTTTGCTCTCGGCTGAACCCATCGCAGGCAGTGCTTCTGAAGGTGCTACGTCGGGTGCGCGACAAGTACTCCAACAGCAAGGCGTGTTTTTGTTTGATCGGACTTGGTTCACTCGTGAAAGAAAGAGCACGCGTTGAGTGGGCTTCGTTCTGCGGATAATTCAAACCGCAAATCATGTTGAGCGTGTGGAGTTGCTCAGTGGTTCTGTGATATGTCCCAGTGGCTTTAAACGTTGTGCAAAGTTTATCATCGAAGCATCTCGGCTTTTGGTGGGAGTACGAGCCCTGCTTTCAGCGACCCGTTTTGTTTTTTTTCCGCTGCAAGATCTCAAGGGAGGTGTCTCCCAAGTGAAGGATCAGAACTGGCTGACTCCGCTGAACGATGAGTCAGAGGTGTCAGCCAAAGGCGATTGAATGAAGCCGAGCGTTCCCACAGCAGCCCCGGCCATCCCCTCGAGCAACACTTGTCGGACAAGTCGCTCCATGCATGCAGAAACACATATACCCTCTCGCCAAGTCACATGGAAGTGCACAAACCCCTTTTTGAAGGTTTGAAGAGGAAAGTCGTCTTTATGGAGGGGTCTGTGCAGCAAACCACGTTAGTCGTGAGGGTACATACATACGCTAGCTCCCCCAGTAGTGCCCTTTCTCACCCTTTTTTGGGGGAGGGTTGCCCTACTAAAATAGACTACAGAAAAAAAGGGTATCACTATTCTAACCATTTGTAACCTCTGTACTGGAGGACCTAGCATATACCCACATGAACATGTGGCTGTGGGTCAAGAATGGGCAGCCAAAATGGAATTCTGGTACATGTAACCAGCGACTAAAACCTGCGGTCCCCTGGTGGTTTAATTTTGACCCACACCCATGTGATTTGCTTACCGCGCAGTGCCATTCAACGGGAGGTGAGCCGAGAGCAATTTGTCACGCAGAACACCAAGAAGTTCGACCAGGCCATTGACCAGGGCTCCTTATATTTCCCTTTTCAAGGTTATTTTAAACACCTTTTTGGCCCATGACAGCTGAGTTTGGTGGGGGTGATGTGTTTTGTGTTTTTTCCGGGAAAATATAGCAGGGCTCCTTAAAAGATACATTTTGCAACCATTTCAAGCATGGCTTTTTCCACCAAAATAAAGGGAAACCACCATTTACCAGGCAATGCTCAGGTGTAGAATGTAAGGATCCGTGTATAGGGAGCCCTGTTGACTCGGGAAGTGCACGTTGCCGGCGGGGGCATATTTCAGGAAGTCCGGGTCTCAAGCCCAGGCCATGGCTGTGGTTGGCAAAACCGTTTTGGGATATCCCAGTTTGGGGTTTTCGGTGCACCACCCATTTTAGAACCTATTTTAGCGGGGATTGGGATGTTCACTAGGGGTACTAGTATGGGAGTTTGGACCCACATTAAGGAGTTTAGTAGTCGGTGACCATCAGGGTAGGTTGCGGTTTGCGACAAAGGAATTTAGAACAACCACCACATGGACATTACATTGATTGTGAAGATCCCCTCGACTTTTTTGTTGAGGTCACTTGGACAAGCCTGGTGGATTTTTTTTGGGCCCCTCAGATGCAGCAGTTCAGCAGCCTTGGCTCGTAGGCTGTAAGCTTCAAGTCATGTTTCGGGCTATTTGAGAAAATCCCCCTTGGTTCAGTTCAGAACCCCCCCCCCAAGAGTCGCATCTAGTAGAATTCAGTTGGGGTTACCCTATTCAATCCTCATGCTTGATCTTAAAAAGCTAAATGCCGATTCGTGGTTCCACTTGCCAGGAGTATGTGATGCAGGACTCCTGTGGAAAGGCGCGGACTTGATGTTAGCCATTGGCTGCCAGTTACGACTGCGTGACCACGCAACTTGCCATAGCACCTGATGGTTGCTGCCCAGTTTCCGTCACCGCCCGATTTTCCATCCGACTCTTGGTCGATTCGCCCATTTCAGCCGCGTTGTCATTACATTCACAACGGAATTGAGCAAGTTGAGCCATGACTTTTCACTTGGCACAACTTGAGCATATGTTTTGCACTACTCAATTTTGAGCAAGTCGCCGAGTGGTTCAGCGTTTACACAACAACTTCCATTTGCTTAAGTTGTTGTTTTCCCCTGTTGGTTTTGAAGGGAATCTATCACTACTGGAAATATTTCTTTCTTTTTTCCAGGGGTCTTCACCAAATGGAAGACAATAGTTTGCCGTTTTTCCATCTCCAACAGCGCATTTTTCCTCCAGGGCTCCTTCGGCGAGTGCTTCTGGGTGTCCCACCGCGGTCCTGGCCTGTCTCACTCGACAGCTGCCCAGTGGTTCGCCCGTTCCCTTTGCTCCAAAGGAATCCCTCGATTTGCGGGATCAAAATGTCCGTGATACTTAGGATGATCATAGTTTGGAAGCCGAAACAAAAAGACAAAAACACATATGTCCCACGAAATACCAAAAGTCATTTGGGGGCCAGGAATGTATACACATCAACCCCCCATTTGGGGTGCCATTGGCTTGTTGGGAGTTTCAACTGAGATGGGCGTACAGACTGCGACAGACCGCGACAGAAATGTTTGCAACAAGGCGGTCTTCATGGAGTGAGTTCATGATCTCGTGGAGTGGTACTTTGCTTTGGTGGAGGTAAGGGAATAAACAAGTTTGATGAAACCACTGTGACCAACTGCACGTTTTTTTTTGTGGGGGGGGCAGGGCGGTCAATTAATCGTCTGCTGTGGCGGGTATGCCTAGGTGGCAATTTCCATGTACACGCGAGGATGAACATGTCCAAACTGCTGCGTCTCCTATCCTGCTTGCTTTATATCATTTGCCCTAGGGCTTTAAACAATCCAGATGTGCAATGACAAGTAGCCAGGCTCTTTGCAATGGCAGGGTGCCATTCTTGTGTGCAGAGTTCTTTGTACATGCCAGCGGACGAAGCTTGCCAGCTCCCTGGAAGGCACTAGAGAAAGCTCGGATCGCAAAACTAAAAGCAACGCAAGGCTGCCCAGAGTCGGAAAGCACATGAGGCAGGAAAAAACGAAGATCTTCTTCACCGTTCATGAGCGCCCAAGAGTGGCAAGTGATGTTTGAAAGGGACATATGGCTGTGGGTCAAGAAAGGGTACCCAAAATGGAACCCTGGTAAATGGAAACACGGACTAAAACCTGCCGTCCAATTCCTGGTGGTTTAATTTTGACCCATACTGTACCCATATGAGGCACCCTGCTAGTGACACTGCATAGCATCGGGCGCCGTAGTCCGGATGGGCCGGAGCTCGCAGAAGTGATCAGCTAAAGCGTGTCACCAATTCCTGGGGTCAACTTGGCAGGGAACTTGACGCAGAATATTCGGTTTACACATGTACGCAATATAGGTACATGTTTCTTGGAATAACAACCGGGACCCCTGTGAGGAAAAGCGCCACACGCCGGTGTTTGGTTTGATTCCTGTATCTCGCATCATCCAAGTACTGGACACTGTCATACTACAAGTAGCGCTGACACTGTCATACTACAAGTAGCGCTGGCACGCCAGGCGTGTCCAAGATGAGACGGGTCTGCAAGCGCATCCTGAAGGAGCGAACCGGATTGAGGCACACAGCATGCTGTTTGACAGGCAGGGGGTGTCAGTTCAATGGCTCAATGATGGCTTTACGTGGCATGAATTGTTAGCCTTCTAAAAGTGAGGTCGCTAATTCATACCGCGAGTCATGTGTTTTTGTGTGTGTTTCCCAATGCCAACGTTGCAGCAACACATGCGCGCACACAAACAGACACACGCACACACCCACGCATGCACGTACGCGCATGAGCACGCGCAAGCTCACGCACAAGCGCACGCTTTAGTGTGTACACGCACCTGGTACATATGCACGTATGGTTATCGTATACTTACACACTCACTGGACAAATTTAAACTGTGCACTATACAGCTCTACCTTAAGTACCATTGAGGTTCATGACAATCATGGCATGTGTTCAAAGGGTATGCACACACAACTATCCAATTGTGTTGCACGGGGGGGGTAGCTACTAGTTATGTCGCACTGTGCGGCACTGGCGCTTGGCTTGCTAAGTTGCTACACGCTTGCCCGCATGCTTTCGAGTCGGAGGGCCTGGCATGCTTTTTCTCAGTTGCCGAAAGCGAATCGAGCTTTTCGCCTTGGAGTGTCTCCATGCTGGTCCATGTTTAGTCGCTCCAAAAGGTGATACAGATAGAAGGAACAGGGGGAGAACATGCTCAAGCAGAAAACGACCATTGCCATTTGTTGAAGGTCCATTATTTGACCACACATTCGCTTCGAGCAGCACCAATGCGCCTTCCTCCAGGAGGAAACCAACGTGCCGGCCGAGGAAGTTCAATCTGAGCTGGAGATTCTTAAGAGACTGGACCATCCCAACGTGCGGAACCTGGAAGTTGCATTCGGGAGCATGGCAGTCAGTTTTGCCAATCAGCCATTTTTGGTGTGGCCCTTGAGGAAATTCATTTGTCGACCACTGTGTGGCCCATTTTTGGGCAAACAAGTTGTGGGCTTTGCAATCGTTAGATGCAACATGATGCAACATGTAATCGGAAAGTGATGGCCGCAAATGTTGCCAGTGGCAAGTTTGACAGTGGGCAAGCAGGCTCAAAAAATCACTTTGAAACCAATAGAAATGTCACACGCTGTTGAAGCCAACAGAGGTAGAGCGCGAGGCATTCGGCTCCCTCGTGCGGTCATTTTGGTCACAGCCGGATCCTGCATCCGATCGACTCCTCTTTTCTGCGATTTGCATGCGAACCGCACGATTTCGCAAAATGCGACTGGGTGTCCTTTTCTAGGGAATGCCCTGAAAAATGTGGTTTGGTTCCCACTAAAAATCACAAACAAAGAGTACCAACTCAAACAAAGACTAGCCACCCAACATGACATCCAGGATCCCAACGCTGTCGCGGATTTGTTGCTGCTCTAGGTGCTGAGAGTCTTCGAGTGGTTCGAGCAGGAAGACAGCTTTTTGCTGGTCCTTGAGGCACGAAAAATCCCTGGGCCCATTGGAACCAGTCCTGGCGCACACTTCAAAAGTAGAAAGGTTGGAGGTTTTTTGTGTTTTGTTTTGCACACGTCTTGTTTCAGCTTCCTTGCAAGTGGTGCTTTTGGTGGTTTGGACGTGGGGTACCTTTCCCTTTTGGGGGCAAAAGGAACTGGGATTCAATTCACATCACCAATCCAATTCACTGATTCTGGGTTACCGGATTGGAATTGTTGTGCGCCGGCCGTCATGGCCTGCCTTGGAGCTTGGGGTCAAGAATCTCTCGCGGGGCAAGAGCTCAAAAAAAGGAACTCCAGGACGTGGGCGTGTCGATGCGTTTTTGAGGGATTCGTTTTTGGGGTGGCTAAACGCGGGAAATCAAGAGGACGCTTACGCTTTTCCTCTCTTTTTTTTGGCCGGGGTGGAGACGAAACAAATGACTCGCCCCTGTGCATTAGGCCTGTGTTGGAAGGGTACCCTCCCTCCAATCATGGAAGCTGACAATCGGAGGGTTTGGGAAGGCGTTTTTCCGTTTCGGGGACAGTTTTATGATTGTTGGAAACAGGGTAACATATGATTCCAGTACATGTTGCCTTGGACTAGCACTATGTTACTTTCAGACTGTAAGACTATGAGCAGGCTTGGTTTAGCATACCCGGGAGACACCAGCATGCAGCGATGCCTAATTTGCTCCGGAGTGTTTGGTTCTAGAAAGCATACAGTATCTCACTTTCTGAGTTCCTAATTTTTTGGGGAAGACCATTTTAGTGGTAAAACAAGCTGCTTGGACTTTTTCTGGCCAATCTCGAAAAGTGAGGTATCTTGCAGGCCCTCAACAGCTGCTGTTCCATGAGCAGCTTGTTTGTGCCCGCCCTGGCCTGACTCCAAGCAAGAGCTCCAAGCTCTAGAAGTTTGTGATTGCAGGTCTCCGTGTGAAGTCTGAGATCCGTGATTGAGTCGGGCTACGGCGACGCACATGGAGTAAGGGCTTGCCACAACCACCCCGACTTTTAATATAACAGTTGGATTTGTTGGGCTTCGTTCGCCGGATTTTTGGCTGGATGGTGCACCACCCCGAAGTGAAGATAGAAGCCGCGCCCAGTCGCAGAAAATTTCCGAAAATCTCTCGCACCTCCCCTCCGCGGCTTTTTTCGAGCGATTCGACCAGTCACCAGCCAGGCGGCGGAGGGCGGAGACCTGCGGCGGCTGCTGCTGAAGGAGCGGCAACAGCACTGCGACTTCCCGGAGGCCGAAGGGGCCCCGCGGCGCGGGATCGATGCGGGACGAGTCGCGGGGAGGTGGACGTGCGGACGTCAGACCAATTTTTGTTGGCGGGTGACGCTGGAGTTCCCGTTTTTTTGTGTTTTTTTTTTTTTTTGCGGGGAGGGGGGGGGGATTTTTTTTGGTTTGGGGGGGCTATCTCTAAGAAAAAACTATACGGGACTGTGCGAAGGACAATTCCTTTCGGGTCCCTTCAAAACCACCTGCCCAAAAAGTAGTGCCCTTCTTTTCCCATGGCTCAGTCTGGGGTGTTGTTTGGTGCCGCTTTCACCAAACAGTTTACAGGGCCAGAAAACCCACCCAGAGGAGGGGTGTCCCCCTGTTGCCGCCTATCCATTTGTTTCTCACAAAATCGGTGTAGAAGGAAATATTGGGAGCCCCGTCAGGGCGGATTGGCATGTTCTTATTGCTTATGTATATTTGGTTGACTTTTCACCCTGGTTTAGGGGGGAAACCAGCAGGGAAGCCACTATGCCGGCTTGGATTTGTTTCTCAAAGTTGCCTTTGGCCGGGGTTTCCCACTTGGTTTTCGCCGTCGAGGGTGTAATGTTCAAGATTCCTTATGTACATTGGCCCATGACCTTATCGGGAGGCTTGGGCTGGGGATAGCTTTCGCCAGGGGTTCGCCTCAGGCCTTCAGCCAGCAAGTCCCGGCCAGCCCCGGTTCGGCCGAAACGCCCCCGGAAAAAAAAGGAACACATATCAACACAAGCTTTCCCGGGCCAAAAGGAAGCCACAATTTCTTTTTGGGTTTTGTTCAGAATAACATAATTAAGACCCCCTAGTGGTAGTCCAGGCTTGCTCGGCTGGGCGGGAATTCAAAACTCGGGTGGGAGTGTCCGTTTTGAGGGTACTTGTTATGGTTTTAAAGCGAAACCCACAGGAAACCCGAATCCAGTTTGGGGGGGTCCCCTAAAACTCACTTCCTGGGTTCCTGGTGTGGCAAGACCACAAATAGAAAGTTCATTTGGTTCGCCAATCAGTGAGAAAAAGATATACCCAGTGAACATTTGCACATCATTGGTTCTTGGTTGGACCAAGCTTGTACTCATGGTTGTATTTTCTGAAAGCTTGTTCGGTTCGGGCGACCCGAAACCGACAAGCCAGTAACGCCAAAACTGGGGTTTCCGACGTTCTGCTTGACGCCGGGGCCAAGGGTGCAACCGATTTTACAAGTGGGTATGTGTGTCAAAATAAGGAGATCCCCAAATGGGTGGTGTCCCTTCGGTTCCCCTCTAAGCCAACCCCAAAAAGGGACATCCCTGAAAATAATTGCACACCACTGAGTTATCTGAGATCTGCGTTGATTCCCCATTCTGTTTGACTATCGTTCTTTTCACAAACCAGCACTTTTTCCCTGCGTGCTTGATGGTTTCCCGAAAAGAAGGATTCCTGGAAAGAATGGGGAAGCTTCCCCTAGAAAAGTGTTCTAGAGGGCCCTTATAAAGCGTCCTTCCTTTTAAAGAAGCCCTTACAAAGGAGCCCTTATAAAATGTAGAGTCTGTAAAACCACCAATTTCCAGAAGCCCAAACACATTGGCCCCAAAATTGTAGAAGAAGCTCCTATTTGACCAAACAATAAAAATGGAGGCAGGATTGGGCTGTCAGGCGCATCCGCATCCGGCGCTGCAAGAAGCCCCGGTGCGCGCTTTGTTAGAGCAGGCGGCAAGGGGGATCTCCAGGTTACATAGACCCCACTCCCTGAAATTTTCGTGGTAAATACAAAACGGACTTTGTTTGGCCTATCTACTCAGTCAGCAAACGAGAGACTGATGGACAAGATAGATTCTGCGGGTTGGTTTATCCCAGGGTTTCCATCCATGCAGGGGGCACCCCTGAAGAAAACAAAAGATGGGTAATGTCCTATTTTCCTAAGCCCCCAATTGAAAACTAATTACCTGGTTGACTGCAATATGTGTTTGGGTTGTTTGACTGGAAGTTAGTTTGTTCTAGGTGTGTTGAGTTGTTTTGATGCAGTCTTTGTTGTGTGGTCCTTCCTTATTTGCTCCTCTTGGCAATCTGACAGTTCCAAGTTTGGTTTCTGTGTTTGTACACTGGAATCCTCAGTCCCCGAGTGCCTGGCCATTTTTTGTTTTTTTGGCAAGATGATGTTAGTGGTGAATAACAAGTTTAGACTTTTCAGCCAATCCACTCGATCGGAAGTGAGCATTTGTTCAAGAGTCATTTGCGGATGCTTCCCCATGCGTTGTTCGGTCGAAGGGTTTTGTGCCGGGACTCCTCTGGATGCGAGTGTTTGTTTGGTGTTCTTTCCGCGGGTTCCCGTTACGCGATGGTTTAAAAGGAAAACAACAAGGAACACACGATTTTGGTTGGGTCCCCCTATTTTCACACCACCAGACTTGTTCTGCTAAATTGCCAGACCGTGTCCAAAGCGATCGCTCAAAGTGAGGCAGCCGCTATTAGGCTCAACGCTACATCTGATGCAAAATGCTAAGGCATTTCCTTTTCTTGTGTTGTCTTTCTCTTAACATGTCTCTGTATATCTGTCTCTTGTTTCTTTATATTTGTCTGTTTATGTTTCTCTTTATCCTTCCCTTGTTTCTCTTTATCCTTCTCTCATTTGCCTCTTTCTTGCCTTTTTGCCATTCCCTTTCATCTCATTTATCTATCTTTCTCATTATCTTCTCTTTCCATGTCTCTTTCTCTTTCTCTTTCGCCTCTCTTTCTTTCCTGGATGCCTATCTGTCGAGAAAATGCTTCTCGTAGATCGCATATGTGTGTTTTCTGTTTCTCCCTCACTCTCTCTCTCTCTCGTTCTCTTGTTCTATCTATTTATCTAGCTATTTGTCTATCTATCTGTTTGTCTGTCTGTCTGTCTATCTGTCGATCTAGCTATCTGTCTATCCATCAGGGCTCCGAGAGCCAGCGCCTGCCACGACTTCTGTACCTGACCTTGCGAAAGCGCTACATGTTAGTTGTTCGTCTGCAGGCGGATAATTATGAAACTTCCACTTGATTCAGAATATTGTTGATTTTCCCCTGTTGGTTTTAAAGGGAACCTATAATTACTTGGTGTTTTTTTGTTGTTTTACTTTTTTCCACTGAACTTAAGCAAATGGAGGGCAAAGGACCGTGTATGCTGCCACGTTTTGCCGTGCGCAGGCCATGCAAGGACTCGCCTACTGCCATTCCACGTCGGGGCCTTAAGCTGACGCCACGGCCGCCCTTGGCTGTGCACTGCGCATGGTGCGGTAGAAGATCAGACAACCAAATGATAAAATGACTTGCTTGACCCATGCATCTGCAGTGGGGAAGAGATCATGAAGCTGAGCAGTACATGTGTAGCTTAGCTGAGACGTTGAAGCCGGCAATACATATCCTTACATCGAGATTACTTTCATGTATGTATATATATATATATATATACACATTGCAGCCACATGCAGGGAGCGAGAGTGAGAGACAGAGGGAGAGCGCATGACGTCACGCGTGGAAGATTTGCAACTTGCTTTGTTTCCCCGTAAGTTGCGTTTTCTTCTCCACACGTATGAACATATACTTCTATATAAGCTTATAATGTGTATATATATATATACAGTATGCATAAGTTCTACGTGTATGTGTATGTGTGTGTGTGTGCGCGTGCACGTGAAGTTGCCGTTTTTGCATACTTGAACAAACGTAATCGGATTGCCGAGAAAGGCCAACTCGCAGATGTTGTACCAATGCCATCAGTGCCTCATTTGAGTGAGCTGTTTGTTTGCGCGGCGTGCCTTGCAGCTGTTCCATTCATTGTTCAAGCCCGCATTTGGGCATGCGTGGTTTGATGCCGAAACGATAGATGGGTGCAGCCGCCGGATCGCAGACGATCGTGATTGTTCTGTCATTCTCCATGGGTCTCACGGAACTTAAAGGCCGTTAAAGGCGCCACTCTTTAAAAGAGTGGCGCCTTTAGGTTCCGAGAGATGACGGGTGCCAGTTTGTTTGGCCATGACCCTTTTCAAAGGGGTGTTGATTGATCTTCACATTTTGCAAGCAGAAGCAGAATGCCAGGAGCACCTGAGGTGTTTCTTGTTCCGGGTATGTGTCAAACCGTGACCCAAAAAAGCAATTGCAACGGTTTTCTTATCCTTCCCTTGAACTCACCAAGCCCTGCGCCTGCAAAGGCTACCTTTCGCTCACTGAAAGATTTTCTCCACGTTCGGAACGGTGCGAGGAACATCATCCACCGCGACATTAAGCCGGCGAACATGCTCTTGGCCTCAGCTCCTTCCTCAGCACCCAGATACTCGGGAGAGGTCAAGGTTGAGATTTTCCTGACGTTGGAATCCTCTTCAAAATGGGAGACCCAATTCTTTGGAGAAACCAAGGGGAAGGTTTCGTTTGGTTTTCACAAACTCAGTGACATGCGTCTGGGTTTTGTGGCTATGGCCTGGATGTGGCTTTCGCGTTGGACTCGGATGTCTACCAGTCAGGCAGTGCCTCGTTGAGTGGCCCACCAGATGCAGAGATTGAGATGGCAGAGCCCCACAGAACATCTAGGTCCCGGGTTCCCCTATTAAAATAAACCACAGAAAAAAGGGTACCGTCAACCTCTCTACTGCAGGACCTTTTGAACTCATCCAGCGGATGGTCCTTTTGGGAGGGACATTGGGAGACTCACGCTTGTTTTCGGCCAGAAAATGTCCTTTTGGGAGGGACGTTGAGACACTCCTGCTATTTGTCTAGCCACAAGAACCTGACCCGGGTATTTTCCCTTGCAAGAACCACAATTTTCTGTGGCCCCTTTGGGATGGCGCAATCCTTTGCTTGCCGGAAGCCTTGACAAGGCCGACATGGCCAAACCTCGCCCAGCTGGCTTGTTGACGGGCATGACGTGCATCGGCGTGGCTTTTGCAGGGAAGAGACGGGAAGGTGGTTGGTGGCATTTAAGCTAAACAGCAAACACTTGGAGAATGCCCTCGCAGAATGAAGCCGTGCCCCGCGCGTGTGACTTGGTTTACTGGATTTGTGAAAGTATAGGGCAGTGCGAGTTGCTGTGACAACATTGTGAGCAACCTGCAGCATGTTGACACAGTGTAGCAAAAAATCCCAGGTAGATACAGACATGTTTTTGCAGTTCTGCGTAGAGGGGTAAGACTCCTTGAGTAGCCTTGGATGGCCATGCTGGTTTTTTAGCAGTTTCCTGGTGAAGTTTCCGGCGAAGTTGTCTTTGAGTTTGAGGTCCCTTTCTGGCAGATCTCCACAGAAATTCCTGGCCATTATTTACAGAACTGTTAAGGTCTTCTAAAGATCAAACACACAGGGCCAGCTCTTAGCGTGCGTCAGCTCGAGGGGACGGAGCTTGGCCCCCACAGTTTGTGCGGCCTCTCACAGTGCTGGGCTTTAATGTGCGTGACAGGGCCCGTAAACCACAAGGATTTTACCGACTCTTGGGAGCTTCCCTCATGAAAGAGCCGTTCATGTTTTTTTATGCCTTACACCTTGGCCTCTAGGCAGTGCCGATGATTGGATGCGGCAGTTCAATTCCTCACTATGGAGATTGGGGGCTAAAGCAAAAGCATTCGCTCTTCTAGGGTTACACGCTCCAGCAGTGCATCACCTAGTGTCTCTTGTTGAGGTTTGAACACCTGTTCAGCCATTGGCTGAGTTTCTTCTGGGAGATGGAAATAAAGGGCACAAATTTAGGGAAGCCCAGCTTTTTCTTGTCTCGAAAAAAAGAGGTTTCGTTGTTTTTTTTTCCGCGCAACCCCCAAAATAATGGTAGCCTTCAAAAAAAGGCCCCGAACGTGAAAAGGGTGGGAAAAATGATACCCGGCCTCAAGGACCCATGGCTCACGGCCTTGGACGAATCCGCGTCGCCCGTCGCCAGGGCTGTTGCTTGCGGATTTCGGGGTGGCGGAGATCTTTCAGGTGCCGAAGTCGTCTCGTTGGTACTCCGATGAAGACATGGAACCCAGAAATGGGGTCCCGCAAAAGGAGATGCCTCTCTACAAATGGTGGGTTGGAACTCGCCTTTTCGGGTTCCTTCCACATTCTTTTTTGGAGGGTTACATATAGAGGCATCTGCTTCCGTGAAGATATTTGGGGAGTTCAACCTAGAAGCTCTAGGTGTTTGTCCCCTTTTGTGCCATGGATCCCAGAAGAGCGGATCCAAACCAGCCAAAGCTTACTCCCTGTCCCGACACAAGACCAGGCCTGGGACATTGCTGAGATGGAGCATTGGGTTTGCGGCGAGAAGTTTGGCATTGGGTACACACGAGCCTGCACAAGCTATGACTGAAGGATCGATACTGGTTCACATGTTTGCGGAAGACCATCCGCAGTGGATACACCAGCAAGACACTGACAACCTGCCTTGTTATGGCAGCTGTGACCAACCGTTTGGCCTCTCTGGTATCCTGTTCTAGGGGCCCTTGGACGTGCGCTGCAATAGGCCTGATATGTGTCCACCCTGTCAATGACTCTCTGCATTGATACTTTTTTTTTGGATACGAACCGTATATGAGCGTGAGTTCAATGTTAGTACCACCAGATCTGGCTCTATGTGTTTTTTTTTGTTTTTCTCTGGGGGGTTGTCCCCCCAAACAAAACTAGAAAGAGGATGGTTTCCCTTTGGGAATACCACAAAAAGTGGTAAGCTCTGTCAAAGCAAGACCCACCCATATATAGTACATGTATGTTGTAGGCCACGTTTGGCACTGGACTTCTATTGCTGGTTGCCCCGGGCCTGTGCCTGTTGGAGGAGCAAGCTTCGAGCGGTGCCATCAAGGGCTCCCTGGCGTGCGCTGGTTCGAATTTCTGGGTTGGTGTCCGATTTGTTCGGTCCCGTTTTCTTCCGGGTCTTTGGACTAGGTCCCCCAATAGTGCCCATTTACCGTTTCTTTTTTGGGGGAGGGTTCCCCTACTAAAATTCACTACAGAAAAAGGGGTACCCTTATTCTAAACTCTCTACTGGAGGACGTAATAGATCAACCTTTCGTGTTTTTGGCGGCTCGATCAAATGATTCCGGTGTGAGTGTTCTGAGTGCTGTTCTGGCTGGATTGGCTTTGGAGCAACTTTGCCGGAGAGCTCTGCTGGGAGTGAGCTTTGCTTTTAGTTCCGGCAATTTTCAATCATCGCGGATCCTCCCAAGTGACATCTGACGCATGTCCTGGTTGTCTAATGTTACGAACGCCTGGGGTGGCTTGTGTGGTTCCAAGAGGGGCAAAACGATGTTAGGCATCACACGTCTGTGCAAGTTCTAACGACGTCACATCTGGTTGTGTTCTTCTTCTTCTTCTTCTTTTCTTTTAGGCGGGGGGGGATTGGTGTGTGTGTGTGTGTTGCGACGTCACCCACGAAGTTGTCTTTTATTCGGATCCGATTCTTCTTTTCGTTTGGCCACTCCTTTTGCTCCTTTTTGCCATAATGCAGGGGTGCTTGGACATAGCCCTTTTGCATACCCCTTGGACAAATGAACCCAAGAGGCCCGCCGGCTCCTTGGGGGCCTTGTTCCCCCCAGGCAAGCAAGGGCGAGTTGGCTCAGGTACATGGCGCCAGAGGTCTTTGCCAACGAGGTGTGCCCTTTGTCGGACGCCGCGGGCTGAGAAAAACTCACTTCCTGAGTTCATGAACTTTAAACTTTTTGGGAAGCCCATCTTAGTGGTAATTATAAAGTTTGATTTTTTTTTGGGCCATCCACTCAGCCAGTGAGAAAAGGCAGCCGCGCAAAAGAGCCGATGCGCAACCGCCCCGGTCAGGTGGGAAGCATGGACTGAAACTAGGTCCCCGCTGGCAGAGGCGATGCGACGGTTCTGAACCCAAAGTCTAATTTTCTAGGTCCCCCAGCGATCGGTGCCCTTCTCTCCCCTTTTGTGGGGGAGGGTTCCCCTACTAAAAATAGACGACTGAAAAAAAAGCCGGGTACCCTTTCTGGAAGCTCTCTACTGGAGGACCTAGGGTATGTTGTGGCGTTTTGTTGAAGAGCATAGTTGAAATGTCGAGAAGCAGAGGCCACTTTTTGTAGCCAGAGCCTTTCCAGACTCTTTTGTTTTTTCGATGTGAAGAAGGTGTTGGTGTTTCTTCGGTTGCACACGTTTGCATCTCCAAGTTGAGAAGGTGCTGTTTTTTTTTTTAGCAGGGTTCTAGGGCAGCAGGGTAGGGAGCGCAAGCCTCACCGAGTTCCCGAATTTCAAGCAGGAGTCATGTGAAAGCGGCTCTTCCCTGTGCCAGGCTTGTCCTGTGAAGCAGGCGAATCAACTGCAAGGTGCCAACTGGACTCAAGACGTATTCAGGCGATTTGCAGATTTGCAGCTTGGAGTGACCTGAGCCTGCAGGCTTGACTTTGTTTGAAGGTCAGGCAGCTTTGCATTTTGAGTGCCCACTGACGCCTTCAGGTTTCAATACATGTGCAGGCCATGCAGTCTTGTCAGCCCATCTGTTTTTGCGTCTTTAAACATGTCTGAGTGTTGTGGACATCTTTGTGTGTGGTTGTGTTGTTGTAGATTGTTTCGTGTTTTGCGCGTTGAAGTTTCCTGAACCTTATTTGTGCAATGTTCTAGGGGTTGATTCGCCCTTCTTTTCCGCCCTCCTTCTTCCGAACACCAGATCCATTTCCCCAGGGTTTTGGCGGTTTTCTAGAAAGATCCGGGTCGCTGGAAAGCATGGACATGGAAGGTGCCCAAACCAGGAATCCACATCCAGTCCCATGGTGGTTCATTTTGACCCAATGGACGCCTTCGCTCGGAAATGTTTTGACACAAAGCCTCAGTTGTTCAGTGGCACCAATTATGTTTTCCCTTTTTTGTTGGTGGCTGCCCCGCTCCTGAGTTCATGAACTTTAAACTTTTTGGGAAGACCATTTAGTTTTGACGTTTTTTTGGCCATCCACTCAGCAAGTGAGGACGGTCCAAGCCCCAAAAAAGGCGAAGGGTTCCCTTTTTTTTCCCGGGGTCACTGAGCTGAGAAGCCGTGGGGCATGGCTCCTCGCCATCGGAGCCCTTGCTCAGGTCTGGGCGATGGGCATCGTGGCCTTCGAGCTGCTCTCGGGGGCCCGGGGGCCCGGGGGCGGGGCCACAAGCCTTGGGCCCGGGGGTTGGGAGGGTTTGTTCGTCTTTTTGAGCGGCGGGTTTTTGGAAGCTGGTCCAGTGGAGAGGGTGGAAGAACCAACTTGTGTTTGTCTATTGTAGTAGGGGAACCCTCCCCCAACAGAGGGGAGAGAAGGGCACTACTGAGTGTTTCTTGGGACGACTTGAGCCACTGGTTCTTGTAGAGGGTAAATAGGAAACCCCTTAGCCACCGAACTACCTGGCTCCAAACCACCAATCAGAGGGAAGCTAGTCCATGGGTGTTTTTTTTGGGTTAGTTTGGTTAAACATAGATGTTTAGATGTCGAAAGGCCACCTTTTTCTTAAGATAATGTCATTTTAGCATTAATCTGGAGGACCGTACTAGTCCACTCTTTAGCCAGGAAAGGTTCGTTGTTGACATCACAAACACGTGCGGCGTTGGAAAATGTGAGCTGAATCTAAACCGGTTCAGGGTTGGAGAACGAGGTGGGAACACCCGACCATTGATTGCTCACATGTTTGTTTTCTCCTGTTGACTGTAAAGGGAATCTATCACTACTGGAAATATGTTGTTGTTTGTTTAGGAGACGTATTCGCAAATGGAAGGTCGTGTTGCTCATGCGTTGCTGCGAGCCTCATAATGACCAAACAGCGTTCGAGTCGGATATTGGTACTGAGTCCTTCGGTTTTCTCTCAGGAACAAACTGTCTTGCCCAGTGGTGCCTTCTTTTTTTTTTTTGGGGGGGGGGGTAAGGGTTCCCCTTTAAACTCAACCAACCAAGAAAGGGTGCCTTTTTTGTTCCCATGGAAATCCACTGGGCATTTGAGAATCAACATGGACACTCGCGGCTCTGGGAAAGATGATGTGCATCTTATGCACACTTCAAACCACAGGCTGCTACCGTAGTATGTGAAACATTCTACGAGTTGCTTGAAAATCGCACCGGCTGCTCTAGTTTGCACAGTCTGCCAACACAGGACCAACAAGAACAGCAGGAAGAATGATAAGAAGAAGACTAATCGCAACATCAACAGCAATCTCAGCAGCAGCGAGAGCAACAGCACCAGCAGCAGAGGCGGCAGCGGCAGCAGAAAGACTGGCAGGCAGGCAGACAGACAGACAGACAGACACAATCAAACACACAAACAAGAGAACAAATACACGAGCAAGCGAGCGAGAAAGGAAGCAAGCACGCAAGCAAGCAAGCAACAGGCAGGCAGGCAGGCAGGCAGACAGACAGACAGACAAACTGAAACAAACAAGCAAACCAACCAACAAAACAAACAAGCAACACAACATGTGATGTTGGTGAAATACCGCATGTGATGTTGGCGTGCTGCTCATTTGCTTGGACAAAAAAGTGCCAGGAGCGGCCTTACAATGCCGAGAACCCCATGGCCATGTGCCGAGTCGATGAAATATGGCTGCTCAAAGAAATGGTAGCATGGCACCTGTGTTTTTTTTGACGTGACTCTTCGATTTTTGAGCCACACCCAAATTGGCAGTTGCAACTCTGGGTAGGGGTTACCCTTTACATTTCGACCCCGAGACTAGAGAGAGAGATCGGCGTCGATGGCGTCGCAAGCTGAAAGTTGAAGGTTGGGCCTAGGCACATGGATGTCCTTTTAAGGTTGGATCCTCCAAATTGGTGGTTGTCCTTTTGGTTTCCCTGACCACCCCACCCCCAAAATGGGTAGCCAAAGAAAGACAACCCAGCTCTGGACCCAAAATCTCCAGACACCCAGTGCCCCTCATCCCGTTATTCCTGCAACACAAGCGGCCCAAATATTGTCCAGTGGCCACTGGGGGTTTGGGAACGAACCCAAGAAAATGGCGCAATGGCCCTGTCTTTGTGACTCCCTGGTTGGCTAAGGGAAGCATTTTTGGTTTCTGGGCCCCCCTTATAGTACTAGGCTGGGTTTAAGGGATGAGCAAACGAGCAGGGGATGAGCATATATCCACTTACCAACGAAACGGAGGATTCCAATCACTCGCCAGACACTCAAACTACTTGAACTGCTGAAACCTGTGGCAATTGAACGACTTGGAGAGCAATATGGATCGAATTCCCTTGAAGGTCAAGTACTGTGTTGCTTTCTCGGGGTAAGTCCATCGTAAGCATCTTATGAAGGACGTGACCGGCAGCCAGCGTGCATCAACCTTGTGTGTACACATGTTTTTTGTTTTCTTGGGGGGAAGGTCGACTAGTCAGAAATCAGCTGGACGGTCGTTCTCGATTTGTTGGTACGTTGCCTTCACATGGTCGATATTTGTTGGCCACTTAGCTGGCTCGGGTTAGACACCTGGAAGTTCTCGACTTGGCTGTGGCTCAAAAAAACGGTACCAAAATGGCTTGCCCTGGAAAGTGGAAACAGGGACCAAAACCTGCCGTTGGCCCCTCCGATCGTTTAATTTTGAGCCACACCCACATACGTCTCTTCGCCAGGTACGTCCAGCTGAGGAAGGCGGAGTGTAACGTGGAGCCGGCGCGGACCCGAGTTGCTGGCTGGTGGATATGCGAGTGGATGGACATGGGTATGGGTCAAAATTAGACCACCAGAAAACACGCAGGTCTTGATCCATGTTTCCATTTACCAGGGCAAGCCATTTTCGGGTTCCCCTATTTTTGACTCGCAGCCACATGGCTTCTTTTTGGCAAGAAAAGGACATGGGAAGGTCGGGATGGAAGACTTGCGAATTTATAGGAGTTTTGTCTTCTTGCGCTCTTGCCCAACCCAAGCTTGCTTTTTTTTCCAAGTGTTTCATAGTTCCATACCGATTTATTGAGATTCTTTGTGCGACCTGTGGGTCAAGCAAACATCAATGATTGTGATTGCGAAATGTGTTGGTATAGCTGGAAGCCCGAACACATAGTTGCTTGCATGTGACTTCGGACAGCATCTAGGTTGTGAATCACTGCCCTTGTCTTGTCGTGGAAAGCTAACGCATTTTACCCTGTTTGCCACTTGCTTAAACGGAGACCCTGTAGTTTCCGTTCATGGGTGTAAAACCGCAGAATTTAGTTTGAAACAGATACGGAGACCTTAGCAGTGCAGTGAGTATTCCCGGGCTTATGTCTTGATGCATGTCCGTGCACACGCAAGAGCGCGTCGACTCGGAAAGATCGCTTGACCAACTCTGCAGAAGGCATCAGAAGGCATCAATGCTCAGCTTCGGCCAGGTCCGAAATGCCGCGTCCGAGGAAGCCGTGCGGGTCCCCACGTTGCAAGTTGCAAGCAGCATGGGTTCGGTGAATCCATCCGAAAACAAATGGAGGAAGACATGATTACACACATGGATGTGCTGTTCCTGCTTTGTTTGTGAAGGTGGCTTTGTGAATTATGTTCATTAACTGCGAACCTGCTCAATGCTTCGCAATGCACTAATGCATGCAATGGATCGTGATACTTGCTGTGGAGAAGTACGGTTGCGAGCAAGGGATGCCGTAGAGCGGTAGAATGCAACTGAGGGTGAACAGGGTGCCCGGTGATTCAAAGCAGCAGTTCCCACTCATACCCTTCTGGGCGAGCGGCGACCCATGGACCATGGTGATTGGTACATCATTGGCAGGAGTCATGCCCAGATAGTTGCTGTTAGAGTTCCTTTGGGCGGAGGTTCAGGTGCAATAGGGCTCGAATTTTGTTTCGGATGGTATGGGGCGACAAGCATAGACACCACGCACTGCTGAACTGAGAGCCAAGCTCCCCACCAAAGTCTCAGATCTGTCGTTGGAACTCACGTTTCAACCGCCAAATGCCAATGATCTCAAGATGCAAGTAGCAAACTCTCATGGATAACCATGTCTAAAGCTTAAATAGCCAGAGTCAGATCGATATCATCACTCGCTATTTATGGAGCGTCGGGTCGAATGCCGAGAAAGCAGACATCCCATCTTGATTCGGAACCCCAATTGCACCCAGCGGAATATTTGCATTTGGACACCGCCCGGATCTACTAGTCCCACAAGGTGATCGGCTTTCATTTCTGCGTGCCATCCGGGGCACCATGGCAGCGCACCGCTTTTTCCTTTTGCCTCTTGGACACAGCCCGCGTCAAGTGGTGAGGCTGCCGTTGGGCTCAAAAGAGCGGGCAACGCGCGGTGGAACTTCGGCGGATGCTTCAGCCATGTCCATCTCTGCGTGAAACTTTTGCTTCAGAGCCGTCCAGTTTTCAGCAGAGAACAAGCCACGAAGTTGCGACTTGAACAAAAAGACCCAGCTGCTCTTTGCAAAGCAAAGCGCGAGAGTTCTTAGCTGTGCGCTTTGTAGCGGATTTGAGCGCTGCCCGAGTGTCTGCCTCAGCAACCGCTCGGGCTCTTGAATATACTAGCAGGATGAAAGTATTGACTGTGATGGTACATGGTGAGCATGGTTGTTGTTGGGAAACAGTTGAAACATTTTTGCTTATTGTGGTTTAGTGGGAAATCCCCACTCAACTGCTAAAATTTAATTTGTTGCTCCCCTTTCAACGTCAACCAAGTGAGAGTGCAACATGAATATTGCCTTAAGTATCAAGCTTCGAAGCCGGCATCATTTTGTTGCGCGTTCGGACCAGTCCACCACTTGAAGCCACAGTCTTCATTTTTCCAAATCGCGAGGGGCAGAAACCCCTGGGCACCTGCCCGCGAGTCCTTGAGAAGCATCATAGTACCTTTCCGCAGATATCACCAATCTGTGAGTGGAATGGGTTTTTGTCCTTTCGTGTCGGCATGGTGAAGATGGAGACTAGATTTGCCAGTTGTGCCCTTTGACCAACTTTTTTGGGGGGAGGGTTCCCCTACTAAAATAGACTACGGAAAAAAGTTGGTACCCTGATTCTAACCTCTCTGCCGGAGGACAGGAGAGATTCATTCCACTGGCTTTAGTTGCTTCCTTTGGAATCCCCCCCAAGATGCACGCTGATTCTTTGTCCAGTGCAGTTCCTTCACTGGTGCTCTGCGTTGCTTCCTTTGCACTTGATCATGCATTTGGCTGTGGGTCAAAACCAATGGTACCATTTTGGGGTAGGTGCACCACCCAGTTGAGTCTATTTTAGTGTGGATTGGGATGTTCACTGGGGGTACTGTACGGGATTTTGACCCATGGCCTTTCAGGGACATCATGTAGGTGGGGCTTCATGTCCACATTGACTGTTTTAATGTTTACTTGCATTCATAGCTCTGCGCAGCGATGCCTCAGGTCGGCCCCGAGCTGGAAGCTAGCATGGGGCCGCTCGCTCAAACGCATGCGTTTGGGCGGGGGGGTTCCTTTCAAATCGGAAAACATCGAGTCCTGTGTGGTTCATGGTGCCCAAATGTTGGGTCAGCAGTTTTTCGGCCACCTTCTGAACATGGTTTTCCCTTTTCCTGGTGGAGTCTGATTTGGCCTTTGGCCTATGTCTTTTGGGCTGTGGTTTAGGCAAGACATCAAGACACTCCTCAGAGGAGTCAAAGCCGCCTCGAGGGATTCGGGATATGATCGAATGTGCCTGTGGCGGGGAAAGACTAGTTGCAACTTCTAGTTTCTCTTTCACTGTGTGGATGGTATTGAAGGAAACCGATAAACCGGTTTTGCACTTGCGTGAGCGACGTTTTTGTGTGTGTGTGTGTGTTGCTCGTGTGCGAGCCTGTTGTGTGTACTTTGTTATGCGTCTGTGTTTCGTCTAGGTGTTTTGTTTGTTTGTGAGTTTTTGTGTTTGTGTGTGTGTGTGTGTTCGTGTGATGTGTGTGTGTGTGTGCGTATGTTGTGCGTGCCTTAAATGTTTTATGTGTTATTTTTTGTTATATGTGTGTGTTTGTTGTGTAAGATTGTTGTGTGTGTGTGTGTATTTTGTGTGCGTGTATGTCGTGTTGTTTTTAGGTTTTTTCTATTGCTTGCCTTTTCTGTGTGTGTTTTGTGATTGCGTTCTTGTTTGTTGTTTTGCGCGCGTCCAATGTGTGTGTGTGTGTCGTTGTGTGTGTTTTGTGTTTGTGTTCCGAGTCCCTGACCAACCATATGCAGGCGGTAGCAGGGCCGAGAGTCCAGCGACTCTCGTGACCCTGGTGAAGCAGTTGGATAAATGCAGTGAGTTCTTTTTTTTCTTTTTTTTTTATAATATATATATATATGTGTTCCTTAATCTTACCCGATTTTCTTTCACCTCGGAAGCCGTGCCTTCTCCAGATCCATTTTGACGCGATTCGTCGATGTGCGCTTGACATGGTCTCGATTTGACTGATCTAGTCCTCGGAAGGGTGGGCATTTGCAGGGAAACCAAAAGGAATCCCATAAGGAATCCCGCACCTGACCTTGGCAGCTGATATTTTTTATTTTATACCAGCCGCAGCCATCCGCACTTTTGACTCTTGACTCCGTTCATCCCTTGAAATCTGGCAAGGCAAGAGAAACGGCCCCACGTTGGCCTTGCCCCTTCTGACGCATTTCCCTTTGCAGCTCGGCACAACTCAGTACTTGGCTCAGGCAGACGGTGGGCACAGAGTCCGGCCTTGACAGTGGGGGGGCCAAATGGCTCGACACGCGAAGGGCAACCGCTCATAGGTTTCATGTTTATGTGAGGTTGGTTGATATGTGCCACAATCAAAACCCGGGTAGATGAAGGTTAGCAAGGGACAGTCCCCTAGCAATAAATAGCTGTGGACATCCGCATTTCTAATTATTTTAAGCATGGTTCTGGGAGTACGACCGAAATTTGATGCCGGGTTTTGAGTATGACTCATATGAGTCTGCGTCAAAGTAGAACGGAAACCCTGGAAATGGGTGGTTGCCCACCGCTTCCCCGGGCACACCCAGACCGGGCAGCGCCCGAAGAAGGCATTGTTAGACTTCGGTGAGCATGTTATGCACCCAAACCCAGAAGTTTCCAGACCAGCCCAAGACAATTGAATCATCTAAGAAATCCTGCAATGATAATCCCCCTGTAAATACCAACAACCAATGCCTTCATATGGTTTCAAAGTGGTTCTGTGGATTTCGTCCATCCACAGTATAAACCAGATTTCTCGAAAGGGATCCTTGGCCTTCTTGAAGATGACTTTCCGTCGATTGTCAGGGGTGCAGACCCTCTTGACTTGTTTGCGGGGATGCCTGCAGGCAGGCAGGCGGATTTGTCCTATCCCTATTGTTCGATAATGAACAGGTCCACATTGCGGGGCTCCTGTTGATGGATTTCCATATTGTCCATGTTGTCTCTTGGCGCGGTAAGGTTTAAACAATTCCTGTTCGGGGTGTATTTGTGATCGTAGCCCCTGTCTGTTGTTTTGGGGGTAAAAGAACGGCACGCCACCGATTTTGGTTCCCTTTTGGTCGACAAAGGCGTAATTCTCACTTCCTGACTTCCCGGGCGTTCGACTTTTTTGGGAAGGCCATTTTTCTGATACGTGTTTTTTTGTGTTTCCTGGTCGTTGTTTCTCCTTATTATTGTTTTTTTTTTTCTTTTTTTTTTCCGGGGAGGTTGGACCACCTTGGAAAGCCAACAACTGGTCTTTGGACTTTGGGTGCAACATGCTTCTCGCAGATGTCATCAAGCGAGCTGAAAGCCGCGTGGGGAAGTTCACCATCAGCCCGCGCCTGAGCGATCTTTGCGGAGATGTCACTCGTTTGCGATCGGTTCGCTTCGAGAGAGATGCAGGGAATGAGTTAAATGGAACCCTGGAGAAAAAACAACTCCTTGTGGTTTGCTTTTTGTAAGGGAACCCTTTGGTTTCATTCCCAACACCCTGGGTCAATCCCCTCTGCGGGGGCACTTTTACCCTCACGTTTGCCTATGTGCTCGTTGTGCGACGGCATTTCACGAGCTCACCAGGATTTGCCGATTCTTTTCTTGGTGTTGGAATTATTGCACTTGGCTCCCCTTCCCCTTAAGGGGACCAAGTTGTCTGGTTTAACCCGTGGTGTTCACCTGATTTTTGCAGAGCTCCCTCAAGTTTTCTTGCTTGCTAAGTCGCGGCCGAAAGAACATGTAGATGGATTGGAACATGCTGCTGATATATGTTGGTGCGCATAATAAGCATATTATACATAATATATATGTATATATTATGCATGGGCATGGTGTGACTAAACAAACGCCAGTAGATGAAGGAGGTGTACTTTACCAATGCTGGCAGTGGACATTCCTGCAATCTCAAAGAGAGGAAGCGTGCCGGCGGTGCCCAGTGCATTCAGCAAGGGGCACCAATCTTTATCGGCCTTGGCTTTAATTTTTCCCAGGCCCAGTGTCGTTGGAGTTTCACGGTTTCGATCTCCCACTAGGCCCCCCAGTAGTGCCCTTATTCTAACCTCTGTACTGGAGGACTAGCCCATTCTTCAATGCTGCTTCTGATCAGGCACATCAAAGCTGGCTAAACACCGCGGCAACATCCAAACACCAATATGATTCCCCACGAAGACGCACATCAAATCTGGCCATTTCGCGAACGTGATGCTCAGTTGCCCAAAGCCGACCTTTTGACCTTTGGGTTTCCCCTTGTCTATTTCTGGGTCCCACCGCGGGCAACTGAGGAGAGCCTACTGAGTATTCCCTAGAAGCCCAGGATCCTGCCACTGCTGTGAAAGCAGTTAAGGTCTGGCCTATTGCATACATGCGTATGTGGCGCGGCAGCCAGATGGCAACTTGCCAAAGCCGACAAAGACCTGTGCCAAGAACCTGTTGATTTCCAGTTCCATGTTGCATGAGTCTAGGGCTTGAAACCCCCAAGGGCCTCAAAGAGTGAGGTCTTGGGCTCCGAGGGATTGGTTTTCACAGAAGCAACCCCCCCCCCCTGAAAACCCCTCCCCAAACAACTAAGCATTTTACATGTAGGACATACAAGAAATAAGGCTTCTTGGTGTCCAAGCCGCCTTCTTCTGGCCGAACATTCCCGGATTCCACGCTTTTTTTCGTCGGAAAAAAAACACACACACAAAACCTTCTTCAGGCGGGCGGTACCACCGGAAGCCCAGGAAGATGGAGGCGGGGCGTCTGACTCGTGAAACCGAAGACTAAAAATGGCCGTGGGGCAAAACTACCTGGAGTCTCCTTCTGACCCTTAAAAAATGGTTGGTCAGTACCCAAAATAAGGGGGTCAATGACCCATTTTTAAAGGGTCATGGAGACTCTAGGTGCCCCAAATGGCTTGCAGTAAGTGGAAGCATGGACGATTCAACCTGCGTGTTTTTTTTTGAGGTGGTTTTTTAATTTCACAACCAATGGAATGAATCTTACTTTGGGGGTAGGTGGATTCGCCACCCATTTTAGAACCTATTTTAGTGGGGATTGGGATGTTCATTGGGGGTATGGCATTTTGACCCATGGCCAAATCGTGTTCCTCCTGCTTTCTTTTTTTAACCCCTGTGTTAACGAATCATATTTTAGCTTGTTCTTTTTTGTTGCCCGTTGTTCCTTCCGGGGGGTGCCTTCGAATTCCATTCTTTCCAGGGATCCGGATCTTTCTAGAACACCTCCGGAAACACGGGGAAAACTCATCCGGTTTTTGGAAAGAACGACGGTTTTAAAGAATGTGAACTTGGAATGTGAGCACTACCCTCTTTCCAACAATCGGAAGTGGTCATAGTCTCACAGTATGGAAGTAACATAGTACTAGTCCAAGTGAAGCAATACTTACTGGAATCATATGTTACGCTCTCTGCAACAAAAACGAAGAAGTGAACAGAGGGGCGTCCCCAAAAGGAGCCCCATAGTCTTCCAAAACCCTCCGATGGTCAGCTTCCATGATTGGAGGGAGGTAAACAGATCGCAGCTTTTCGGGTGGAAAGTGTACCACATCGGCTCGTTTTGCTTTTCCTGAGTTTGTATATTGTTTGTGAATTTCTAGGTGGAACCAAAAGGAAACCCACTTCTTTTGTTTGTTTGTTGGGGGGAGGACCCTAAAATATTACCCACATAACGTTTCAAGTTTCAATCATGAAACTTCATTTCCGATACAAGACACCACGTGGCAGCTGTGTACGGCAGCACGTGAACTTGGGGTGAGTGTGCTTTGCCTCTGTACATGTGCATCGCTTTTCTGATCCAGTTTCCTTGTGCGTCGTTGCCTGCGCTGGCAAGTGCCAGGATGACTATATCATCCTCAAGAAAAACGTGTTGGGATCCGGCTACAACGGGAAGGCCGGCGCTAGGGAGAAGGGTCAAGAGCGACAACCATTATTGCTTTGAGCGAAACAAAGCGGCGATACGCACACGACCGAAGGGTTGGAGCGAAACCGACTAACGTGAAGCCCCTGAGGACACATGCTCTAAGGACTTTGGCGCTCAATGGAAGCCCAATTTCTGAGCCGGGATGGTGATGTAGGTGCGCTTGTATGAATCGTGACTCTTTTTGCTTACAAAACGTTAAGTACTTGGCACTGGTCCCAAACCGTCAAAGACAGACACATTGTAAACATCATAGCTGGGCCAATCACTTCAACCTTTTCCATCTCGAAATCCAACCATGCCTTGCAACCTGAGGGTGTGACGACTCAGTGACGACAGGCTTGAATCCTGGCTAGTTATGGCCCCTTTTTTTGTGTCCTTGGTGGGCGCTTTTCCGTTTGGGTCAAAGGCTCCCTTGTCTCTTGACTGCTATTGGGTTGGATCTTTAGACTTTCACTTTTGGGAAAATCAAGGCGTTTTCCACTAAACCCCCAAAAGTTATTTCTTTTGCCGGCGGGTCAACACCAACCAAGATCTTGCAGGTCTATGAAGCCAGGGGAAGAACTGGCGGCGGTACGTGCTTACCTCGGAGTGGCATGGGGATTATTTTCATGGAATTTGTGAGGAGTTGTGGAGGACGATGCCCACCGTGTTTTTCTTTCATTCGGTCACTTGCTTGTTTAAGACAAACATAAAAAAGAAAAAAAGGAAAACAAACCGACAAAAAACAATCAACTAGGTTTGTTCTTTTGGTAGACCTAAACAGTGTGACAACACAAGTCATGCTTGGACCAGTTGAGCTGTCCATAAGGCCAGCAAGGCCCCGCGGGTGATCGGGCCACCCGTAGGATCTCTTTCGGTTTTCGCGTGGGTGGTTGGTTGATAACGGTACCCAGTGACTTGGCGGTTGTATGGATTTTTGACCCATGGCCGTATATTCCTGGGGGCTGGGGAGGAGGGCGGGGAGGGAGGGCCTAAATAGGATTCAAATAAGGTCCTTTTCAGGCATTAATAAGGGCTTTGGGCTCCCTCCCTCCCCGCCAGCCCCCATGATATATTTTTCAAAATGGGGGGGGAGGGGGCCGAAAAGTTCAGTGGTTTCCTCACGGTTTTCCTTTAAACCAACCGTCAAAAAGGGCACCCTTAAAAAAACACACCCATATTTTGAGGTTTATGAAGCAACCAAATCTGGTTGCGTTGACTATCGGCAAACCGTGCAACCTATGCTTGAAGACAATTAGATCCAAGTGTTCTCACAGAGGAACGGGGGGGGGTCAGTGCGCAAGAGAGTGATACATGGGTTTGTCTCCAAATAGGGGTTAACCCAAAATGGATCGTTTTCCCTTGGTTTCGCTTTGCACCAGACTCAAAAAGGGCACCCTGCAAAAAAAACAACACACCCATATGATCCAGAGAATTGTTGGGTCCAGTTGAGCACACTGGCAACCAAGAACTCGTAACGGCCCCAAGGACAGGAAGCGGGCCAAGTATTCGCCACTCACGCACGCCTGCCTCGCTCGCGCACACTACATACACTGACGCGCTGGCCTGTTTTTTGAGGGTACCTGGAGTCTCATGGAAACACAAGCAGGGGGGTCTTTTTGCCACCTTTTGCGGAAAATTGTTCGACCCCCTCGCAGTGAAGGATTCCTTCTTAAGGGGGTCGTCAATTTTCTCATAAAAGGTGGCAAAAAGACCCCCTGAACACAAGCGCGAAGAGGGAAGCCAGCTGCCAGCTGCCAGCTGAGGTATGCCGTGAAGGGCTTTAAGCTCGTAGGGGTGCCAAAAGAGAAGAAGGCGCGCCGGATGGGAGCGGCTTCAAAGTTGTCGGTTGGAGGGGGGGCTATTGATACTGTGGATGTACCAAATCCTGCACCACTTTGAATCCATGGGAAAGCGTTGTTTGCTGGTTCATCATTCCAGGGATTCTTAGGTAGTGCATAATTTCGTCCATCCACATTTCCGGCCTGAAATCGGTTTGCCCTTGAGAAGACTTTGCGCATCTTATAGTCACGTTCTTTTTGAGAATCGAGAGGGGTGATTGCAGCAATGAATGCAATGTTCAATGAGGTACTGAACGTTGGCAACGATTCGAGTTCGGTCACCGCATCAATCTACGGGTTCCAAGACAGATTCAAATATTGTTTTTTGTATGGGTGTGGCTCCTTTCTTCAACCAGAGGGAACCCCACTTCTTGGATACACAGTAAATTGTAGCCCGCTCAGATAAAAGCGCCCACAGTCTGCTGGCATTAAGGAGGTTGTTGCAGGCTGTCTCAGGCAGCAAAGTTCAGTTGCCAGCATTCAAAGAGCAAGCTTGCAGGCAGGAATAATATGATTAGCTTAGTCGCTTGCAGGAGGAGCTAGAGGCCGAGTGCGAGATATTTCTGGTCTGCGCCTGAGAGTGGAAAGTGTTCTCATGGGCCCATCGATGTGTGTCATGAGACGCGGTTCGGGATGCACTTGTTTGAAGGCAAACCAGCTTGAATGATAATCCGTACGTTTGTTAAAAAGCAATCATGGTTGGCTGAATGCGTGAGTTGCCGTTTGCCAACTACCTCGGCATACCTCGGCCTCACATGGCAGAAGAAACAGGAGAAAGAGTTGATGTGTGGTTCTCAATTGTCCACTAATGTTGGGACATCTTCAATGGACTGCCTTGAAAGCGGGATCTACACGACTGGCGGGCCCTAATTCGGCCAATAACCAGCGGAACTTCTGAACAATGTCCCAATTCAAGCGCGTTGTTGAATCAAGCGCGTTATTGAAGGAAGCAGCAACTTGGGTCCAAACACAATGTCACAGAAAAACATCCCGAGTTTGTTGCGTCCACACACTGTTTGCTGCTTTTGCAGATCACTTGATGCCCCAGAGGCAGGACTTGCCACATCCGCAGACAGCATCTTTTGCGGAACTCCAATGAACACTTGCTAGTGCTGAGGAGGGAATGAGGGAATGACCCTTTTAAACCATCCCTTGTGGTTTCCTTGAAGGGAATTGTTGGGTTCATTCCCGTATTCCCTACTTATAACACCAGCAAGAACATTGATGCTAAATAATCTAAGAAGCTTGCAGCACCTAAACCAGAGGCAGCGCAAGACCACATGTTTGGAGACGCAAACATCGATGGCAGCGAGTCATTCCTTCCTAAATAAGACAGCCCCAAAGAAACATATTCACCTTAGGACTGCAGGGGCCAGGCATGGCCTGTCTTTTTGGTTCCAAAAGCAACCACTTTTCAGGCATTCCTCAATTGGCGCTTTGGATTGGTTTGGATATTTGGACTTGAAACCATTCTTGTAGAGGGTCACTGGGAAAGCACCCCCCCAACCCACCATTTCAAGGTCCTCCAGTGCAGAGGTTAGAACAAGGGTACCAACCTTTTTTCTTATGTCTATTTTAGTGGAAGTTCTCCTGACGTGCTTAGGGCATGGACCATCCTCACGTTTGGGCCTCGGGTGCGTGTCGCCGCGCGGCGGGTCGGTGTGTCGGATGGCCTTCACTCACACGAATACGGTGCAGTCCGAAGAAAAGAGATGGGTGGATTCTATTCATGCTTGCTTTTTCCACTAAACAGTTGCCCAGTGGTGCTCTGTTTTCCTTTTTTTGGGGTAAGGGTTCCCCTTTAAACTCAACCAACAAGAAAAGGGTGCCCCTTTTTCCCCATGGCCACTGGGCATCTGAGCGCTAAACAGTTCGTTCCCTTTGGCAGGGCCAAGGTTTCGTGGGGAAATATAGGGAACCCAGTCACACCAAGGGAAAGTAGATGGCGCAATTCCTTGTAGTGGGCAGAGTGGATGAAACCAACATGGGAAACTGCTCCGTATACTTTCACCCAAACCGTACCACTCTAGTTAGCAAGCAGGTGGTTTTACCTCCAGGTTTCACATGGGAGCAGGAGGGCTGGCCTCTTGAACCCTCCGCAGCAGGGAGTTGCTAACATCGAAGGCCACTTGCAGCTCGAAATGCTGACCTTTGCATCACGGCCTTTCGGACTGGGGTTGCTAGGGAGGTCAGGGACGCAGGGACGTAGACACAGTATGACACCTATCACACCTGGAACAAGAAACGCTCTGAGGCCATAATCTGGACCCTCAAACTATACCAGTAAAAAGGGGGGAATTTACACAGATTTTGTGGCAAGAGCCCATGTTGAAAGGGACATTTGAGAGTCCAGGTGGTCCTTTGGTTCAAAGTGCCGCACAGAATTCAGGTGGCGAGGTTGGTCGATGTCTATGAGTCAGAGGCGCGATCGTTGGACAAGCGGGCACAGAGACATGTATGCTTCCATTTGCTGAAATGATGTTACAGGGCACTTATTGCTGCTGGACATTTGTTTTTCAGGGGAACTTCAGCAAATGGAGCTATGGCGTCACAAATTTTCAATCGCTGTTGGGCGTTTGCAATCTCCAAAAAGCTCACGTCACTTTACACTCTGGTGCTCAGCAGGTTGCTCATGTTTTGGAGTTGCGCCCTTCGTATGCCGCGCGGATGCCGCAGTGCGCGATTTCACCCTCTCAAACCTGTGGTACCGAAGGCTTCTTCTGGTCTAAAGGGGGGTTTCTCCGAAAATACCAAGAAACAGGTTCCCCTTTTCATCTTCCTTTGGAGACAAGGGAGTTCCCCCCCCCGGTAGAACAAGGCAGTTACTTGGCCCTTTTTCCGTTTTGAGGCCTTGTCTCCTTGCGACTCTCAGAGCTTTCTTTGGTTGACCGTGGTGGAATAACTGCTAGAGACCATCATCGGCCTGGTGTGGAGCTTACCACACCTGCCACACCTAGGTTTCCCCAGGTCAGGTAATTGCTAGCAGCCAGGTGATTGAATAAGAATCGAATTTCCCGACTTACCATCATAAGCTTTGTTTGAGGGCTATCCATCATAAGAATGGAGCATGCTATCAAGATGGTTAGCAATCGTTTTTGATGGCACCATCAAACCGCCATTTCCAGTCTCGCATGACATGAACACTTGAGCCATTTCAGGGAGTGACAGGATTTCTTCCAGTCCTTCGGAGGAAAGCACGAAAGCTGTCCCATGGACCTGGCAAAAATGGGGTGACCCAAAAGAACGGGTTCACGGCCCCACCCACTAGTCCATTAACCCATATACTAGCTCCCCCAGTAGTGCCCTTTTTCACCCCTTTTTGCGGGGGAGGGTTCTCTGCTAAAATAGACTACAGAAAAAAGTTGGTACCAACTTATTCTAGCCTCTCTACTGGAGGACCTAGTATAGGTATCCAAGGGAATCACCCTTTCAAAGCCAAAAGACACATGGTTGCTTAGCTATACCTGGAGTTTCGATGACCGAATCAAAAATGGGTCAATGACCAACCATGATTTTGGGTAATGACCAACCATTTTTTAAGGGCAAGCGCTGTTCGTCCCAGGAGCAGCTGGCCCTCGTCATGGAGTGCATGTGCCAGCAGCCGCGCTTACGGCTGAATCTATTTGCCCAGACCTGTGGCTTTCTTTCTTGAACCACTTTGTTTGAGGGTCCTTCTAAAATCGGCCACAAAATCAAAGAGTGGCAATTTGTTGGGTTCGATGGCCGGAGGCAAATCTGAAATGCCATGTGTTTGTTTTTCCATTCGCTCCTTTCCCAGAGCCTTTTGACACATAGGCTTCAGAAATCCCCCCCCCCAACCTGGAGTTTGTAGAGACATAATCATCCCCAGTGAATTCCCTTGCCCGCTATAGGTAGCCAACTATTTGTTCCTTTGGTTTTTTAAGGGTGATTTTTTTGGTTACCATGGGGAAATGGAATCACTGGGATATCGACAACAGCCTTTGCAGACTCTTGAGTCCTTGTTTCTTGCTGGTTCTTGGCAGGGAATGAGGGAATGACCCCTTTACACAGTTTTCTATGACTTCCTTCAAGGCCATCGGCCTCCTTGCGTGCTTGGCCCGCCACAAAGTCCCATCGCATCTCCGTCCTGCCCGTGGTGCCGGCGCAGGTATGCGTGCAAGTTGTGACTTGTCTTCAGCCAGGCCCAGTAACTGCCCAAATGCCTTGACTCGTGCCATCGCCGAGTGCCTTGTTCCACTCACGCTGCAATTGCATCGCACCCCAGCCTCCTGTGACTTTGCTCGCATTCGTGCGCTGCTGCCCACAAGTAGTCACTATGCGTAGGCCCTGTTTTCGGCTGCTGTGTGGGCAGCCCAGTAATTCGTTTCGCTCTGCAAGGACAAGACACAGACATGGAGTCTTTTGCGCCAGACATTCGTTCCCTACTGAGCAAAAGCTAGTTTTCGAGAATGCGTAACTTGGATTTGGTTGTGGCCAGGTCTGGCGGTGAGCTCTTTGCACGAGTGCAGAAGCTGCCTGGCCGTTTTCCTGTGGTGGGATACACGTGGGTGGACTGTGTGAAGGTCGCGTGCTCGTTTTTGAGGTGGTACATGCAGTTCAAACGAGCACCCATGTGAGGGGTCCCGGTTTTTGTTTGACACTCCCAAGTCAGGAGGGTATGCAAGGATCAAGAAGGCCACGCAATTTGTGTTGGCCTTTGGCTTTGCTGTTGGCCTTTGGCTTTGGCATTGACCTTTGGCTTTGATCATTTCTTGCCCTACGTAGTTGTAATGAAAACACAAGATTGCAAATGCACTGCTTCACAGTAAATGGTGTGTTGACGACGCTAATCCATTTGCCATACGCCCTGCTTGAACTATGGCATGCGCACAGGCTGCGAATTTGGTGATTTCTCTGTTTTTTTGTTCGAGACATGTCCACACTTCCCATGTGTTGGCATTATCGATTTGCTTTAAACATAACTAGGTCCCATTGGGCCCTCTTTTGGGGGGAGGGTTGCCCTACCAAAAATTAACTCAAGAAACAAGTCGGCACCCTTGTTCCAACCTCTCCACTGGATGCCGCATTTCCCGCGTTCGGAATTGCTTGAGGCCTTTTCTTCCGGGAACTCCTGATCCTAATGGACTTCTGGTTCGCCGGGACTGAAATTACGCAATATATCTACAGGGTTTCCTTCACTACATGCCACTGTTTTGTTCTTTCTAAGGGTACGTTTTTTGGTTTTGGTGAAATGTTGGAAGGGAAGTTTAAAGGGAAACCTATGATTTTGGGCTTGCCTAAAAATCCAGCCCGTACGGATTGGATTCAAGACGTGCTGTTTTGTTTTTGGTGAACATCGACACAGGTTTGCCTGGGATGTCGGCAGGGGCTCAATTGTAACCTCTGTGATCAAGGGCTTTGGATGAACCCCGCCTATCCCTTGTGCATGTTTGCACTTCCAGGGATAGGCGCTTTGGCATGCGGCCGGTGACTTCGCTCGCAGGTTGCTGCTGCGTGTTTTTTTGTTGGTGAGCTTACGGGGAGCAACACCTTACTTCCTGAGTTCTGTTTCGGACTTTAGTCACTCTTTGGGGTTGGACTATTTTGGTGGTAAGCGACAGGGTTGGACTTTTGAATCCCATTCAGGAAGTGAGAAACGGCCCCTTTCTTTGGATCGAGGTTGATCGATTTTCTCTGGGTGCCTTGAGGTTATCAAATCAACAGAGACACTTGCATTTGAGACAGCGGCCATTGCTTCGTTCATCACTCACGGCTGTGAAACCTCAAGGATTGCATCTGGCTTCTGACAAATGGCTGCGGGTCAAAAAATAGGTACCCAAAATGGAACCCTTGTAAATGGAAACTTGGACTAAAGCCTTTGGTGCTCTGGTTGTTTAATTTTGACCCGTACCCAAATGCTCTTTCAGCAAGCCTGTTGCTCTGAGCAAAACATCTTTCATAGAGCACGCGTGCATGCATTGACGTCGGAGCAGCAAAGTTGCCCTAGTGGATCCAGCAGTGATCCAGCTGCCACTATAGCAGGTTGTCATTATGTACATATTTCTATTACATGAGTATCCATATATATATATATATTATACACCCATATATGTATATATATATATATATACTTACCCCAAGTTCCTACGGCGGTTTCCGTTGCATGAGGCAAGTTGACTGGATTCACCTTTTTCACATCTACGGTCGTCGTCTCATGCGGCCTAGGGACTCTAAGCTTTGTCAGAATCGAACTCGAAAGTCGCGGTTCAAAGGTGCCTTGGGCGGTTCAAAGGTTGGAGCTTCCGTGACCCCCCCAACACATGGGGTGACCCAAAAGAATGGGTGACCCCGGCCCCCACTAGCTCCATTTACTCAGAAAAAGCGGCCGGTCCCCCAGTGCCCTTTCTCATCGTTTCTTTTTTGGGGGAGATTCGGTTCCCCTAAAATAGACAAAAAAGAAACAAGCTGGTACCCTTATTCTAACCTCTCAAATCTGGAGGACCTAGCTTGGATTACGGCAGGGGACCCTTGGTAGTGGCTTCCCTTTAGGCATTATGGATTGGGATTGGCCAACCCGCCATTTACGACAGCCCAGATAAATTAAGGCACCCCCCCAAAATAGTAGGTGTCCTTTTGGCTTTTGGTTTCCCTTTGAACCAAACCAAACATGGATTACCCCAAAAAGACATCCCCTACTGAATTAACATTTGGGTCGATTGAAGGGGCTGTGTCCCCCCAATGGGTGGGGATCCTTCATGTTTTGGATCAGGGGTGCTTTCTTTGAGCCGTAGGCTAAAGCGCTTCACAGAGCAAGCTGCTGCGGATGCGGTTCTCGCCTAAGTGTCAGAGGCACCAACTCCCTGCAAGACACAAAGCGGAGTTTGAAGGGCAGAAGATGCACAAATTCCCGGAACAAAATGGATATCGCACCCGAACTTTACCAACTCAAGGAAACAGCACCATCTACTTGTACTCAAATGTAGCCACCATCTTTGAAAGCCGGTTCTTTTCGGCCACTTCGACCTTCACATGTTGTTTGTTGCTGAAGTGGGCGGTCATGGACCCCAGGGAATGAGACATCCATAAGGGTCTGGGGTCCTATTCTGACATTTTTGTTTCCTCACTTCCTGAGTTCCTGGACTTTAAACTAAAAATAGGAAGCCATGTTTAATGGAAAAGAAAAAGTTCAGACATTTTTTGGCCAATCCACTCCGGGAGTGAGGCAAGGGTGCGGTGTTTTTTTGGAGTGGCGTCACGCATTAAACAAGGTCGCATGTTCAAAGTGGTTCTTAGACCTATTCTTTAACAAAGGGTCACCAGATGAGGTTCGTGCTTTTTGGGAGGCCCATTCTAAAAGCTGCTGCACAACGAGGCCTATCAGATGCTGCTGGCATTGAACTACATCCACAGCATCGGCGTTGTGCACCGCGATATCAAGCGACTCGGTTCGTGGGCCAGAGAAAAAGGTAGCTCACAAGCTTTCGGACCAACGATGCAGAACATATTGTGTCTCTATTGTTTGGTTTCTTGCTGTTTTGGGTTGGTTTCAACCGAGTCTGTGTGGTTTCTCCCTGTTTTTGGGTTTGCTTCAACGCGTTGAAACCGGCGAAAGAACATTTGTTCGAGTCGAGACAGAAAACCTCTGCCTTTCTGCCTTTCAGCCCAGGCTAGAGAACTTTTTGTATGAGAAGCAGGATAGCAATTTCCTGAAGCTCATCGACTTTGGCGCAGCCGGCCGAGTTTGATTTTTTGGTGAGCGAGCTTCGTTTCATAGCACCTCAGTGATGATTCCTGGATCTGTGGGTTCTCCAAAAAGGAATTGGTCCTATAAAATAGGTGGGTCTTCTTTTGACCTCCCTTTAACTACCAAAAGGGTCCTTTTTCAGAAGCTCCTGTGTGTCTCTGAAAAACCCTGCCTGCCGGAGCCCCAACGCAAGGCAACTTGATGCAAATGCGTGAAGTTGAAGGGATCAGCAAGGCATGACTAAGCTGACGTAAGATTCCTTGAGAGTTCGAAGTTCGCCTCATTTGTGTGAGTTCTTTGGCTGTAATTACATACTGACGGCTCTTTTTTGTTGCTGACACTGGAGAAGCTGTGAGCTGGCCATGCGTTTCTTCCCTTGCGCTTGGCAGATAAGGGAGTGGAAAACCAGCTAGACGTGACGTGGCTTTTGTGCCAACCCCCTTGAAGCGATGTTTTGCTTTGCTTTTAAAGGTAGCTGCGCACTTCTAAGTTTGCTGGTGTCTGCAGAAGCTTGCTACCTCCCAGAATCTGTCCGAGAAGTTACCCCTAGACCAATGTGTTGCTTGTCCTATTTCGCTTCAGTCTCAAACTTAGAACACAGCATACTTATAGAAGCTTGGTTGGGAGGGTGGACGCATCAACCTTGGGGATGTTTGAACAAAGATGCGGGGTGCTGCTATCTCCGCTTTTTTGGGTGTCTACGTCAAAAGGTTGGGGAACTTCTTGGTCTCCTGCTTCAATTCTCTCCATTACGAGGCATCTGAAGGGGCCCGAGCCGACTCGGTGGGTACCGGTGGGTACCGGTTCCGAGCCATGATTTCGGCCGCGCGAACCTTGCCAGGCTTCAGCAAGATCTGGAAACCCAATACCACCATGAGACTAAGCCAGCAGCTCAGGCATCTGAGGCACAGGGAAAAGTGCTCAGTTCACAAGTCCAAGGATCCTACAGAACTTGGGATTGCTTCGGGTCCCGATATTTGCCAGCCCCAACTTTTGTTTGGCTTACATCACTTTTTGGTCGCCAGTTCGAAGTGGCTTCCTTTTCGAATATAATTCCGATATATATATATATATATATATGTCAACACTTAGACCCAAAGAACTCTGTCTTCCCCTTTTGTTTGTCTCTAAACCAGCCCAAAAGCGTATCTCCCCCCCCGAACAACAACAACAACAACAACAACAACAACAACAACAACAACAACAACAACAACAACAACAACAACAACAACAACAACAACAACAACAACAACAACAACAACAACAACACAACAACAACAACAACAACAACAACAACAACAACAACAACAACAACAACAACAACAACAACAACAACAACAACAACAACAACAACAACAACAACAACAACAACAACAACAACAACAACAACAACAACAACAACAACAACAACAACAACAACAACAACAACAACAACAACAACAACAACAACAACAACAACAACAACAACAACAACAACAACAACAACAACAACAACAACAACAACAACAACAACAACAACAACAACAACAACAACAACAACAACAACAACAACAACAACAACAACAACAACAACAACAACAACAACAACAACAACAACAACAACAACAACAACAACAACAACAACAACAACAACAACAACAACAACAACAACAACAACAACAACAACAACAACAACAACAACAACAACAACAACAACAACAACAACAACAACAACAACAACAACAACAACAACAACAACAACAACAACAACAACAACAACAACAACAACAACAACAACAACAACAACAACAACAACAACAACAACAACAACAACAACAACAACAACAACAACAACAACAACAACAACAACAACAACAACAACAACAACAACAACAACAACAACAACAACAACAACAACAACAACAACAACAACAACAACAACAACAACAACAACAACAACAACAACAACAACAACAACAACAACAACAACAACAACAACAACAACACAACAACAACAAACAAACAAACAAACAAACAAACAAACAACAACAAACAAACAACAACAACAACAACAACAACAACAACAACAACAACAACAACAACAACAACAACAACAACAACAACAACAACAACAACAACAGCAACAGCAACAGCAACAGCAACAGCAACAGCAACAGCAACAGCAACAGCAACAGCAACAGCAACAGCAACAGCAACAGCAACAGCAACACAACAGCAACACAACACAACACAACCACAACCACAACCACAACCACAACCACAACCACAACCACAAACCACAACCACAACCACAACCACAACCACAACCACAACCACAACCACAACCACAACCACAACCACAACCACAACCACAACCACAACCACAACCACAACCACAACCACAACCACAACCACAACCACAACCACAACCACAACCACAACCACACAACCACAACCACAACCACAACCACAACCACAACCACAACCACAACCACAACCACAACCACAACCACAACCACAACCACAACCACAACCACAACCACAACCACAACCACAACCACAACCACAACCACAACCACAACCACAACCACAACCACAACCACAACCACAACAACAACAACAACAACAACAACAACAACAACAACAACAACAACAGCCCAAAAGCGTATATCTCCCCCCCCAAAAAAAGGAAAAAGCACGAGCCGCCATAACATGAGGGAGCTGCCCGTTTTGGGCTTCACCGAGGCTGCGGCACTCTTGCCTATGTCGCCCCGGAGGCGCGAAGAACAAGCGAAAAGGTCTCGAAGGGTCGGAAGTCGGACAGGACTTGTGCATGAACTGCTCTGGGACTGAACCAACAAGTGCCAGAGTGTGCCTGGCACACCACCGGACTTACCAGGGAGCTGAGCTTCTTGAGACAAAGGTATGGGTCAAAACCATTGGCGTCCTTTTGATCGGTTAGTTTGGTTAGACATAGATGGGTTCCACTGGTTTAGATGGGCTTTGTTCCATTTGACAGGGAAACCCATCTATTTTTAACCAAAAGGCCGCCTAGGTGAATCAACCGTGTGTTGCGCTCAAGTCCCCTTTTTTTTTTTGGGGGGGGTCCTCATTTTCCGAAAGCAACAGCAACCCGCCTGCTTTTTTTTTTGCAGGGGGTTCTTCGTCTGGCCAGTTTAGTTGTAGGCCACTCGGGAGATTTGATGGATAGGTTGAAAGGCCAAGGTGAACACAACTGGGTTGCCTCAAAACTATTGCAGGGCTCCTTAAAATATACATTTTGCCAAATTGAAACATGGCTTTTTCCACCAAAATGAAGGGAAACCATAATTTACAAGGCAATGTTGAGGTGTATAATGTAAGGATCCCTGTATTGTTAGCAACCTCCTTTTTCCATTGGCAGTTTGGGGCTCCAGGACGGTTGACGGTGGATGTTGTCATGAATGGAGGCTGATCTCGCTTGGAATTTGTTTCACTGTGCATCAGACCAACTCTTTGACATCAAGCTTTGGTGCACGGCCATACTTCGCGCAACACCGGACAGTATTCCTTCCCTGCCACCCTTCCACTAACATGGAACCTGACTGAAGGTTCCATTCCAACTTGCGCCTCAAAAACGTTGAGCTCTTTGGGTTCCGTGGCAACTCTGGCAGGTCCTGGACCAGAACTACACTTCACAGTGTGACATGTGGAGTTTGGGTCCGTGGCTTACAGCTCCGAAGCAAGGGCTGCTGAACCACCAGTCCGCATCGCAACTGCCAGGTCATGTCGTGTGTGTGTGTGTGTTTTTGTTTTTTTTACGTGGCTGGAGGACAGGCGTGAGAGTATGTTTTGAACAAACTGGTTCGGGAATGAACCGTGTTGTATTGGAATATGTGCTTTAGATACCATGCTGTATTGTAAACATGTGCTGTAGATACTCTATTAAGACTATCAATCTTACAAATTGTAAGCAAGCACACTTGACAGAGTTGAATACGCGCACATGTATCGTGCCCAATAATTTAGTTTACCTGTTGTTACACTGTTGTTTGTTCTCTTTTACATCTATTGGGGGCCGTCCGTAATTGCATGTCTAAAAATTATGAACAGCGGCAACTTGTTAAACCCCGCGATTGGCAAAACTCGAGCCGTGAAAGGACGGCGATTGGACCGGGAAAGGGTAACGAATTGATTACGAGATTAGACGTTGCATGGTGCTGACGCACGTCTCGCTGATTTTGACTGCGCAGACTCCAGCAAAAGTTTCCTTTAAAATCCTGAATGTTGATTTCGTTTGTGCAGGGCCCGACAGTGCTTTCCAAATCTGCTTGCTGGCAAGGGCTGGAAGCTGCAAACCGACGTTTCACCGCCGAATTCCGCGAATGGACTGCGATTGGACGGCGATTGCACGAGTTTCACCAGTGAGCCCCTGCCCATCCGAGCTATACGTCACTTCCTTCCTGATTCCATAAGATAAGACAGCGAACTCGAAACAGAAGCAGCAGCGATGCCCAACGTTGCTCCGCGATAGGATTTTGTGGGATCGCGATTGCCCGACGATTGGGGGAAAGTAATCTTGTACAACCCCAAGTATTGAGTCCATATCAACTGTTTCTTATTACGTACATATTAATACATACATATATAGATATATAGATATATACGACAGTGCTTATTATCGACAGCTTCTTTGCTTTACGTGCGTGTATATATATATATATATATATGTATGTATGTATGTATGTATGTATGTATGCATGTATACACAAATATATGCATATTTGTCCAGAACTTAGATCATCTTTCTGCCCAGCTCAGGCGTGACCATTTTCATCCTGCTCTTTGGGTACATGCCCTTCAGCGGGAACGAGGACTGGCTCGCCCGTCTCGTTGCCGCGCACAGAAAGGCGGACGGGGGAGGCGGACCGAGCGGACCGAGTCCCGGCGGCTCGTTTTGTTTTTTGTTCTGCGAGGCTGTGCCTTGCCTTTGTGTTGCCCGTGTCTATTAGGGGAACCAATGGTAAAAACCACTTTTTTTTGGCGGGGGCGGGGGGAGGTCCCCCTAGAACAGGCACCATATTCAATTCCAGTGGTGTGTCCAATAGGGAACACCTTAGCGGTGTTGTGACGGCGATCCTGGGGCCGGCCGATTTCTTTCACTTGTCCAGAGAACATCCTGGGGGCTGAGTTGATGCACGCTGAAAGGTTTATTGTGTGAGAGCTGGGTCTGAATTCCGTGACTGCTGGCAGGACAAACAGATTTCCGACATCAAACATGGCAAGTGCGCCTGATGTCAAGAGCCAGCTTGCGATGTTGCCGGCATGTTGCAAGGGTCCGGGCACACAGTTAAAATTGCATTGTTTCGAAAGGGAGCAATACTGTGAATGGGCAGAATCCTGCATGGATGAAGGCTACATACCTGCATTCTTAAGGAAAATGTCCCACATTTTTGCGGGAGAAACAGAACAAATGCTCATGCCTGTCAAAAACGTACATTTCGACACAAAACACTTATTTTCAGTCCTGCCCCTTCGTGATAGCACCCAGCGACAATTATTCGCAACACTTTTCCACCAGGGCTGGTTGAAGCACCGCAAGTTGTGATTCAGCGCATGTTCTGGAATTTCCGCTCAAACAAGCGGACGAGCTGCAAAGAGCAAGAATCTGTTCCTATTTGCGGTTCCAGGCATTTTGGGGGGTTTAATTATTTGGCAACTGTTGCAGGATGTATCCTCCCATGCCGGATGGACAAACCTGGATCGCAAGACTTGCAGGTGATGTTTGGGAGGTCAGTGAGATGGCACATGGGTGTGGCAGAAAATTAAGCCGGAGGGGCCAACCGCAGGTTTTGGTCCATGTTTCCACTTGCCGATCGGGCAAGCCATTTTGGACTTTAGCGGTTTTTTGAATTCGCCACAGCCACAGCCAGGGATCCCCAGAGTCCCCAAGTAGCGCTTGATGGCCATATAGATCCTAGTCCCCAAGTGGCTCCTGACGCATGGACTCCTGGAAGGATGGACGGGGGGGCACGCACGGCCTCGCAGGTACACGGTGAAACCGGCGAAATGGGACGGCGCCGGGATCTTTGAGCTGGGTATTTGAGCCATTTCCGCGAGTGATGGAGTGTTGGAGTTGGACTTCTTTGGATGGGTTTGGAGAGGCTGGTTTTGGCTTGATTGTTTGCTTGCTTGGTTCTGTTTGGTGTGGTTTGATTGGTTTGTTGTGGTTTGTGTGTTTGTTTGCTTGGTTTAGTTTGGGCTTGGTTTGGTTCGGTTTTGGCTTGATTGTTTGTTTGCTTGGCTCCGTTTGGTTTGGTTTGCTTGGTTTGGTGTGGTTTGTGTGTTCGTTTGCTTGGTTTGGTTTGGCTTGGTTTGGTTTGCATGTTTTGGTTTGTTTGTTTGTGTGGTGTGGTTGTTTTTTGCACAGCTTACCTGAATCCCAAAGGACTTCGCCGCTGCGCGGAGAATACGACGGTTCGCAGGTCACAACACTTTGATCGAAGCTGTGCTACAAACACTGGGAGGACCTTGGTTTGGCCACTTGGGGGTTGATCAAAAGGTCCTTTACATGGGATGACCATGGGGGAAAACCACTGAAAGACGATGTGTTCCACATGGGAAAAGTGACCATGGTCAAAAATCAGAGCCCGGAAAACCACTAAAATATGAGAATATGTTCCACCTGGGAAGAGTTATGGTCAAAACTGGGGGCCCCAATTTTGGGATGCCATGGGGCCTAGGTGTCCAGCGTCGCCAAAGACTTTGTGAAGCAGCTGCTGGTGGTGAAGCCCGGCGTGAGGCCGGGGTTTAGCTGACTTGAGTTGAGCGACCCCGTGCCTTTGCGACCTGGATGTTTGATGCTCGGATGGTCTAAGTAGTCGAGGGCTTGAACCTAACTTCTGTGGCGCTGAACCTTACCCGGGGCCTGGAGGCTCTTCGATGTTTGCTGTTTGGCGCTTATTGGCTGGAAGTAGTCGAGGGCTTGGAAATGGGCTTCTGCGCTGAAACTTACTCGTCAAGTGGGCCTGAGCGGAAGGGCAACATAGCTGACTATTGAGGACCAGTTGGATTCACACAGGACCCTAAAGCCTAAACCCTAAACCCTGACTATTGTTGAGGACCAGTTGCAAAGCTCCTTGGGGATATTTGTGGCAACCGCTTTCGGCCCATGCCCAATAGGTTTTGCAAGTCTGGATGGAGGAAGCTTGCCTACTGGAGTAACGTAAGCTGGGCGATGGGAAGCATGTCCTTGGGGGAAACAAGCAGTTTTTGAACGTGGCTGGCGTGGCTCGTGTAGGCCATCGGCCTTTGAAACAGGAGCTCCTTTGTTCCATGGCCCGCTAGCAAGTGATTTGCAGCCTGGGCCACTTGATGGGAAGCATATCAGCTGTTGATCGGGGACCCACGCCCTCCCGCGAGTGCTGATAAAGGTTGGTTTCCTACTCTAGTGGTAGCTGGGTTCCACTGGGTATGATTGGCAACAATGCGCAGTCATCTCCAAGTTATTGGCGTGAATCCACAACACTAGCAACCCGCCCCGTTTGCACGCTTGCTTTGCCGGAGGCTTACCGCAGAAGATGCGTTGAAGCATGCCTTCATCGTGTGGCACTTGGCTTTGTCAGCATGAATCACCGTTTGGCAGAAGATGGCATGTGAGCGCAGCCAAAACATTTGAGGCTGTCACGTTAACTCATGTTCAGCTCTTGAAGTGATGACCTCTTGACATCAAGTAGAGTCGCAGCGGGGTACAGAACCGGAATCTGTCATTCAGGTGCAGGGTAGCACACACATGAACCATGGCAACATGGCACTCAGACCGTCCCTCAGGTCCTGGTTCGTTTGTAAGGTAGCACACAAGTATTTGCAACCTTGAATTCCCCCTTGATGTGCAGCACTTGATGCGTCATGTTGTTTAACACATGTTCAGCCTTGTCTTCTAAAGGGGGTTGGGAAGGCGGTTAACGGGTAGAGAGAACAGTCGAAGCATCAAGCCAAGTTTATTCACAAAGCGGTACTCAAAGGGGACTGTTTGCAAGGTAAGCCTTGTCATGCAGGGGTGTTTGACGACTGTTCCTAGCCGAGTTGACGTTTCATTTAACAGTGATGTGAAATGTACTTGGATCGGGCAGTGTCAAAATGCCCTTAAGGGAATGCGTCAAGCAGAAATGTTTGTGGTGTGTTGTTAACAAAGCTGATGTGATCTTGACATGGCTTTGTTGTGATACATTGACGCGTCCACCGATTGATGCCGGCAGCGGAAGTGGCGTCCGAGGCGAAGCGGGAAAACCTCAAGACTGATGTCAATCCTGACATCGCAGCCGCCTCAGTGCCGATGAGGACCCTTCCGGGCCTTCCTGTGATCCACCAGCCCCAATGCAAAAAAAACACACCATGCTTGACCTGTAAAGGATGGTCGGGAACCCTGGCGTGAGGGATAAGAACACGGAGCAATGTGTATGTGTGTGTGTGCGCATGTGTATGTGTTGTTGAGAGTGAGAGCAGAACAGCGCTAGCAGGCGCGGACAACAAAGCATATCAAAAACGCAAAACTCACTCGAGCGAGCAACCATCAACAAAACCAAAACGCCATGTCCTGCCATTAGGCTTGCCTGACTCGAGTCAGAGAAAGAGCTAGATTTGTATCACGAAGACTCTCGTGAACAGGATTATAATTATTCGGCAGCACTTGCGAGTGTCCCTATTGTTGCTTGGGCGGGCGCTTTAAACCAAAAACACAACTGTTGCTCAATTACTCCGAAACGGTGGAGTTCGGACGTTCGGACAAGTTTTGCATTTCTCACTTGGCCAACATGCCGCTATCTATCAATGGCATTTGGGTTTGGGTTTGTCCCCCAAAAAATGGGGAACAAACCCCAAATGGGTGGTTCCCTTGAAGACCAACCAAAAGCAGATTCCCCCCAAACAAAAAGAAGAGGAACACAAACCAACAAATAAATAAGCAAAAAGAGAACAAAGCAAACCAACTTAACAACAACAGCAACAAGCACCCCCCCCCAACAGATGTTGTTGAAAAAAAAAGGTGAGAAGACAACAAAACAGGGAAAAAGGGGGGGAATAAAATCTAACAGTCAACATACACATGTGACACCTGCCGAGCCCTAGCCGCCGGCTTGTTTCTTTCTCCTTTCGCGAGGTCTCCGCGCTGGTGGACTTCGGCAACGCCTCCTCCTTTCGGCGGGCCTGCATGTCGATGATGGCGCGGACGCCCAGTTGGAGCGGGGACTCGATGCACGGACCAAATGGGTGCGGGTCTAAAAATTGTCCAGCAGGAATTGGACCGCAGGTTTTAGTCCTTGGTTCCATCTGGGGTTTCAACATGGACACCCATTTTGGACCCACAGCCAAATTGCGGGTCGAAATGGAGCCGCCCGAAATGGAACCCCGCTGAAACCAAGCACTAAAACCGGCGGTCGCCTGGCTTAATTTGGACCCATGCCCAAATGGCCCAAAGCGAAAGCCGAGGATTGTAAGGGTTAGATGCACACACTTGCGCAAAGGGAAAGCTGAACTTGAAACCTTTTTGGATGTTCATGGCGAATTATTTGGTAGCGGCGGAGTTTTGGACTTTCACCGCTCACTTGCCCAAAGCGGAAGCTGAGCTTGAAGCCTTTTTGGATGTTCATGGCAAATTATTTACTAAATGAATCTTTGGGCGGAATCACTTTTTGGTTGAAACAGGGCGGTTTTGCCGAATTGGACCCGCCAAAAGAGATGTTTTATTTTTGCCGCGGGGTCAACAGCGACCAGGTGGCTTCCAAGATTGGGTTTCGCAGGAGTTAAGTCTTTGGTTTCCATTTGCCAAGTGGCCATTTTGAGTACCCTTCACTTTTTGAGCCACGGCCAAATAAGAAGTTCGGACTCTTTTTGGGGGCAATCCACTGGATCGCAAGTGCAGGAGGAAGTCCTGCAGTTGAGTTGGGTGGTTTATCCCATCGGGGCTTCTCATGGGGTCCATACAGAAAAGTGGGTCACCCGACTGTTTGAGACGCATTCGCGCATTGATGTTTTTGAAGGCAACCAGTTCAAGAGTGAGGTTAAGACAATGTTCGGAAGATCCTTCATCCGCCGGACAATTTTCTTCGTGATTTGCCCAGAATGGGGAAAATATGCATTCGCACGAAGCCAGAAAATATGCAAAGGGGAACAAGCATTGCACTCCTCGTTTTGTCATACTGTGCAACCCAACACCAAACACAATACCTTTAGTACACCTTTAAAAATGCTGCTGGGAGTAATGAGTCGTTTTTGTCCAATCTGTCTTCTCCTCGCTCACTGGAGCGCACTGCCCGAGTCTTGCGGCAGTACCCGCTGTAGACTTGCCTTTCTTCTTTGGCGCCCGAGACTGGGCCGAGTCAGGAAACAAATGACCCGAACCAGTTTCCTGACTCTGTTTCCTGACTCACCCCTCAGCCTTTTCCCCCTCCGGAAAGCGTCTCAGTGACAAATTTGATTTATTTTACATTATGCTGGAATCTGGGAAGGCAGATCCCTAGAGCGGTGAGATCTGGGGAGTTTAGATGGATTGTCCCGAGGGTTCTCATTGTTTTGTTTGCAAATCTCCGTGCTCGGTGGGTTTGATCATTCTAGATCTCGGTCACCAGAGGCGGACAGGATCAATTATTGGACGCTTGTTTTCCAAGCAATGCCTCGTGTTGCACGCTTTGGCGTTGACTCGACCGTATGTATTTGTTCGAAGTTGCAAAATGACGATCTTTAGAGCCTCCCAAACTGCGAGCAAAAGGATTACCTGGAGCCCTCGACACCCATTCTAAAATGGTCGTCCCTAGGGGGGTCGGGTGGTTCCGCCCGTTTCGCCCCGAACCGCCCTTTTCGTCCGGAGCCATTTTTCCTGGGATGGCCAACGTTGGCTTTCCGCCGGGCGCCTCAGCCACAGGGCGCTTCCTGCGCCATAAGCCAGGCCGTTCTGGCGAGAGTCTGTTCTTCTTGCACTAGCTCGTTGCGAGCTGCAGTCAAATATCTGTACAGCACTTTCAGGCTCGCCAAAGATGGGGAAACTCGTCGGCTCAACCGGCTGGTTCGTCCCACAAAATCTTCGCACTGAAAAGTTGATTCGGCCAGGGGACTCACGGCCACGATTTGCTTTTGGTGGGATGCATGCAGTTCGTACACCAAGTGGTTCAAAAGATGAAGCTTTGGCTTCAATGCAAATAAACACAGTGACTTCTCATGGCTCCAGGCTACCAAGTTCCGATAAGCATAAAGGAAACCCTCTCCACCTTGGACAGCGTGTTGCAGATTGGCACCCTCAAGGAAGAAACCAGACCCAAAGAGAGCCTTCATAAATTTCAGAATGCCTTGGCATCCTCGAAGAATTTCCTGCAACATACGATCACCTTCGAGGGCCGCTTGCTGCGTGCCCAAGAGTTCTGTTAAGAACCGGAGAAGCACAACGGTGTCAGCGCCTTTTGACCAGTGGCCCCACGGGTACGAGGCGCTGCTCTCGTACCCCAAAAGGTCAAGTGTGAGCTCCCCGCAATGCAAACTGACGCCCTTGGTGCGCTTCAAATAGCTGCGTAGGGCTCCGTTCATTTGATCAAGTCTTGATTGCAAGCTTCGCCCCTGAAACAATGTCTTTGTGGCGTACAGCAACGAGCTGGCAGCGAAATCTTTACCGGTGCCGGCGTGAAATATATGAAATAAATCAGGGCAATAAAATCGTGCCGCATTGTCCGAGTCCGTGAGGCAATATTTGAGCAAAGGGCCAGGAGAATCCCAAGGCAGCAAGTTGTGAGGACCGCATGTGCTTAGCCACTGTGGTTGTAGCGACACTTCTTCAAAGGGCAAAGCATCGCTGCCAGCTCCGCAGAGCCAGCAACACCCAAGAAGCGGAGCGGTTGCCGTCCATTTTTTTCGAATATTGTGGAACGACCGGTTGTGGAAGCCAGCTTGCTTCAAGAATGGCGCGTCGCCCGTCAACCCCAGGATGCAGATTCGCCAGGTTTTGCCTTCCCCTTGAAAGCCATCATAGAAGAGAACTTCCAGCTCTTTGCCCCAAGCTTCAAACAAGTCTTTGAATGCCTTCTCGTCGTTCTTGTACATATGGTAGGGCATTGCGCCAAATAGCCACCTGTTTGAAAATGAGTGGCCCCGCAGGTTCACCCCCAAAGGCAGTTGGTTAGGATTCTTGCGTTTCAGCCCATGCTGCTGCATAACTCTGGAAGATGGCAAATCAACTGGGTCTTGCCGCGTGCCAGCCCCAAGCGCGCTGTAAATTGACAATATCAATATACTGTTTTTCTTGAACCCTCTACCGCCATCTCCATGCGCATAGTAGGGCACCAGATTTGAAAAGCGCACTCCAGGCTGCGAAAATACTTCGTGTCGTGGCTGTACTCGTTTGAGTTGGCTCCAAAATGTTTCGAATGTACGTTCGGCCTCATCCGTTGAAACCCCCAGGACTTTATGCAAAAAGCCTAAGGAGGCCAGCTCTGTTAGCAAGGCTCTGGGCTGGATAAAAGGAAATCCTGGCGTTTTACCACAGCTCACATAGCTGATCGGGATGTTGACTGCCAAGTTATGTTGCTGAAAGGCCGCAAACACGACGTTGTCTGCGTCTTTGGCCCGTCCCTTGGCAATGTGTGCCAAGGCTGGGCATGGGTCGCGTTTGGCGGCCACCTGCGCGTGCTCCAAGATGTGGCTGGCCGGGGCCTCGGCGAATGCGCGCGCTTGGCGTGCGTTCGTGCCCTCAGAACCGAAACAATTAAGCTACAGTCTTCACGCACTTCGATTTGATCATAAACTGGGTCCGGACAAGGCCCAGACTCCAAAGCCGTAACGCTTTGCCAACAGTTTGGCATCATCGCTGATGGCGATGGCCGGGCCTGGCGGGGATGGATGAAGAAAGCTGATTACATAGTGCCGGTTTGTGCTTTGCAAAGCACATGCACGCCTGCATGCGGGAAGTATACTTGTCCATCTTTCCGCAAAGCCGAACATGCCAAGTCGATGGCCCCTAGTCGAACACCCTTTGTGGGCTCATCAGGAAGCATGCCGCCTAGCCCCAGATTAGGCCTTTATTGAACTGGTGATAGCACCAGTTCTTCAAAGGCTACCCCTGCAGCTGAACCACATTGGCTTTTCGCTTGAAAGCAAGCACTTTGCAAACAGATTTACCTCAGTTTTTTGACCGGCCAACTGTCACATTTCAAGCGCGCAAAGCTGCGCCAGCATGCTAACTACTTGCTCAGTTTTCGAGCTTTGCCAGCCAACCGCCTGACAGGCTACATTTTCACGTGATGCGAGTTTCCATGCACGCGTTTGGTTCCACCAGCTGCGCTTCGTCTGAGGCCGGGCACTTGTGGGATGCTTCCCACGACGTGGCTCGCGACATCCTGACGCAGGCAGAGTTGCGGCTGCAAAGAAGGGGCCCCAAAGTAAGAGGCTGACAGTTTCTGCGCCAATTTGCACTGCTCATCGATGTCAGTCTTCAACTGCCTTTGTTCAGATCGAAGGTCATACCACGAAAAGACAAACGAAGCAGACAGCAGCAGCGGGACTCAAGGCAAGCAACTGCCCAGCAAAGCCGTTGATCTTACCCTCTGCTTGCAGCTCGGCCATGGTGTCGTAGCATTTCTCAAGCGCAGCTGTGATGGGCTCCAACTTGGTCAGGGCCCTGCGAAACGCACGGCAGCACGTGCATCCGCACGAAACATGCACCGAATTCTGCAACAAGTGTGAGCCGGGGGTCGAAGCGCATTGCTTGTCTTCATCAACAGCTTCGAGCTTTTCCTCGAGCTTCATCAACGAGTTTCTTGTTTTCAACAGCTCCTTGAGGTACTCCTCGACTTTCTTCTTCAACTCAGGATCGCATGAAAAGGGGCAAACACCCAAACATGTTCCGCACAGTAAAACTTGTTCGAAGCCAAGTCACAGGCTTGTGGTGTTCCCCCTCAAGATTAAGGTGGCCGGGTTCACCCTCGGACTTCGCAGCAGACCCTGGCTGCAGGCCCACATCCTGCGCGCTGAAGCCAGAGACGCAGACCGAGGCCGGGATGTCCACGTCGCCTTCCCCCTCCCCTTGCCAAGACCGCTTACGCGAAAGCTTTTCGAGATCTGTGGATGTCAACTCCCCCTCCGTTCGAACGTTCACCCAATATTCGGTCTCTTCGTCATCGTACTCGCAAGTCCTTAAGCTAGCTAGCAAATGCAAGATGCAAAGCGTCGATGTCCCCCCCCTCCCCGCCACCCAACTTGTTAACAAGATTGGAAAACATCACCCGTGCACACATGCCTTACACACATATAGACCAGTGGCCGAGTCAAGCCACTAGCCGTAGCGTGCTGGCAAATCTTCTCCACCCGCTGCCTAGGCTGGTGAAGACAATGTTCCACATTTAATTCAAAGGTGTTTTCGATCGAAATCTGTGCTTTAGAAGAGGTTCGACGAGTATCCCAACTCTTGCTTCATATCTTCCTTGGAGTAGAATCCACCCCGGATCTTCAAAGATTTTGACCGAGTGGACTCGCTGTGGATCTCGATAGTCTCGAGAAAAACAGCCTGCGCGCGTGGGTTAGCTAGCAGGGTTAGCCAACATGCGCAGGCGGAAGCAGTCCTTCACGCCCCCGCTCTTGGCCCACATCTTCAAGACTGTGTCGCGCCCCCGGCCAACATCTTGCCACATGTCGAAGATTTTCTGGGGCACTTCCAGTTTGCCTGTGATAGGCTTCGGTGTGACGATGCGCTGAATCTTTTTGATCTCAGCACGGTCCAGAGTTCTGGAGTCAAGAACCTTTGGCGCTTCTTCTTCGCCCGGGGAACTGGAAGGGGGGCAGGTTGTCGAAGGCGAAACATCTTCAAGCTGTGTAGGAGATACCTTTGCTAGCGGCATGAATCCATACATGCAATATAGCCCTTCACGGCCAAATGAAGCTTAAAGGGCAAGCTGCCATCGCATCGCCCTTCCCCACTTGTTCGCACTCAATGGTTTTTTGGGGCGGTGCCTCGGGACATGCCATGTTTCCAGCAGCTGAGAGCGCGTGAGCACTGAGGGCTGCTCGCTGCGCAATCGCATCACGGGAGCAGCCTGGAACTTGGAATGGGGCGGGTGTTCCCTGGAAGGTGTCTATTCTGATCAAGGAGCCGGGCTTGCTTGTGCAGGGTCCAAGACCCTTTTCTCCGGGGTTGTGAAGATCGCCTCTGCCTCTGACAGGTAAGGGTCCACCACAGCGACATCAAATTCTCCGTCGCAAGGCTCAGGCTTCGCGCGGTCAAACTCCTGCATTCAAGCATGTTTGGGAAAAGCTTAATTTGTTTGGAATCCGAGTTTCTTCAGCAGAAAGGATGAGGCTCATGCATGTTTCGCACGAGACCCTGCGGGAATTGAACATACCGTACGCGTTGGTAAAATTGTTCGGGAGTTCGTCCCTTTCAGAATCCGATGGTATATAATCTGAATTTGCTCACGTACAGTATATATTGTCTATAAATATGCTGGCATAAAACTCATACAGAATCCCCACACATGCATGCACAAAAAACCCCGCTTCCCCAACAAGATTCGAACTCTCAACAGGCCAAACCCCCCCCAAACAAGAATCGAACTCGTAATGCGAAACCATGTTCGCGGCCATACGTGTGTGTCGTGCTTATATATATATATATAAATATGAAAGGTTCGCACGGGTGTCGTTTCGATCAGGGGAGAGGGAGGGCCAGAAAGTTTTGGGATCCCCCCCGTTCCCTTTTACAGGGCTCCATTGCGCAGTCTTCGGTTTCCTCAAATGTTGGGCCGGCTAACCAAAGACAGGAGTTACGTAGGTAACTAAGCATCACAGGCCCGATCTCGAGAAAGGGTCTCAAAATAGTTAGGAATCGGCACGTTTCGAGAATGACTCCGTGGCGGTTTCAGAGTATATGCCCCATCAAACCCCTTCTTTCTTCGAAGTCCGCAAAGGTTTGGGAGCTTCAAACAAACCCTTCGCTTTTCAAGGGTCGGCGCTGCTCAAAAAGTACTTAATTTGCATGGGGCCTTGCCGGCGCGGGTTGTGGCGAACGAGTGTTTTCAAAGCAAACACGATGTGTACGGAGAACCCCCAACCATATTTTGACGAACTTGATGGTGTGTTTGCCTCGCTGGGCCACTTGCTCACATGGACTCGCGGGGATAAACAAAAAGCCATGCATGCCCCTCTTGAAGGGGGGAAAAAAGGGGTTTTGCCGCAACAAGGTCAGTCACACCAACTGCACCATGCCTGCAGGGCGTGGATTCCTAGAGCTTCCAGCTCCTCTCGTGTTGCAGGGATAGTTGGGGCGTCGGAGTTGGCTTCTGCAGTTTCATTGAGATAGCTCTCCAAAACCTTGGATCGGGCGGGTTTCGACGGAACCTGCGTGGATTCGGCAAATCGAGTCACGTGCCCAGATTTTGGTTGAGAAGCCGTGGCCAGATGTCGCATGGCCAACTTCGACTCTTGCGAGAATTGCCGGCGTTCCGCCGAACTTTCGGTCTTCACAGCTTGTTCGGAATCCCCTTTGACCCCAGCATCCTTTTCCATTTCCGAGATCCCACGAAGAAGGGTCGAGGCAGACCACGCATCTCGAAGCATGATGGATTTGGGTCGGGCACGCAAGCTATCGCTGACAAACAGGCAGCTCTTCGAGACCAAGGAGTCAAACGATCGAAACATGCACGTTTTGATGCAAGAAACGAACACGCACATTTCGAAAGAACTTTACACCATCACGTCAAAAAATCGGGGGGGGGGCCTCAAGATATCCAGCGTATATGCAAAGTTTTCGCTGGCGATGCAGGGCAGGTGATCCTGCGTGGGCGCGTGGCGGCTTTTCGCACATGCTGGCGACGCAGGGGGTGTCGCTGGGGTTGTTGCTGGTGATGCTGCGCCGCATGTTTCTTGAAGCACGGAGCGCGTGTGCAAAAGCTTTGCGGGTGTGCATGATTGCGTAGATGCGTGCACAGTGTTGCTGGGGCCAGCCGCTGGGCGCTTGCAGGTGTCTCAAGCAGGGTGATGCAGGGGATGCTGCGCACATGCTGGTGATGCAGGGGAAACGCACGAAAATCAGCACACATTAAACTCACGGAAGCACATAAAAAGCAACCAAAGACACGTAAAACCACGCAACGAGCCATAAACGCACAAAATGCTATAGAACAGACGAGATACGAAGCGCTGTTATAAAGAATTCAAACACGCGGAGCGCACGAAACATGCAAATGCACGAAATGCGCCTAACACGCACGAAGCGCATGACCCTTTACAAAATGCACGAAGCGCGCGAAAAAATCCGGAAATGCCCTACGAAACGTACAAAAAAGGCACGAAAGGCACGAACAACTCACGAAGTGCTTTCCGGACCGCGCATTGAAACGCACGAAGCGCGCGAAAATGGAAAGCATGAAGTGAACGAAACCTGGAATCGAAACGCGCAAAACACGCGAAACACACGAAACACAAGAAACGCACAAAACACACGAAACACACGAAACGCACGAAAGCCACGAAACACACGAAACACGCCAAACACACGAAACACACGAAACCCACGAAACCCACGAAACCCACGAAACACGCGAAACACACGAAACGCACGAAACCCACGAAACCCACGAAACCCACGAAACACACGAAACACACGAAACGCACGAAACGCACGAAAGAGCGAAACAAGCGAAACAATTGAAACACGTAAAAACATGATTAAAATTGTACCGATTTCGTCCTATTTTGGGCGGCCGCCCGGAACTGCCTGTTGGCCGCTCGGAACTGCCTGTTGGCCACCCGGAACTGCCTGTTTCAAAAATTCCAAAAATCGAAAAACTTGGTAAAACTTGATCAAACTTGCTTGCAATCCACAAACCAAAGCAAACGTGTTTCGCACGAAATACTCGTACGAATTCGCACAACACTTCGCACGAAATTTGGGCGCCCGCCAACTCTTTTTGAACGCTCGTAACTGCAGCGCCTTCGGGGTCGAAAGTTGCACTCAAAGCTCATCGGTTTCCCACTTTACTTGGCCCAAACTTTCCACAATCGGGATGATTCTCTGCCACTCACTGGGCACAAAAAGGCCCTTGGCCCCGTACAAATAGCGCACCAGACCAAGAATGTCAGCATCGAGCCAAGGGTCACCCCAAGGGGTGCGGTCAAACAGTTCCCAGGCCTCGTTTATTGTTGGGCCGGGGGTTGCCGTTGATCCGGCTGCAGCATTCATGCGTGGAAGCAGCTGGCACACCTTCAAGCTGAAGCATCGGGTGTAAGTCCTGGGCGAAGATGGGCAACAAAACGAGAGGATTGAGTCACCTTAAGCGACACAACTTGCTGGAGTTGAAGCAGGGATCTGTGAATCCTTTAATGCCTTCTTGATTCCAGTGTATCTACTGCGGCCTTCAGCATCCTTGTACTTGCGGACAGTTGGTGTAGGGGCCCTGCATTTCATAGCTCTTCGTGCCAATTTGCCACGACAAAAAGCCACCACCTCCTTCCGATTACTGTAAAGGACGGTGCGTTTTGGACACGAATGCATATAGTGGTACATCCAGAAGCGGATGGAGAATACCTGCGTGCTTGCAACAAGCGGTTGTGTTTTCTGTGCTGCAAATGCATGCAATACACATCTCAAAATCCCACCTTGCAAAGGCGGCACACAAGCTGCATTCTCGGGTGATGGATGAGCACACTTGTGCTTGGCTGTTCCAACACGAAGCTCCCCATAAAGGCGGCACACATCAACAAGAGTAGCGCCGTCCTGGCGGATATTGTTGCATGTGCACTTATATGGTTTTATCAAGCACGGGTTGTGTGCAAACTGGTGTCCCATTTACACCTACCAGGTACCGATCCGCAATTCAAACAGGTCACCATGAAAATCCCAAAAATGTGTGCCAACCAACGTGTGTATGCCAACTTAAAAAAGGTCACCCTCGAAACTTAGGTCCCTCTTAAAAACCGCACGGAAGGTTCTCAACATTAATCGCAATTATTGGTTATTTAACCATGCAGCTCAAAACGGAACCCAAGATATTGGTCGAACCAACCCCATGGCTCCCCACGCAAGAACATTGTGCTTCCTTTTTTAGATTGCGGTTTCCAACCAACCGGCATCAAACAACAGTCACCCTCAAACAACGACTCTTTGAACCCTGCGCCTTGAGCATTGCAAGTTAGCTGACCGAACACAGCTTCGGGATTGGTCTCCCAGTGGCTGCAGCCGCGTTCTACGACAGGATCCCTGGCTGATGCTCACCCAAGTGCTACAGACAATTCCTTCCCATAGTGTGAAATGGTCTAAAGTCCGAAGCACTGAAACCAGGTGGGCCCTTAGTGCAGCAGGCACCCTAAAGCTGGCATGCAATGTTTGATCACATGACCATTGAATGCGCAGGGAGAATCGAGACAAGTAGCGCGTAGCCACCATATGTAGTGATGTCATGTCCATGACTATAAAGGATGTCAAGCCTTGCCGTTGGTTGCCGGTGTTGCTCTCGCACTGTCTGAGTCAGCACCCCAGCTCCGGCATAGTGCTCCACGAAAGAGAAGGCCTGCGATGCGTTTCGCCTTTGGGTCGGGTGTGTGGCGGGCTGTCATTTTAGTACGCACGTGCGCAAGCAAACAGCCTGGTCCATTTTGACGTCTTGATTGAACATCAAAAGCATGGCTGCCACTACCAGCACCTGCGCGGGGAACTTTCCACTTTCTGGGTTCTCACAATGGCTTCTGCGTGTTTGATTCTACGTTTCTCACACGACTAGGGCCTTCGGGGCACCGAAAGACAGCAAACTGAACATTACGCCCTCCACACTTCTTCGGGCCATGGCTCTCGCCAAAATGAGGTGCCCTACAGCACCTTGTCAAGACGGCTGCAGACATCTCACAAATTGCCGGTTCATGTTTGCAAGGTGCAACTTTGCTTTGAACTGAGGTTGGAGAGTAAGGCACAAACATGCCTGAAGTACGGTCGAACTCCTCTGTCGCCGGCAAAAAGCCCAGCTGCGCCAGGTACAGCGACATGGCCTGCCAATGGCGATGAGAGGGCGTTAGATGGGATGCTGCGCAGTTGCATTGACAGCACTTTTCTTGTCACGAATCCAGACTCAGAGCAGCTCCTATGCCCCCAATGGCCAAGCTCTTGCGACTATAGCCAGTTGCATACAGAGCAAAATCTACGCGAGAAAAAGAGGTCCGTTGTTGCTGCCAACTTACCTTGCAACATTCTTTCATAGAAAGAACACACTTCTGCGCTGCAACATGGGCCTCGCACTCAGGCGCTGCAGTTGCCCTAAAATAGCACCATTACAAAGGGATGTAACCCCATGCGGACATCCACCGGTGCCATTTGGCAACTGCCGCGGCACCCCGAAGTAGTCAAAATGCGTCACGCAGAGGACGCCCACGATTTGCCTGCCAGCGCAAGCGCATGCTGTCACACCTGCCGACTTAGTGCGTTTGGGATCAAGATACTTGGAATCAAGATACGTGCGTGTCGAGGTGGCGTCACTCACAACTTAAATTGCAACTTGCAAACCATGCAACCAGCTGCTGGCAAGGCGCCAACCTCGTCGTCAGTGAGAAACTTAGTGGCGGCTTCCTTGACAGCCTTTTCGACGTCAGGCGGGCTGTCCACGTCTACGGTCTCGAGCGCCTTGTGCGCATACTTCCAGAAGAGCTCCTACGCAAGGCTATTGGTCCCCGCAAGCAACAGCGACACAGGGAAACTGCTCAGCGCACGGGTGTGGAAATGTCCTACTTAAGGTGCGCACATGCGCGAATCAAGGGCAACGGTGGCACTTCACGAACGAAAGACGAAAAGGTCGCAGCAGGCCTCCATCTTCACGTGGCCAGTCAGCTTGCTGCGAAGCTCCGTGTTGTACACGCTCGAGATCCAATCGTACTTGAACTGGTGGTTCGGGCGGCGATCTGAAGGCCGGTAGCGCTTGGCAAAGGTTGCCTTACCCATGACCTCCCTCTCTGGCTCGAGACCGTCAGCTTTCACAGCTTTGGCCGCAGATGCCTTGGCCTTCGCCCTGGCTTTGGCCTTCGCCTTGGGGGCCGACTCCGGGGCCGCGCTCTCAGCCTTCCTTTTCCTGCCCTTTTTCGAGGGCTTCGCCGCGTCTGTGCCAGGAGTCCAAGGCTTCGCCTCAAGCGTGTCCGCCAGATCAGCGCCACCCCAAGTAGCCGAAGCCTTCGCCGTCCTCTTCCTCCTTTGCTTCGCCTTGCTCGGCGCGCAGGTGGCCTTGTCCGCCGCCAGCAGGGCCTTGCGCCCCTTTCGAGACTTGGCCTTCTTGATGCGCACTGCTGCTGTAGTCTTAGTAGCCGCCAACGCCGCTGCCTCACTCTCCACCTCCACTGCCGCCAGCGCCGCCTTCCCCTTCTTTGTCTTGCTGGCAGACAACTTCAGCTGCTTGGCCCGCGTCACAGCTGCCGGAACCTTATCCGAAAGCTCAAGTTGGGCCCCGAATGGCTTGATGTGGAAAAAAACATATATGGTAATTCCAAGGGTCCGGCTCCAAGCCCACAGGCGTGTGTGTGACCGGCTCTGGCTCCTTGCCCGCAACAGTGCTCTCGTCGTGCTGCTGAAACGCGGCCAAGTTGTGGTCGTTCTTGGGCTCGGTCAAGTTGAACTCCTTGAACACGTCGAACGTCGCCTCGTTGGGCTCCCACGGCAAAGTATCCTGCTGGTCGTGAGGAACGTCGACAAGGTCAATCATCACTGCAGGCGCAGGGTCCGGCGGTTGACCTAGAGTGGCGGCGCAAGAACACGCGTAGCAGGGTTCGGGCGGGTTCCGTTGCAAAACGAAACTTGCACAATCTGATGAAATTGGCACACGCGGCCAGACGAGCCAGCCGAACTGGCAGCTTGAGCAGTCTGAGAAGTCGGAAGCATCAGGTTCCTTAGTTTGATTAATAAGTACACATTTGTGCACATATTTGTATATTTTTATGTATACGTATGCAAATGCAAACACCATGCAGCAGCTGATAATATATTGAGTTCAGAAATGGGTTGATTTTCGTTTGACAGCCGTGTCCAAGCAAACCGTTGGTCTGCCACTGTTCGGCTTGCGAGCTCGCAAACGCGTACACAAGTATAGCGCTAAATGCGTGCTTCCGCAGCTCCAGCTCGAAAAGCGCAACCTCCCGCGCTTAACGCGCAAAGTGCGCTTGGGCAGCTGATTGCAGCTCAAAAAGCGCAACTCTTTCATCACGCACGCGAAATGCACACGAAATGCACTTTGGCAGCCATGAAGCACCTTGGAAATCACAACTTTCCTCGTGAAGTATTCATTATATAAAACTTGTCCTGAAAAACACCATGCATTCAGCTAAAAAAATCGCACTAACTCCGTGCAAACTGAGTATAGAGAATCGAAGCACGCTTTCGCAGCTCCATCTCGAGCAGCAAGGTTTGTCAAACGCTTGCGCGATTGCACGGTCTGCAAACAGAAACGCCTCTGCACATCGCAATTGAACACATACATGGGTATGGAACCCACAGTGTTGTCTTTGCCCGCGTCGAAGCCGGCAATCCACGACAAGCCACTGCGTCATTGCGCAGCTGCTTCATTTGTTGATTTTTTTGCGCCCCTTCTCCTTCTTCTTGGAATATCATTGTTGGCGCATACTCTGAGCGCGTGTTGATGTAATTGTATATATACATGACTTATAGTACACTATCTATACACGGAAACATAAGATATAAAAGTATACATATATATATAATATATTTGCGTATTTTGTCTATATATATGTGTTTACATATGCGTGTCAACTGCTGCCCAATTCTCGTATAAACACATTGTCAACAGCACCGAACACACAAACACGAAAGTCACAAATAAGTCCACACGTGCGAGCGTCAAGCAGTTGAGCAGCTGCTGGCAGGCAGCCCGTGGCAGACCGGACGCCGCCAGACCATCAACACCCTGCTGCAGGATGACTTCGATTCCGCTGACAGGGGCATCGAAAGCCGGAGAGCCAGTTGTGAGGCGAGGGTTGGAGCCACCCTCCGCCCCCTTCGCGCCGACCACGAAGACTGTCTTCTCGCCCTGCGCGCCAACAGCCGCCACGCCCTTCGTGTCGACCACTTTCGTGCCCTCCACGACGACCACCTTCGCGCCCTCCACGTCGACCGCCTTCGCGCCCTCGACGACGACCGCCTTCGCGTCCTCCACGTTGACCGCCTTCGCGCCCTCGACGACGACCGCCTTCGCGCCCTCCATGTCGACCGCCTTCGCGCCCTCGACGACGACCGCCTTCATGCCCTCGACGACGACCGCCTTCGCAACGTCGACCGCCTTCGCGTCCTCCACGTTGACCGCCTTCGCGTCCTCGACGACGACCGCCTTCGCGTCCTCCATGTCGACCGCCTTCGCGCCCTCCACGACGACGACCTTCGTGCCCTTCACGCCCTCCACGACGCCCGCCTTCATGCCCTTCACGCCCGCCACGACGCCCACCTTCGTGAGCTCCTTCGCGCCCTCCGTGTCGACCGCCTTCGCGCTCTCCACGATGACCACCTTCGTGCCCTCCGCGCCGATCGCCGCCACGCCTTCCACGCCGACCGCCTTCGCGCCCTCCACGTCGACCGTTTTCGCGCCGCCGACGGCCTCCACACCCTTCACGCCGACTGGCGGCTCGCCCTCGTCGCTGAAAGTGTCCTCCAGACCCACGTAGGTCTGAAGCAGGTTCTCGAGCTGGGAGTCAGAAAGGGATTCCATGGGCGCGTGGCGCGCCGGCAGCATGTATGGGCTACGTCCTTCCTCGACTGGTAGCTCGATCAAAAAAGCGTTCGTGCAAAAGCAGGCAAAAAGGAAGCACAAAGTCAAGCGGCGCTGTAAGCAAGCTGGTGCGCCCGGGCAATGTCAAGCACCATGTCGCGCACTTTGAGGTCCTTAATTGGCATGTATATACATGTGAAAGTTTGTACTATATATGCATCATATGTGCGCGCTTCCCCAAAAAGGCAATCGATTACGGTTTATGACTTTAGCCGGAAAGCCCGAGGGAGTTCCCACCGTTGCCACTTGCGCCGGATATGGTAGAGCATGCGCTTCAAGCAAAATGCAGTTGCATGTGCCAGAAGGCGAACACACTCGCCAGGCGTGGAGTCGGAACCGCACTCATGGTAGAACTGGAGCACTGGCGCGCGGATGCGACCGATGTCTTTCGTAACCACAAACCCCTCAGATGCCATTTGCGAAGTGTACGCGCGAAGAAGCACAGCGTTGAGCCTCATGTTCTGGAGCGTTGGAAGGCATTGCACCTTGTTTTCAACATCGACCACTAGCAGCTGCGAATTCACAGCGCGCTTGCGAAGAAGATCGCAAGACTTCCATTGCTGCACGCACGCTTCTATGAAGCTGAAACTCATGGTGCTCGATCTGGGCCCACACTCAACGAGTTAAACTGGTTTGAACGCAAGCTTGGAAACCCTGGCAGCAGCTGCGTGGGAAAGAAATCGGGCCTGCAATGTGCAGGAGAAGCGCCAAAGCGCAGCGCACACCTGCCATCGCCCATTTAAGCTTGTTAGATTTTCAACATGCCACAAGCAGGCCAGGCGCGCCGCTCCACGCCATGATAAAGAGCGTCACATGAGCATACAGGCGGCTTGCACTTTGACCCCTGTGTGCAACCCTGTCATGCAGTGCTCATATTTCGACCTAAGTCGATGCATATTGCGGAAAACTGCCCGGTCGGCCGAAACCGCCCGTTTGACCCAAAACCGCCCGCCGGTGCAAACATCCAGAAATAAGTGACCGTCAAAGGCCCCAGGTAGGAGAACAATGAACCCCGCTGTCCTTCGTGCCAGCAACGGGAACTATGTTTCCAACCGCATCCTCGCTTTTCCCCGGTTCGGCGAGATTAACATCCCACCTTGCCAGATTCGGCCCCCATGACATGTTCTATGGAGGTCCTGAAATTGGGGTGTCGGGTCGGCTTTATTGGCTTGTGGTTTGGGAACATCTCGCCCTACACAGGTTGTGCGTCTCCGAAAATTGGCGCCGGGGGGGGGGACGCAACCCCATGATGACCCCATGATGACCCCTACCCTAGGATACCCCAGGAACCCCATGATTTTTCGAAAATTGCGGGGGGGGTGGGGGGGGGGGCGGGGGGGGGCAACCCCCTTTTTTCTTTGCTGGGCAACCTGGACCGAGAGTCTCCAAGGGCCCTCCGATTTTTGCGGCGATTCCGAGGCCTGGTCGCTGACTGCCGATGAGAGGGCCAAGGTCAGGGAGGCTTTCATCGAAATGGACTTGGACGGAGTCGGGAAGGGCGGGATGGTTTGTTGGCTGGTTGCCAGGTTGGTTTGCTTGCTTGCTTGCTTGCTTGCTTGCTTGCTTGCTTGCTTGCTTGCTTGCTTGCTTGCTTGCTTGTTTGTTTGTTGCGCGCAGCTTGTTGTCTTGCTTCCATCGTTGGGCAGCTTGTTCCAACAGCCGCCCCCTAGCGTGAAAGGGAAGCCACAAGGAAAGACTACGCCGTTTCTTTCGCGCGTGACGAGAACAGTAGAATTGCGTGCGCAAAAGTCCCAAATCAGAGTCCAGGTCATGGTTGTCGTTGGGAAACATTTTACATTTTTTGCTTATTGTGGTTTAGTAGGGAATCCCCACTTAACTTCTAAAATATTTGTTTTTGCTCCCCTTCCAACGTCAACCAAGAGAGGTGTCGTGCGGCTCGATGCACTGGGCATGGAAATGTCTTCGGCCAGGACAAGACCGGGGCAATCAAGCTCGGCGAGTTCAAGAAGGCGACCTCCAATCAACTCATTTCTCACATCGGGTGCAAGGGTGAATTAGACCAAAGCTTTCAGGAATTTGCGAGTCCTGACTTGCCTTGGGGGGAGAGTCTCGTTCCATGTGTGGCTTTTTCAAGATCAATCTCGGGGGGTGATGTTTCAGGACGTAAAATGCAAGGCCCCCTGTGCAGTGAGTCATGAATACACGGGGAACGCGTTGCTTAGGTCCAGCTGCACAAAACACCCAGGGAAAACCGGTCAGAAAGGTGCGGGTCAACAATGAGAGGTCAGGCTTCTTTGTAGACTGTCCTTTTCTTGCTGGTGCTCAGCCGGGAATGCGGGACTGACCCCTATAAACAATCCCAGGTGGTTTCCTTTCAGGGGATCCCTAGGTTCATTCCCAAAACCCCCTGTTGATCAGTAGGTGTTGATATGTTCAATATGAGTTCTGCCATGAGTCCTTTGACTGACCCGACTCAAAGCCTGTTTTTCGTTCCGTGCCAGTGGAGCAACCGACCCTCACTAGAATCGTCAATCTCATCGGGCCAAGCTTGTTAGGACAGCAGGCTTGCCACGCCAGAACGCCCGCTCGAAAGCTGCACGCGATGTCTTTTGACCCCGGATCTTTTGGATGAGAAGGGCGTGCCGGATGAACTCCCATCGCTGATCACCGTGGCGCGGGAGCCCTGAATTTCTTTCACAAACCACTTGCCCAACTTCAACCTTTGCCCTTTTGTTTTTTCCCTTGTTGGTCGAGTTTTTGTCATGGCCCCAAACGGTTATCGCCTTTGATTCTGGTATTTGAGTAAACCATTTTTTTTGAGTCGGCTAAAGAGGCTGACAATGTGAGGGTTTAATGGTTTGCTTCCCAGATCCATTGCGGAGTAAGTGTTGCACGCACGTGTTCCCATAGGTTCTGATGGACAAGTGCCACATTCGTGGAGACGAGGCAACGAAGATTTTCCAGGCCGGACCCGTAATTACGTTGTGACCCCGATGCTTGAATAGGGAGCCAGGATACAGCAGTGACATTGAGTTCTTTTTTTTTCTGGTTATCAACTGTGGGGGTAACTGGGTTGAATGAGATGCATCGTATATGTGTGTATATCATGTATATATATATAGTTATAATATTCTACATATGAGCCACGGACAAAACACACGAAGACCACTTTATCAAGGCGGGGTACGTTTTTGCATAACACATGCCAAAACCATGCAAAACGATAAGGTCTCCCTCAAAAACGATAACCCTTAGCTCTATAATAACCCCTGCAGTTGCAACTTAGCTAGGGTGGGACCCTTGCGTGGCCACCGTAAAACAAGAAGGCGAGTCGCCACTTTCGAGCTGGAGCTGCCAAGGTGTGCTTCGTAAATACGACACTTGTGCTGAGAAGTTGCGATTTTCGAGCTGGAGCTGCGGAAGTGTACTTCTCGTACTAGACTTGTACTGCAAAGTTGCGATTTTCGAGCTGGAGCGCTGTGGAAGTGTACTTCCCGTACTAGACTTGTACTACAAAGTTGCGACTTTCGATCTGGAGCTGCGGAAGTGTACTTCCCGTACTAGACTTGTGCTACAAAGTTGCGATTTTCGAGCTGGAGCTGCGGAAGTGTACTTCCCGTACTAGACTTGTGCTACAAAGGTGCGATTTTCGAGCTGGAGCTGCGGAAGTGTACTTCCCGTACTAGACTTGTGCTACAAAGTTGCGATTTTCGAGCTGGAGCGACTTGTGCTACAAAGTTTCCATTTTCGAGCTGGAGCGCTGTGGAAGTGTACTTCCCGTACTAGACTTGTACTACAAATCTGATTTTCGAGCTGGAGCTGCGGAAGATTACTTCGCGTACTGGACTTGTACTACAAAGTTGCGACTTTCGAGCTGGAGCTGCGGAAGTCTACTTCGTGTGCTAGACTTGTGCTACAAAGTTGCGACTTTCGAGCTGGAGCTGCGGAAGTGTACTTTGCGTACTAGACTTGTACTACGAAGTTGCGATTTTCGAGCTGGAGCTGCGGAATTGTACTTTGCGTACTAGACTTGTACTACGAAATTGCGATTTTTAAGCTGGAGATGCGGAAGTGTACTTCGCGTACTAGACTTGTACTACCAAGTTTCCATTTTCGAGCTGGAGCTACTTCGCTTACTAGACTTGTACTACAAAGTTGCGATTTTCGAGCTGGAGCTGAGGAAGTGTACTTCGTGTACTAGACTTGTACTACAAAGTTGCGATTTTCGAGCTGGAGCTACTTCGCTTACTAGACTTGTACTACAGAGTTGCGATTTTCGAGCTGGAGCTGAGGAAGTGTACTTCGCGTACTAGACTTGTACTACAAAGTTGCGATTTTCGAGCGGAAGATGCGGAAGTGTACTTCGCTTACTAGACTTGTACTACAAAGTTGCAATTTTCGAGCTGGAGATGCGGAAGTGCACTTCGCTTACTAGACTTGTACTACAAAGTTGCGATTTTCGAGCTGAAGATGCGGAAGTGTACTTCGCGTACTAGGATTGCACTACAAAGTTGCGATTTTCGAGCTGGAGCTGCGGCAGTGTACTTCGCGGAAGTGTACTTCGCGTACTAGACTTGTACTACAAAGTTGCGATTTTCGAGCTGGAGCTGTGGAAGTGTACTTCCTGTACTAGACTTGTACTACAAAGTTGCGATTTTCGAGCTGGAGCTGCGGAAGTTTACTTCGCGTACTAGACTTGTACTACAAAGTTGCGACTTTCGATCTGGAGCTGCGGAAGTAAGTGTACTTCCCGTACTAGACTTGTACTACAAAGTTCCGATTTTCTTGCTGGAGCTGCGGAAGTGTACTTCGCTTACTAGACTTGTACTACAAAGTTGCGATTTTCGAGCTGGAGCTGCGGAAGTGTACTTCGCGTACTAGACTTGTGCTACAAAGTTGCGATTTTCGAGCTGGAGCTGCGGAAGTGTACTTCCCGTACTAGACTTGTACTACAAAGTTGCGATTTTCGAGCTGGAGCTGCGGAAGTGTACTTCCCGTACTAAACTTGTGCTACAAAGTTGCGATTTTCGAGCTGGAGCTGCGGAAGTGTACTTCGCGTACTAGACTTGTACTACAAAGTTTCCATTTTCGAGCTGGAGCGCTGTGGAAGTGTACTTCCCGTACTAGACTTGTACTACAAAGTTCCGATTTTCGAGCCGGATCTGCCAAAGTTCGAAAACACTGTAAAACGATAAGGTCTCCCCCAAAAACGATAACGTTCAAAAAAGTACTAGGGCCAAGTAAAGTGTTTCGTCCGCTCCTCATATGTATATATATATAATTTGTACTGGTTGCTGTGTGACACTGTGGTTGTGAGTTTGTGTGTTGCATAGTGTCACTGTGTGTGTCACTGCATGTCTCACTGTGTCACCCCATGTTTCCTCGTCGTGGTTATGCTTGTGTGTTGTGTGTTTGTGTGTCTGTCTGTCTGTCTGTCTGTCTGTCTGTCTGTTTCTTTCCTTGTTTGTTTGTTTGTTTGTTTGTTTGTTTGTTTGTTTGTTTGTGTGTTGCAATTTTGCAAGTAAGCAAGCAAGCAAGCAAGCAAGCCAACATAACACACACACACAACAAGCAACCACACAAACAAGCAAGCCCATGGACACAAACAAACGAGCGAACGCACGAACAAACACACAATCAATCAAACAGGCAAAACACAACAACAACAACAACAACAACAACAACAACAACAACAACAACAACAACAACAACAACAACACCAACAGCAGCAACAGCAACAGCAACAGCAACAGCAACAGCATCAGCAGCAGCAGCAGCAGCGGCAACAGCAACAACAACAACAACAACAACAACAACAACAACAACAGCAACAGCAGCAGCAGCAGCAGCAGCAGCAGCAGCAGCAGCAGCAGCAGCAGCAGCGACAGCAACGGCAGCAACGACAGCAACGACAGCAACGACAGCAACGACAGCAACGACAGCAACGACAGCAACGACAACACCAACAACAACAACAACAACAACAACAACAACAACAACAACAACAACAACAACAACAACAACAACAACAACAACAACAACAACAACAACAACAACAACAACAACAACAACAACAACAACAACAACAACAACAACAACAACAACAACAACAACAACAACAACCACAACAACAACAACAACAACAACAGCAACAGCAACAGCAACAGCAACAGCAACAGCAACACCAACAACAACAACAACAACAACAACAACAACCAAGCCAACAAACAAGCCAACAAACAAGCAAACAAACAATCAAAAGCAATCATACGAGCAAGCAAACAAACACTCAAGCAATCAATCAAACCAAAATACAAACACACAAGCAACAACCAAACGAGCAATCAATCTAACACACAAACACAAAAACATCAACCAAAAACAGAAACAAACAAAAACAAGCAAGCAGCCAAGCAAACATACAAACACACAGAAACTCAAGCAAGCCAAACCGACATTCAAACACAAACAATCAAGCAAGCAAATCTCAAACAACACAACACACAACAAGACAAAGCAACACACAACACAATACCTAACAAAACACAAACACAGAACATGCACAAGCACAACAACACACCACAGACACAAAAAACAGTCATACAAGCAAAGAATCAAATAAACAAAGACACAACACAAACAAGCAAGCAAACAATCAAACAAAAACACAAACAGAGACACAAACAAGCAAACAATTAAGCAAACACACAGATAGACAGACAGACAGACAGACACGCAGACGGAGAGACAAACAAGCAATCAACGTGGTGCAACAGATCCTGCCTAACTGCCCCCCCGACCATTCTCCACCGAAACTCATTGCCAAGCCATATTTGCCGCAAGCCGGGTCATGGCCAAGCAAAATGTCTGAGCACATGGATTGCATCGCTTCTGAATTTTGCTCTGCATTGGACAGTCTCCCCGAAGCGTGTAGTTGTTTATGTTTCTCAGCAGCCTCGAAGCAACCAGCTACAAAGAATTCTACAGGAAGTCCTTGTGGTTTTGGTAAGTATTTGGCAAGTTTTCTACAGAACCTTTCTGTAGCTGGTTTCTATGGTTGTCACGTGTCAGGCCCTCGACACCACTCACACAGACGAGATCCACTACTCGGAGTTTCTGGCGGCTCGAGCTATCAGAGTGCTTGATGTTACCCTTGTTTAATGGCACCCTGCTTCCTTGAAAACATGAGTTGCTGTAGTTGTTTGGTTGTTTGGTTGTTTGGTTGTTTGGTTGTTTGGTTGTTTGGTTGTTTGGTTGTTTGGTTGTTTGGTTGTTTGGTTTTTTGGTTGTTTGGTTGTTTGGTTGTTTGGTTGTTTGGTTGTTTGGTTGTTTTGTTGTTTTGTTGTTTTGTTGTTTTGTTGTTTTGTTGTTTTGTTGTATTGTTGTTTTGTTGTTTTGTTGTTTTGTTGTTTTGTTGTTTTGTTGTTTTGTTGTTTTGTTGTTTTGTTGGTTTGTTGTTTTGTTGGTTTGTTGTTTTGTTGTTTTGTTGGTTTGTTGGTTTGTTGTTTTGTTGGTTTGTTGTTTTGTTGTTTTGTTGTTTTGTTGTTTTGTTGTTTTGTTGTTTTGTTGTTTTGTTGTTTTGTTGTTTTGTTGTTTTGTTGTTTTGTTGTTGTGTTGTTTTGTTGTTTTGTTGTTTTGTTGTTTTGTTGTTTTGTTGTTTTGTTGTTGTTGTTTTGTTGTTTTGTTGTTTTGTTGTTTTGTTGTTTTGGTGTTTTGTTGTTTTGTTATTTTGTTGGTTGTCGTTGGTTGTTGTTGGTTGTTGTTGTTGTTGTTGTTGTTGTTGTTGTTGTTGTTGTTGTT